AGTCCACTCAAGCAGCCAGGGAATAGTCAAGCCAACGGGAGTTCGGGGATCTGATCTGGTCAATCTGAGGTCGCTCTGCTTCCGAGGTAACGCACCTCACTTCTTCAGAAATTGGACAATGGCTGTGAGCGTGTCACGATGAGTATAGCCAGATCTAGGCCCGCTTGAAAACTCAATGGGGACCACCTGGTACCAATCTCCAGCTGAGAACCATCCCTAGCTTTGATTAGGGGGAACTGTACCGCCAGCGTTCCAGCGTCATGTTCTTCTCGCTATTGGCATTCGCTGGGAGGTTGCCAGGCGATTTCGCAGCTAGCGCAGTTGGTATAGGTCTCATGACCGGATTGTATCCAGAAAAGAGCCACCTGGCCGTCAATTCGCGTGTAAGCTGGCTGCAATATGCGCGTCGTATCCACCCGGAACCTGCAGTCACTTTTGGTCCTGTGGGAACTTCTAAGTCTCGGGGACGGAGACGGCTTCTTCTCGCGGTGCAGTCTTCGATTGATCACGTTCCTGGTGGGGTCAACGGCCTGGAGCCTCATCGTGCCAAATCCGCCCATTTCCGAGATGCGCCGACTTGCTTGAGTCCCACAGCAACGAACGGCAATGGAGAGCCCCTGGCGAGGATCACGAGCTCGTGAAGCTTGGATCAGAAAGCGGTCCTGACACAAAAACCATCATTGAGCAACCCCGGAAGCGACAAAGACATTGACGTTGTTCCGCAGGCATGCCCACAATGGTGCATGGGTTACTTACAGGGGTTTGTGCTATTCTTGAGCCAGTCAGCTGGAGGGCGGCGTGACCTTCTTGAGTTGAAAGTCAATGGCTTCTCCACGGACGCCACGGCACCTCTCGATCTGCCGACCTCAATGACACCCGTAGCAAGCCGAAAATGGAACTACGGTTGTGTCCCTACTGTGTAGTTACAAGGCACAGGTAGTTTTAGTGAATGTCCAGCGCGCTCTTCTGGTAGCATTGGTCGAGTTGGGTCAAGTCCACTGCATTCCTCCTTGATCCACTGCTGTGGTCCCCGGAGACAGATCAAATCTCGTCACTCTGATTCTGCCAATCGTGATGAGAGAAGAGCCCTGGACTCCCACCGTCAAGGTGCGGGGCATCTGGACAGGGGAGAGGACCGCTGGCTTGGCTGCGAGCGAGGGTGTTCATGGCCGCAAGGCCTCCGGAAGAGAAAATTGAGGGGTTGAAAAGTGGAACGTTGTGCATTTTCGACTTCAAGGTGGATCTCCGGAGAAGTGCAACCAACCGGTGACAGGCTACGTTCTGACTACATATGAGCAATTGTCCATGGGAAAGAGCAACCTGGAGAGACTGAAGAGGTAGTTATAGCTAGTGACTATATGGTCATGTCGATTGCCTACGAACCTCCTGGGTTTCCTGGTTTTTGTGTCCCGGTCTTCATTCAAACCTGGATCTCCCCAGAACGCAGGAGATGATAACGACAACGTCTGGCAGACAAAGGAGATCAGGGGACCGTATTATGAAAGCGGGCAGCACGGTTCTGTTTGTCCCCGGCTATGGGCTCTTTACATGATCAAACTCACCTAGGTACGCAGTTGAACTCTTTGCATTGGATTAAGTCAATGGCAGTAAGAAGGTGCTGGCAGCACAGCTTCTGCTATTGGGCGGCAAACACCTGGATCCCAAGCATAGGCCACAGTAATGGTAATCTTTACTGGTCGTATTGGAACCGGGACGCCTCCTCAGAGATCTTTGTACTAGATTTGCGGGATAGGGCATGGTAACTATAGAGGTATGATCACCTGGCTGCAACAATCTTTGTGTACATGCTGCCTCAAGTCTCGGGTTGTAGTTCAGAACCTAGGCGCTGGTGAATCGTCAGCCCAGGCTGGCAATGTTTCGGTGGGTGTCCAAGTCCACCAAACCGCTCGAACCCCAACCCAGCTGCCGACTCGCCTGGCAGGGCATGTCCATAGGCTAGGTGCCTAAATTAGCAGCTCAACTCAATATGGCACACCGGGCATCCACCAGGTGCGTCCAGAACAGGCCCCATCACGACCAGGCACAGACCACTGCACATAACTGGCAACGAAGGGGAGGCGTTAAAGAGCCGCTATCGTTGACGTCCAGGGACTGGCACGGCCATCTAACTTAGTTCACCGGTCAGAAATACGGAGTAGGCTGGTCAATGGCGCCAATGGCGGACGGCTGTGACCTCTGCTAGCCTCGATGGCTGGCCTCGTTGTTGGGCAGGAATCAACTATGGGCTGCAGCAACGACACGAATGCTGGATCAGGTATCGGAGGAAAGCGATCACTCCCAAGATTGGGCATGCAGGCCCGTCAGTGCACAATGTGAGTTTCGTCCACGATGCTCTGTGGTCCCTGCATGGCATATACACAGTATCTTGCTGTCGCCTGCAGCCCTGGCTCGCCGTCTTGCAAGCTAGGTAGATGCACCCGCATCCCTTTTCCTTAGACTTTGGCTGCCGAGTTTTAGCGCTCGTCTCAGGAAGACCACATGACATCCAGCAACTTTACATAGCCCCATTTTTCATGATCCCTGCCGTTGACTTGCAGCAAGCAATAGGACGTGCAAATGGGCCCGCATCAACAGGAGGGCATTGTAGTGTAGGTACTCGAGTAATAGTAAGGCAGAGTTGAAAACGAGACAACATCCCCCTAGCCAGAGCATCAGTGCCCTCCTGTTCAGAGAATCAATCCCCTTTCTACTTGCCCATCTCACTCCATTGTATTTCTGCTCGTCCCGAGTCTTGTTCGTCACAATCCCACGATCGGGTCGCCGAGTCAGGGAATAGGAACAAAGCCGCCTGGGCAAGGCAGGTACGGGGAAGGTCACTCGAGAGCGGTCCCGTGCCCCATTGAACTTTTCGAGACGAGGTCAGGGAGGGGCAGATATCAGTCGACAAAAACGACGAACAGCAGCAGCAGCAGCAGCAGCAGCAGCAGCATTGGACACAGCAGGCGCCTGCATCCACGAGAGAAAGAGAGTCACGATACCCCCAGCATTGGCCGATTTGAACGTGAGAGTCGATCAACTTTGACCAGTCAACCGCATCGCCGCCATCCACCATTCCGCTGCAGCCCGCTGCCGAGAGCTCCCTCAGTTACCCACTCTTACTGCTCACTTACTCACTGCCTGCACTGCGCAACGCAACGCAACGCATCGAGTAATCCAGAAAAGAAGAGATAGGCGGAGGCACTGGACTCGAAAACGAGACGAGGCACAGGAAAAAAAAAGAAGGGGGCAGAGAGAGAGAAAGAGAGCGCGCGCGTGGCATGCAACTCCAGCTCTCCGTCGCCAGTGAATACGTACCTATCTCCCTCCTAGCTGCTGCACGCGCCGCACACCCCACTAAGTACCTACCTCCTGGGTGGTATTTATTTCGCCCTCGTCAGTCCATGCAAGCAAGGCAAGACAGAAAATACACGTAAAACTAGACCCGACCCCTCCATTACCACAAGTACCGGCCAAGATCGAGCGAGTCACTGGGCCAGTCACCTCGTCGTCGACGACTCGGAAACACAACCCAAGCGCAACTCTGTAGATCACGACAGCTCTCCCATCTCCCAGCTTTGACTGGTCCGTCGCACAGGGCTGAAGCAAAGGTCAATTCGCAATTCAGCGAGAAGAGGCCACCAAGAAACCATAGAGGCGGCAGCTGTTTCGTCGTCGCTGCGCAGCAAAAGCAGAAGAAGGAGAAGAAGCAAGACTGACGTCCGTCCCAATTGGGCCTTGTCACCTGGACCGCTACGCTACCTACCTACCTACATCACTTCACGAAGGCGCCGATCAAATCAATTAAAGCCCTACCCCTCCTTGTGGTTCGCAACTGCATTAGATCCCCGTTCAAACCACCTCCAGAGTCTCGTCACCATCATCAACCACGACCTCGACACTTGATCCCCCCCGAGCAACAAAACTCCCCGAAGACCCGCGGCCAGAAGCTATACCTTCCGACAGCATTGCTCTCTCCCAATCCCACACTTGGAACATTGTCATTGGCCCCGCCAGCAATTCGGTAAGTCTCTGCAGACTATTGTCCTCACCCGCCCAAGCCCACCTGCTACTACTACCTGGACCTACCTTGGCTTCCTACGTACCTACATTATCCACCTTTTCCCACTGGGCCATTCTGCCTCGCACTCCTCTCACCCCCTACCCACCTCGCCGTCCCGCAGTGCCCATTCGCCTGCGAAAAAGAAGGAGAGGGCCATCACGTCAAGCGCAATCATCTCTCTCCATCTCTCCATCCATCCATCCATCCATCCACCCAACAGCTCCAGGTACCTCGCTCCCAGCTTTACTCGCATTCTTGTCCCTGGGCTATTCCACAAACTCCCTACCGCGCCCGTAAATCCCAAAGTCTGGGGCCCGATTTCCCCCAGCTCTACTCTGTATTCCTTCTACCCTCTCAGCCCCTACACCCTCCCGAAGTTCCTAGTGTGCCTACTGCATTACATAACTGTACGTTACTGGGTGGGCTTGGGGTCTAAACAGGGCGCCGTCCGCTGCTCAGCACCTACGTACTCCACTCTTCATGTCCCCCGCTCCCCTCCATGCCTTCAATTCCTGCCCGCCGTAACCACCACTTTCATTTACCAAAACCCACCCGTTCCCAACCCACCGGCACACGATACACACTCCCAAGATACTCTCAATCACAGCACGGCGTTTTTTTGACGGGGGTCTAACAGCTTGGACAGGAATAGACCGACCCAGCGCACCAGGTTGACGACTTCCAGCCTCTTGCGCGACTTCATCCCCAGCCCGCCCACCCTGCCCGCACGCTCATTGTACCGCTCCAGCCAGCCTTTACAGAAGAGTGCCCCCAGTCAGACGCGACTGTTGCCCATCAATTGTGAAACCAGGGCCCCTGCTGAAGAGGAACCGCGGCGGCAGATATCACCTTGTTTGTCTCCGATCAACCCGACGACCCCGGTATTTGGTGGCCTAGTTCGCTGTAGCACCCAGGATCCAGGACTGAACAACCCCTCAAGATGAGCTCCTCGCGGCCAAGTGCGGCCTTCAACTCGCTCAGGATGGGAGGTAAGCCTTACAATGCCCTCGGTCTGACATGGCGCAGCCGCAGCAGCTAAGATATAATACAGAAGTCATCCGCGAAAAGGTGCAAGATGGTATCACCGGTGAAACACGGGACTTGCAGTACACGCAGTGCAAGATTGTAGGCAACGGCTCCTTCGGTGTTGTCTTCCAGACTAAGCTATCACCGTCCGGCGAGGATGCTGCCATCAAGCGCGTACTCCAAGACAAGAGGTTCAAGGTACTAAAGGCATCTAAAATCCATTTGGTGCTCTCTTTGGCTCACACAAGGTCGTCTAGAACCGCGAACTGCAGATCATGCGTATTGTCCGACACCCGAACATCGTCCAGCTGAAGGCTTTCTACTACTCCAATGGAGAACGCGTGAGACACCACAGAGCCCGCTGGCGATTGATTGGCCTACTGACTGCAAGCAGAAGGACGAAGTGTACCTCAACTTGGTGCAAGAATTCGTGCCCGAAACGGTCTACAGAGCGTCGCGATTCTTCAACAAAATGAAGACGACCATGCCAATCCTCGAGGTGAAGCTGTATATCTACCAGCTCTTCCGAGCGCTTGCCTACATCCACTCGCAAGGCATCTGCCACCGTGACATCAAGCCTCAAAACTTGCTCCTCGACCCCAACACGGGCATTCTCAAGCTATGCGACTTCGGAAGTGCAAAGATCCTGGTGGAGAATGAGCCCAATGTCTCGTACATTTGCTCCAGATACTACCGCGCGCCTGAGCTTATCTTCGGGGCCACCAACTACACGACCAAGATCGGTAAGTCGATGCCTCTGCTGCATCTGGTGAAATTTTTATGTATCTAATTATCTTCGCAGATGTCTGGTCAACTGGCTGTGTGATGGCCGAGCTCATGCTTGGTCAACCCCTCTTCCCAGGCGAGTCAGGGATTGACCAGCTGGTAGAGATCATCAAGGTCTTGGGAACTCCGACGCGCGAGCAGATCCGAACTATGAATCCGAACTACATGGAGCACAAGTTCCCACAGATCAAGCCGCACCCGTTCAGCAAAGTATTCCGCAAAGCAGATGCCAACGCCCTGGACCTCATCGCCAAGTTGCTGGAGTACACGCCTACCGAGCGGCTCCGGGCTGTCGACGCCATGGTTCACCCGTTCTTCGATGAACTCCGCGATCCCAGCACGAAGCTGCCAGACTCCCGACACTCCACCGGCGCATTGAGGGATCTTCCCAACTTGTTCGATTTCACGAGACATGGTGAGATTCCGGAGCCCAAAGCTGAACCCTTTTTCTGTTTATATGTAGCGCAACTGACGTGTGATTTTCCCAGAACTGTCCATCGCGCCGGCACTGAACGCCAAGCTTGTGCCAGCCCATATCAAGCCCGAACTGGCTTCCAGGGGATTGGATATTGACAACTTCCAACCTCTGTCGAAGCACGAGATGATGGCGAGATTAGACTGATCCTTCAGTCTGATCTCCGCTGCATTTCAAATTGTCGACTCTAAGTTGGTACTGCAACATTCGTTCACTGTCTTGGCCTCGTAACACGGCTCTTGACGCCTCAGCCTGCCCTTAGGGGAACTGCCTGACGGAGCGCTGTGACTCCTAAGGAGCCCGGTTCTCCCTTATTTAGGCATGATAGGTCTTCTAGAGCATCTAGGAAACCGGATAGCTCAATTAAGGGCTCGGATTCTTCCAGCGCCTGGGGCAGGTTCGGAGGCCTTGCGGGAGTCTTGCGGGGCATGTGTATGCCTCGAAGACGCCCAGTGTTCAACGCCTTGTCGGCTGATGATGGAATGGGCAGTCGCATAATACACCCGGAAACCTGGTTGGGATGGTCGGCACCAGGCTCAACCCCCCCTCCTAGACTTCTTTGCATGATTGAGATGGTATCTGATTCGTTTATTGACCTTGTTCGATTACTCGCTTTATCCCTTGTGGTGGGCGACCACGAGGCGGCTGGAACTCCTAGTGGTCTCCTGAGAGATTCCCCACACGTCATGGAAAAAAAGGGGGAGAGGAGGCTATACTGGCGTACATGTTTTATTTGGCTCAGACGGCCCCTTGGAACAAGAAGCGGCACGCATGTGGCAAGGAGTAAGCAGCATGGATATTCTGGACGGAGGTGTCATCCTTCCTCTGTTTGTTGCAGCAGGGACTCGGATGGAACTTGGTCGGCAACCCCCCGGGGGAAAACATGGCATGAAATTTCTACGAAGATTTTCTTTTTCCCTACCCAAAAGACACGTGCCCTGAGAGTATGGAGCGTTCAAAGTGGCGGCTAAAAGAGGGAAGGAAAAGAGATGGTCTTTATGTGATCGGACAGGCAAAGATGAGAGAACGCTGTTGCTAGTTTTCATGGATGGAGAGACGATGACCAACGAAGAGATATCTGACCCATCTCTTTCGATCCTTGCCCGTCGGAGATTCAATTGCTCTTGTCTACGTTTATGTGTGTTCGTGTGTACGTGTGTATGTGTGTGAGGGCGGCCATTTGCCCGTGACTGCGGTGACGCAGGAGGCATATCACGAGCAGAAACTGTTTTCCAGTGCGGACTAACGTGGGTGTGGCGCCTCCCAACCGTCGACGGGTAGAGGTCAAAATGTTGGCAAACGAGAAAGAAGCGGGTGCCGGCTCTGGTGACAGAAGGATGGAAGACACAGGCAGCGCCGTGGACCGCGAAGGTGGTCAAATCTGAAAGCGGAGATCTCATTTGGTAGAGAAGCAGTCAGCCAAGTGTGCAATGAGATATTGCAAGCGCAAGGACAGATAGATGCACCCTATCAACCAACTAGCCAACCAGCCAAACACCAAACATCCTATCACACAGCCTCGCCATCATTTGGCTTGCCAACGAAGGTAGCGAGTGAGTGTTCGCCCGTCCAGTCGGGTCCGTTCCTGGCATGGGTTGGCAGGCTGGCCCGCTGGCAAGCTCGGTGGAAGGGGCCAAGCACCGGTGGCCGGTGGCCGGGCCGGCCCCAACCCTGAATTGGGAGCTTGGACAGCTGCCGTCAGCCCACTGGTTGGTTGGCTGGCTGGCTGGCTGGCTGGCTGGCTCTCAAGCTCTGGTCTGCTTGGCTCTGAGCCTCTGCTTGCTCACCCGCCCCATAATTTTTCTGGTCTCGTCCGTAAACGAGCTTGGAGCTTCTCTTCATTGTTGGAGCCGCGCTGCGCGTTTGACTGCCACATCATCCGGCCTCACCATTCATTCATTCAGTCACCGCCCGATCCCTCCACATCATCATGGCAGACTACGACCGCCGAGGCGGCGGCGGCGGCGGCGGCAATCGCAAGCGCCGTTACAGAGGTATGTCATATTTCTATCCAGCGTCATCGTCACTCGTCCCGGGCAGCGTCTCTCGGCTTGGAACAAATGCGCCAGCTTAGCAGATGGCTTTTTTGGTCCAGGCTGGGCACCTCTGGTGTGAGACGTGTTGCGCTTCAGGGTATTTCCTTCGATAGACGGGATGACATGTTTGGCTTCGTCAACCGTCACTTGGCGTCGTTTGCATGCTGACGTAGCCATTAGAGGACGACGATTACGACCGCCGACCCCAGCGCAGACGGTACAATGATGCGCCTCCTCCTGCTCATATTCGAATCCGCAAACAGCTGCTAGTCCTGGCTGAGTCGCCGCTGCGAGGTTGGCACGAGGAGGTACAGTCGATTGCGCATTTGGTGGCCGAAAACTACGACAAGGACGAGGTCAAGACCGGCTTCCTCGACTTGGTGGCCCAATTGGTCATTGAGCAGCCCCTCAAGACACCATTTGTTGCCGCCGTCCTTCTCATCGCCAATTCTGTCAGGACCGAGATTGTCACCGACGTCTTGAACAAGATCGCCCCCTTGACCGAGCAGCAGATCGCCGTCGGCGAGTGGCGCAGCGTGAAGCTCTACCTCAAGTTCCTGGCCTGCCTACAGAGCTGTCTCGACGGTGATGGCTTGTTCCCCGTGCTGGAGGAGCTCTTCAACCGCGCAGTCGAGCTACAGACCAGCAACTCGGACGACACCATCGGTACCGAGTTGGTCAAGATCATCCTGCTCACAGTGCCCTACATAATGGCATCCGCTCCGGGCCAAGGACAGCAGAAGGCTGCTGATCTCATGGACAAGACTGATGTCATTGCATCAGAGCCCCATGCCTTGCAAGTTCTGATCGACCCCTACCACCCTGAGAAGGGCGACGACAGTCCCAGCGCCAACGCCAGCCTGATCGGTCTGCTCCAGAAACAGCTGCAGGCTGAGGCAACGAACGGCTGGGAGTTGTCGTGTCTGCCGCGCCCCTGGGCCTTACCGCTAGAGGAGGTTGAGCAGCAGGAGAAAATCGACAGTGCGCAGAAGCACCCGTTGCCGAGCATAGCTATCCCCGAGACCGTCGTTGCCGGACCTCGACCTCTGTTCCCCGAGGTTTACTTCTCCGTCTACGCCAACCAGGAAGTTGAATCTGTCCCTCCGCCCTCCAGCATTGCCGCGTCCCTAATCCGTGATGGGCTGCTGGACACGATCAACAATTTGGACTTCAACCGCCACGTAACCGCACGCTATCTGATCGACTTGGACTGTTACTTTGCCCACGGGACTTTCATCAAGCGAGCTACTCCCTTCGACCGGCTGCGAGACATCGAAGGTGGTCGCCCAACTTGGAAGCCGGAAGACGTAGCCGTGGATGCCGTGTTCTCGCAGCTTTTCCAGCTACCGAACCCGGAGCATAAACTCGTATTCTACCACTCTGTGCTTACCGAGGCCTGCAAGCTTGCCCCTGCAGCCATTGCCCCTAGTCTTGGTCGGGCCATCCGTTACTCGTATCAGAATCTTCACCGGTTGGATCTCGAGCTGGCTTACCGTTTCCTGGATTGGTTTGCCCATCATCTCAGCAACTTTGGTTTCATGTGGAAATGGCAAGAATGGAAGGACGACGTGGATCTGCCTGACATCCACCCTTGCAAGGCTTTCATCGTCGGTGCCCTCGACAAGGAGATTCGTCTCAGTTTCGCCCAGCGCATAAAGGGAACTCTCCCCGATGAGTACCAATCCCTTATTGGCCCAGAGAAGGAGCAGGATACGCCTGAATTCAAGTTCAACGATGAGCACACCCCCTTCTCAGCCGAAGGCAAGGAGCTTGCGGCCTTGCTCAAGAAGAAGGCGACGGATGAAGAGATCCAGCCAGTCATCGACAGAATCCACTCGGCTGCACTCGAGCAGTCTATCGACCCACTGGTCACGAGCACTGACGTCTTCGTTACTGCTGTCTGTTGGGTTGGCTCCAAGTCTCTTTCTCACGTCCTTGCCGCCATCGAGAGAACCAAGGACCGATTGCTAGATATTGGCGCAGCCTCAGAGGCGGCGAGGCAGCAGATTATCACATCCGTCATGGCTTACTGGTCTGCACACCCTGGCGTTGCCATCAGCATCGTGGAGAAGTTGCTCAACTACTCCATCATCACTCCTGCAGCCGTCATCAATTGGGCACTTGTTAGCGGCAAGGCTGGGTCTGGCGGCGATGCGCTGAGCAAGGCTTGGGTCTTCGAGCTTGTTTTCCAGACGGTGATGAAAGTTACAGGTCGTGTGCGTCAAGTTGCTAGTGCTGGAACAGCCGATGGCACTGCAGACCCAGAGGTTGCGGCCATGCGGGATCTGTTCAAGATCATGGAAGATGCCCTGGCTAGCTGGGCCTCAGGCTCCAAGGATGAAATGATGGATCCTGCGGAGCCCATGGATGGCGCGGGGGGCAACCGTGAGGACATTGTCCAGCGCTGGGGCGAGAGGTGGTTGCGTGTGTTTAGCCGTCGGTCTGCCATCGAGGAAGCCCACCTTCAAGTGGGAACTCAGTAGAGGCAACAATAGATCAGCGCCTTCAGAGAAAGGTTTGTAAAATTGCTTCGAGCTGGACTGGGAGTTGGCAGGCAAAATAGGCAGTTGTTCTGTGTATTATACAGGATCAGATCAGGGGAGGCTTCGTTCCGACAGCCTTGAATCAATTTCTATTTGCATACGACTGCTTTTTGCCCGAGTAGCCTCTTTGAAAGAACCGTTCTCTCCCCCTTTATTGCCCTCTCCAGAGTGTATGGGACAGTCCTTCCAATCCATGAGGATATCCAGGGTGCGGCGTGCGTGTCTTGCATATTGGCTCGTGTGGCAGGGGTGAACAGTAGCCTCAGCTTAGTGCCACAACCATCATCATTGACCTTGTGCATTTCCATTTGAATACACCTCTCAGGATAAGACCCGACATATCTCAGTATATTGCATGCAAATGTCGCGTGCGCCAAAACGAAGAAGGACAGAAGACTGTCGTGGCGAAGGATGTGGGCAACCGAGATGTGGTAGCTGCTGGGTGGACTCTGACGGGGCAGACGAAGTACGGCCGTCCCAACCGTCGGCGAGCGGAGCTGCGTATGAGTCGCCTAGTGGCCGGCCTACTCTCCACGATCCCGCCCAAGTTCCGGATACGCGGCGACGAGCCGCAACCCTGGCGTCGGGGTCACCGCACGCCCCGGGATTGCCGACATCGCGGGCCGATACGATGAGCTTCCGGGAGATGGTGGATGCGCTGGACGAGCGCGAGGTCCGGGACACGCTGGTCCGCCTGGCGTCCATGGCACCCTCGGCGCAGACGGCCATACGGCAGGCGTACACAAGCCACCACCAGCGGCGCGCCGAGACGGCGGCCCGGGCCCCAGACCAGCCCTACGACATAGACGGCTACAGCAAGAAGGCCTGGCACGCGCTCCACACGTCCCCGGATGCGAAGAGCTGGCCCCGCGTCCGGGACCCGGACCGCGCCGTCGCCGCCGCCTCCTCGGCCGTGCTGCAGTGTGCCGAGGCCATCTATGCGCGGACGACGACGACGATGAGCGGGGCTGCCTCCTCGCCCTCCACGGCCTCGTCTGGGGAGCGGCCCGGGATCCCGTTCGAGACCCGGCTCGCCGGTCTCGAGACCATGCGCAAGATCCTCAAGACAGTGCTGCTCGGGTCCAACGGCCTGGTCGAGCGGGTGCGGGACGACATCGAGGCCGGCCAGGCCTTCGTCGCGCTGCTCAAGATGGTCGTCGGCGAGGCCCTGGCGACCCCCGAGGAGCGCGTCCGGGCCGGCGGCACCGCTGACGAGAAGGGCACCCTGCTGCAGAAGTTCACGTGGTGCCGGGACGAGGCCGCCAAGCTGCGCCTGGCTGGGCTGCGCGATGGCCTCGATGAGGTACTCCAGGAGCTGGGCCAGCGGCCCCAGGTGGAGGTCGTGGACCTAAGGTGATGGCTAGGAGGAGGTCGGCACTCGTTGGTTGTGTGTTGAAGGTGCCCAGCTGTTGACTCGGGGGGCAGGGGAACCTTGAGTGGTGCTCTGGCATCTTGCACATCGCCAGCTCGGCCCGGCATATACTGGATATGAATGCAACGATCTTGGGCCTGCAATAAGCGTGGACATAGCACTGCTGCCGATAGGCCTCATGCAGGATGTTCTAGGAGGTGATGCGGAGCGTTCAGCCTGTTTGATAACACATGTTAGCACCGTTTGCCACTGGATCGAGGCCGTGATGAACTGTGGCTGATCTGGCAGTACCGTCTCTGCTGAAGTATTAGAATACAGCTTGACCAGTTGGTCAGTGTAATTTATTCAGTGTCATTATAGGAAAATGCCAGTTCTATCAACGGTGCAGCTACTGAAACCCATATGTATTTCAACATTTGAGGTGCGGTATTGCGCCATGGACAAGTGATGCCCTGTCTGTTTCCACCTTCATCGTGTGACCATACATTCCTTGCCCTATACCCGCACCTGATCTTACTGTCTCTAAGCATTATATTCTCTACACGTCCTGCAACCCAATCTCGTAAGGAAGCGAAGTTGGGACCTGTATCTCATGCTACTGCTCTGGAGATCATGGCAGTCCCATCGAAGACTTTGGATAGATCAAAATAGTAGCTTTAGGCTCTCCAAGTTGCCGCATTCACTCAGGTGTTTTCACACTTTGAGCATGCTCTCGGGGTTTGGATGTCTCTTGTAGTTGCCCACCCGGGCAGGATTTTCGTAGGTCGGTCTTGGCTTCTCCGGCATCACACATTCGTGTTGCGTTGTCACCAAACTCCTATCTTCAGGCATGTCCTTCGAATACCCAGCAGCCGTGGTGTCGGATTTGTGCTGATCGTGCCATTTCAGCCACCTGCGGCCTCCGCGGCCATACAAAACAGGCTTTCCTTTGGCGCGTCTCGAGCGCTCCCGCCGGCGATAATACCAAATCACCAACGCCAGGGCGGCAAATCCAGCGATGGCGATGAAGACGTATATAACGCGCTGCAATATCCAAGCTGCGTCACGACCTTGCCGATAAGGGTGCGTCGGGGACCATGTCCCGGGCACGCGGGACACGATTGGGTGACCACTACCGCGAACGGGGAAAAACAAACTCAGTTTTGGGACAATCATGGCGTATAGATTAGAGATGTCGCGAGTGTATATGAGGGGAAGGCTATAATCAACAGTAGGTCAAGCTAGTCGTTCATGTGAATCTGGATCGTGCCAACAAAGATCTACCTAGGTAGGTATATCTAAGACACTGCCAATCGGTAATTTTATCGAGCCTCCTGACGTCTATTATAAATGTCAATTCAGCCGTGCATCATACAAATGCTAGGATCTTTGGGGGAAAAAAACAACTGAGACTGTCGCTTGACATCAATGCATACATCGACAGGCCAAGACCCCAGAGCTTGGCTGCTGCATATTGTCTCCGAATCCTGCTTTGCATACGTCATCAAAGAACTCCCTTTGGTCAAACATACACGGGCAAGGCTACAAAACGTCAATTGGATTTTGTCGCATTCTGAGTTAGGATTGGACGAGCACGCAATTTACTTCTTTCCCAGACAAGGGCGTGAAGGACTTATACGCGCTCTCATAAATGAGTGGGTAAGTGCAAAGACGGGGCCTCAGTCACGTACACATGGCGACTCCCTCGTACGATGCAATTTGCTTCGCTGTGTCTTTAGAATTTGAAATTTTCACAAGTGATGAAATATGATTGAATTTATTGACCAAATCGACAACTAGATCACGCGAGTACATTCTGATCATGAGGGTGGCCTCCCCTTTCACCTCTTCGTAACTCTCCAAAGTCTCTTCTTACTCGGCATGCTGGGTATAGCCCTTCTCCTCATCCTTCATCTCAGCATTTGCTCTCTCGGCTACACTCCTCCGATTCAACACTGCTTGCACGTCGGACGGCACAATAGAGCTGTTGCGTCGGACCTCCTCGCGCTCGTGATCGATATATCTCTGTGGTCGCTTGGAAGATTTCGCATCAGGATCCTTGAAGACAAGAATATCTTGATTCTCACGGAAGAACCGGTCTAGATCTTCGAGAGACCGATCGGCGGTTTCTGGGTAGAAGAAGTAGACAATCGGGATGAAAGAGAAATTGAAGACTGTCCAGATGATATAGAAACGCCAGCCTATGGAGGCTATACCAACAGGAGTGATCTCAACCACCATAAAATTGATGATCCAGTTTGTCGCTGTTCCCAGACTGGCTCCTTTGGTACGCATGGAAAGACTGTTGATCTCGGTTGGGTACAGCCATGGAACTCCTAAAGACGGATTAATGTGGGCTGCCTATGGACCTTGCACTTGACATACCTTGCCAACCAATACCGAAGAACACATAGTAGAGAAAGAAGAAAGCGATTGAGGCCTTAGCCCACTGTGTGTTCGCAGTGCGTCCTATGGATGGGTCCTCATTGTATCTGATACAGATGGTAATGATCAGGTAACAAAAGAACTGTCCCGCAGCCGCATCTTGAAGAATGGCTCAGCGTTTGTACCTCATCGGGTCTTGGAAATGCTTACATATCATCATCTTACGCCGGCCCCATCTCTCCACGTTGGGAATTCCAATCGTACTGAAGAGCAGATACGAGACAGAGTTGCAGGCTGCAAGTAGTCTCGCTAGTTTTTCGTCCAAACCGACCGAGCTAATAAGCACGAGAGGGAGGTCTGAAAAGAAGAAATCTGTTAGTCCTTTGTCTTTTCTAGCGCGTTTGGTGGAACACAGCAATCGATCTTTGTAGTAATTACGTCGAAAGCCTAGTTGAAATCTCCCATGGCTCCAACTAGAGACATGCCGAGTATAGCGAGGAATGAACCATACGGGTGCTGGGGGTACCTACAGTAGCTTGTCACGTTGATTCCAGAAAACTGCTGCATTGCTTGCGCCCCCATTCCCAGAATCAGTCGTCGAATTGTGCAAGTACCTCCGTTCGGTCCGGTCTTGCCACGTAGAAGTTTTGACCATGGAACAGTGTTCTCTCGTTCAAAGTTAACGGCCCACTGAATATCCTTGGATTGCGTGATGATGTATGGATCATCTACATCCAGTGCTTCTAGATCTGCCAGAATGACATCGGCTTCCTCAATGCGACCCTTGGCTATCAACCAACTTTTGAAATGTTAGCGAGAATGGATTGTTCTTCGGACGAGATTTTACACACCGAGGACTCTCTGGCAACCATGGGACGGTGGCATAGAGAATAAAGATGAAGATAAATTGAATGGCAAGCGGTAATCGCCAAGCGATGGAGCCTGTAGCGTAGGATAAACCAAATGTAACCCAATTGCCTAGCATATATCAGCCACGGTAATATCAATAGACAACAGTACTGTGAGCTTACTCAGCATGAAGCCGAAAATATTCATGATCATTTCAATAACAATGAGTTTACCACGCCAGCTGGCTTTAGATGTCTCGCCCTGCCAGACCGGTGCAGTTGATGTGTTGATACCATTCCCAATACCAGCTATGATTCGGCCTACTATCATCTGCGGAACTCCAAAGGCTGCAATCTGTAGAATGGCGCCGATGCTCATGATCGTAGTCCCCACCAAGATGGTGTTCTTCCGGCCAAGTCGTTCACCAATCCAGATAGTAGATATGGCTCCGAAGAAGCAGCCCACATCGTAGATAGCCGTAACTGTGCTTTGCATTTTAGGGTTCCCATTGATGTTCAACAGATCGAGGAAATCTGGCGTGACAATGACACCACCAAAGACTCCTTGATCATAACTATAGAAACTCGTCAGCGAGGCTAATCAGACAGAGGATGTGGGCTTGATACCCAAAGAGAGTCATATCAGTGGCACAAGCTACGGTCACCCAGAAGGTGAGCCAGGCTCCCTTGAGCCCAAAGTATGGCTGTCGTGCTTTCATGATGGCGAAGCGATATTGCAGAAAACCTCTTATCAACTTGAGGACTGCAGACGGCTCAAGCTAACATGACAACCCTGAGTGGCACTGGGTCTCTTTAAACCAAGAGATTCGCGTCAACCATTTGAAGACCCATCAACTCTGCAGCACTAGAGACTGCTGTTTACTGGCCGCAACCTTCATTTCGTCTCTCTTCAACTCGTCACTACGATCGCCCTAAGTCTCGGATAAACCCATCATCTAGCATTGCAAGGGTTGATTTGATGATGGGCTTAGGGCCATGCACCCCGCAGGCCTATCTAGACGCCATCTCGGTAGCTTCCTGAGGCGCCCATTTGCCTTTGACTTGTCCAGTGATGACGTTCTTCCCTTTGACACACCGGCTTCCGCGATGCCCTCCCACAGCGGCCATACAGCATACCCTTGCCCACTTGCATGAGTGCCCTCAGATTTGAGTTCATTGCCGCATGCTGGTCCATTCGAGCACAACGGTTATGATGCAGCGATGCAGCTGACCAGTAAGGCCTCCCCGGGCACCCCGTCATTTCCCCACTTAATGCCCGGCGATATAGGTCACAGGTGTCAATTTATCACCTGCATTGTTGCCGTGTACGTTAGAACAGGATCATGTCGAGTTGGGAAGTCTGTGAACTCTACTGTATAGGTCTGCTCATACGCAATTATGTCTTTTGTAATCATAAGGCTTTTCTGGGATAAAGCTGATATATACCATCTAGCTTGCCTGCGTGATCTCTTGTCGTCAATTACTAGCTTTGTCGATGGATTTGGGATGGAACAGAGCTCAAAAAGTGAATTTCATTACAGGAAGACCCCTGGAAGCTAGACATATCGGGGTCGTCCGAGCCGGGATTCTTTGGGCTCTGCTGTGGCCAATCAGTCCTGTATTCAGTTCATCTGATGATGCCGTTCGGAGGCGTGAATTCTCAGTAGACTGGCGCGCCAGTCTGCCCAAACCTCATTTCTAAACGTAAGTACCAATCTAGCGAGGATTGAATGTAGTCTGCAAGTCACCAAATCTTACCGGTGCTACCGACGGTCTGGATCAACTTGTTCAATACCCACGACCTCAAGGTAACTCTGAGAAGAAAGATGTCTTTTCTAGTGATAGTATACATATCATTCATTGATTTTACACCAGCACAATTTGACTGACTCGACAATATTTCTTCTTGGCCACCCAAGCCGGAGTATGATATCCGGTATCAGCAGTATGCCGTATCGATCACCGTTGAGTTCGCAAATGGACTCAAGTTGTTTACGGTATCATGCAATTATTATATTAGCCTACTTCATGCATGCACATGAATGCGCGTAGCGTACTTTGCGTCTCCTGCCTGAAACATCGTCATTAGTTGGCGGTCTTAGGATACAGTTCGTGAACCTCTGTTTTTATAGAGAGCATGACGTTCATTTGGACCCAAGAAATTCCAAAAGATTGTCCACCATAACTTGATGAATATGTGAAGTCCTGTTCCCAATATTAGCATCGTCTTCAGGGCGACGGTGATGCACAGTAGTGGCCTACAGATGGGCACTATTAAACCAAAAGTACTGGTCCAAAGGCTCACAACCATACTTAGCAGGGTCAGTGGCAACGTCCGGTTCGTCCCAAGCATCACAGTAATCGCGGGTGTTCGTGATACCGTAAGGCTCTGGATCATCCATCACTCCGTTGAGGAACATGTTGGCATCATAAACCATCATGTTCGCACCCGAGTTGTCTTGCGCGAAAACGTCGGCCTGACCGGCCAGCTTCTCATTCCAGTATCTGATCGCCCTCGTGCTGGGCCTTGAAAGCACCAACTTCTGGTTGGCGCTAGTTCGATCCAGGGGAGGCAGGTTGAGGAGAAGAAAGTCCCGATACCCGGCATCGTACATGGGCTGAACCGATTGCGAGAAGATGGCAGAAATGATCTCACTCCAAAAGTCCTTGTACCCTATGCTGTCACTCAATGAATTTACCGTGTCCACGACGTCGTTGATACCTATCCAGATAGCCACAAGGGCCTTAGACTTGTCCATGTCCACACCAATGACTGGCTCCGCGTACGTCAAATATTGCTGCGTTTGGTTGACCAAAGGGTTGACATAGTCGGCATGTCGAGGGAGGTACTCATCAGACACAGCAGCGCCGGCACAGGCGAAGTCCCACAATTGGACATCGCAAGTTGAAGGGAGAGTACCGTTTTCGAGCCCACATCCCGTAAGGAACTCAAGCCAGTTTGGCCCTCCCTCAGCCGTTGCCGTATAGCTCTGCAGTATCTCGTTGGTCAAGAGCTCTTCTGGCGTGAAAGCTATCTGGTCTGCTCGACCTGAGCCGATAAAGGTGAAACCGAGAAGCCCGGCGGTGCCCTGTATGAAGCTATACGAATCCCCGAAAGCAATCCTGGTCATCGATCAGCCTGCTGCTAATACAAGTGTTATACTTTCTGCACGAACAGATACTTAGTTTCGTTCCAGACGAAAGCCGGCTCTGTTGCTCGCGGAGTAGACCGCAGAGCTGGAACAGCTCGTGAGAGCACGACGTCAGTAAGCGTTACGAAGCCAAACAAGCAACGCACCCAAGTCCTCATCATGTATGGCAATCACGGGCAAATATCGCGCAATGAGGTCCAGCCAAGCACAGAGAACCGAAATGACAATGTTGCGTGTTGCAGCTACCGACAATTTTATCTTTTCCAGTACGTCTCTGTTTCCTCCGGTCAATCTGCCCCATTGAAACTCCACGAAGCACGACCGCAAGACCCTGTTGCTTCACAGCCTTAGCAACAACCCACAAGTAGGCATGAGGTGCGGTGATTGGCGGAAACGGATGGAGCATACTGCGCACGTCACTGGGCTTTACTGCTAGATTATGTCGCTTCGCATGAGTAGCTCGCCTCGAAGTGGTCATATGTTACTATTATACATACCGTTCGTAACTGTCAAGCTCGTGCGGCGCCGACATCCTCCAACTAGGGGTAGGATCGCCTCGGCTGTTGAGCCATGATCATCCTCGGGGACGTCACGTTCCGGATCCGGCACTGGCGTCTTGTGCCGCTGGTGCAGATACATGCGCGATTCACCAAAAAGAGGCTGGGGTTCAGCAAGGTGCCCAGTCAGGCAGCGATCCATAAGGCAGGACGACAATTGTGAAGCTTACTTCCTGGCTGTTGAATAAGTTCGAATTGTCTTTTCTGCGGATTTGTGCACTACGCAGGCTACCCCCCAGCCATGAAGAAACGGTATTCAGCTAAGCCGACATCGTGGGTCTTCCGACGCCGATCTCCACCCAAACCTGACCTTCAGGGTCATTGATCTTCTGACGGTCTGTCTGTCAAAATCTCCTAGCCATGTCAATCAAAAAGTGAGAAATGATCAACAATGAATCGTCGCCAATCCCTTTATCAAGTAGGCCGACCCAGTCCTCGTGCTATCATATATTCGCTTCCTGAGAACGTCCAACATCAATCAACTTTCGTTCTACTGAGCGGCTCTGTAGATACTAATTCTCGAACTCCCACCACAGAATTCGGTATTGTCTCCCTTGCACAGCATGGAGCAATCGGCCTCATCAGCTTTGATAGCACCGCTGATGGGGCCATCGTTATTGCAGTAGCACTCTTGCTCCCACTCGGTGCCCATGAACTTGTATCCCTTCGCTGCACAGAACGCCGCACAGCTCTCCACAGTCATGGACTTGGCGTCTGACGTGCTCATGCCATTCGCTAGTGCGCGTCCGGAGGTGCCTTCTTTATAACAGGCTAAGTAGTTGTAGACAGCTCTACCGCTGATGCTGACAGTGGGTACGTTGTGTGGTGGCACGTACAAGGTGTTGTTCCAGACGGAGATGCGTGAGCTACCGCCGCAGGTCTGAGACGGGTTCCCTTTGCAAGGCATGTTGCACGACCTCTCGTCCGCGGCGAGTGTCTTGGGGGGCGGCATATTGCCACAGTAGCACTCGCCGGCATACTCCATTCCTGCGAATGCATAGTTCTTAGCTTGGCAGTAAGCTGCACATTGGTCAACGGAAACGGTGGAGTTGGCGTATGAATCCTTGTTGAGAAGACGGCCGTTGATCTCCGAGTAACAACCGTTGTACACTATCGTCTTGCTGGTTCCCACTACAGAAGAGGTATCGTTCCAGATGGTCAGAAGGTTAGGCGCTCCGCACCATTGCGTCTGGTTCCCGCTGCAGATCATTTTGGGAGTTGAATTGCAGTCTGCAGCAGCCATGAACGACGCGCCAGAAGACAGTGAGTTGGCACACCAGCATTCCCTGGAATACTCCAAGCCCGCAAGTCGGTAGCCTTTCTGTCTGCAAGTAGCAGTGCATGACTCGATAGACATCGTGTCTGACGAGAAGGTGAATGTGGCCAGTGTTCTCTGGTTGTTAAGCTCCGCAGCACAACCGGCATACACCCATGACGAATTGAGCGTGGTTCCTATACTCGGTTCGAACATTGTCTTCCCGGAGTCTTGTGGTGCCGCGTTGGTGGATGGCTGGGTTGGACAGGTCACTGCAGGAGCCCGTTCAGGGCCGCTCGTAACGTTGTTGCAGCCCGGAAGTCTGTCCAGCATTCCATGGACCGGCTCGTTGACCAGAGGTGGCCTCTCTGGACAATTCGTGCTGAAATATGGCGTTTGAGATTTAGCAAGCGGCGGACATTTTGATATCACACCATTCAAGCTATCATTGTTGACGCATTGTGCAACGGCGCTGGCAAGCGTCTGTTGATCCCACCCATTCATAAAGTCACCGTGGAATCCGAAGCCTGTAGTATCTCCATTGGCGAAGACAAATCTGCCGCCTGGGGTCTTCTGGATATCATTGACACCATATAAAACCTCAAAGAACAAGTGTATCAGCTGGCGGGGATGAGTTGGTGGGCACACTCCGTTGTCAATCTGAGACATATATGCCACATGACTGTTATCTGGTTGATAATCTCGGCCGTCCCAGCACGACTGGAACTGTATCTGTGCCCGTAGACCATAATCACAGTCGGTACGAAACAAATAGTTCTGTTCCTTCATCGGACCCGAGCTATCGAGACAAGCAAAGCTGACCCTGTCCGATCTAAGGCGGCCTCTGATCTGCGCGGTATTATAGGTCATTGTGACTGTGTCATTCGACCGCGCGCTCGAGTCTCCCGATAACATCCGAAACCCGGGAGGGAATGGCTCAATGTTAGTTCTGTTGTCACCGCGTCCAAGGTAGTATACGGTATGGCCGCCGTTGGGTACCTCCTGAAAACTCCCATTGGTGTGCTGGTAGTATAGCTGCGGAGTCCAGTAGGCAGACTTGTCGTCCTGGATCTCACAAGAAGTACATCTCGAACTCAGGAGGTCGTCGTAGGTGTTGCTGAAGCCGAAATTGCTGGCTCCTGAGACTTTATGAGCGTGTGCAGCGATGCTTCCCGGGTTGACAATCGGATCTATACGGCCGGTCTGAATGATACCACAGGACATACGCCAGAAACCATTGACAAGGGGAGAAATCGCCAGAAAGCCGGCGAGGCTTTTGCTTGGGATCAGCATTTCGCGGTTGAAAAGCGTGACTTCTTTAAAGCAATAATATGTGCAATCTTTGAGGATCTTAGCCTGGGTCCCCCAGCATATATAAACCAACAAGGCACGTAGAGGCCAACGTGGTTTCCATGCTGCGCGCTAACACGTGGAGTGGGTTCCAGCAAATGAGGCATATCACGATATGTCTCAAGCCAACTGGGTCGCAACAATGGTCTGGAACGATTTGGCCATCAGGGCTGAGACACAGCATGCCTAATGGGGTCTATTAGGAGGGTCTAGTGCAAGTCCTATGATCACTGATAAAAATACCATGGCGCATATTCCCACTTGACATCTACTGCTGCAAGCGTTCTAGAGCATTCATACAAGTTGGATATTAACCTGTATGTAGTCATGACTCTTCAGGGTGGACATCAGATGCACCAATATTTTTGTGCACTCGTTTTGCTGTCATTTGAAGTCGCCGTGTCTTGAAATTTTAGCGTGCGCGATAAATCACCTTTCGACTTCAAACGGCCCGAAACCCAACGTGAGCATACTCATGGGTGCCAATAAAGTTTCAATGTCTCTATGATCGTAGCATGTCACCGGAAACCTGGTGTCAACTTGGAAATAGTAGAAACTTGCCGGCATTCCCTAGCCCGGCTTACCGAAGAAAAGCAATGGAATACAAGTGGACTAGAATGCGCAGATATCGGTAGATATGAGTGCTTCAGGTAACTGGAGGTTAGGGGGACTGGTGTTGGTCTCATGATAGCTCGTAACTTTGTGGCGTTTGACACGAGGTTGAGCGCGGCGATTGATAAGTACGGTAAAATGAATTTGCAATAGGATCCGTGCTGGAATACTTTCGTGCAAGGTACAACATTGACCGGAAAAAATGCAATCGTCGCTTTTGGAGTGTTCGAGTACACGAGTGACGATTACATCAGTGACGAGTACATGAGTGAGAGTATCGGGTATTTTTGGTAACAATATAATAGCGAAGTCACACAGAGATACCCATAGCAGAGCTTGGATAGTCAAAAGGCCCACTCATGTCGACGCTCTCGCCGGGTCTTCGGTTGGGCTGTTATGGCGCTTCGGGAATCGCTTAGGATGGCTTAAGATACAACCATCAGGTGTGGTTACATTTGAGTCTCTCTGGATGTCGATTGGTACCCAGGTTGCAATGGATGGCGTAACCTGAGACTCTATGCGTACGAGCGGTTCAAAGTTGAAAGCCAATGCGGATATTCCGTTCGTCCATGCCACATTCGACGAGGCGAGCCGGACAGCCATCAGCCCGGAGGATGCTGCTGAGTCGCATTTGTTCCAAGCGGTAGCTAAGGATGTTGTGGTAAGAATCGTCTTGCGACATGGGCATGTCGAACAGCCTCCACAGAACTTGAGCCAGGCTTTACTCTCGAAAGTGTTGTGATATTGAGACAAGTGACCGATGCTCGCCCTTCTTCCAATTGTCAACATCGTGTTCTGCGACGGCAGCCCAGGCGCTGAGCGGGTCGGCCCAAATGTCCCATTTGCCAATTCGACCGTCCTCGTCCCAGTTACTTAACACATAAGTGAATTTCTCATCCCAACTTCGGCCCGTCGCAACACTCTCAAATTTACCCTTGCCCATAACCGAGACCTTTCCTGTGTCTGCATCAACAGCGAGTGCGTCTTTGCCGGGAAAGCTGTCCTCGTCGAGATGCATCCTGAGTGACTGGGACAGAAGCTCAAAGTACTCCACGCAACCATCCACGCCCATGAACTCTCGACCAAGGAAATGCAGATGAGACGTTGCCCATGATGGGCCGTGTTCTTTGATGGACGGATTGTCACTAGTGAAAAATTCCTTCAAAAGCTCCCGCGGCGGAGGTGGTGAGATCAAGGACCTGCAAAAGTCATGGGCACGGCTTCGAAGAAGAGCGGCCCGGTCCTTGGAGGCGTCTGTGTGATTCCTCTGTACTGTGTGGGAGATCATTGTGGCATCTGTATGAATGGCGTCTGTGTTGACTTTAAGTTTGGGTGTGGTTGTGGTCAGTAGCTGTAAGTGGTCTAAGTTAAGTAGTTGCCGTCCGACGATCGGCTATTAGTAAGAACAATGAAGGCTCACTTGAAGCCAGTGTAACAGGCGCATCTGCAGAAACTGTTTGACGCACCGACTTCGTTACTATGACATCATTGGGCTATGGATACTGGAGTCGAACACGAGAAAGTGGCAACCTGCTCCATCAGAAAGCTGGTTCTGAAAGGCTGCAGCATTCGGGCGGGATGCAACAGATCCCGACTTCAAAGACCTGGGCTGCTGGGCAAAATGTCAAATAGTTGTGACCTCATAGTACGGGAGCTTGGTGTCGAGATCTTGCGAAGCTGAAAGCCAGTCATCAACCCCAAACATGAAATAAGACTCGTGGGTAATGAGTCTAGCTGGCTGTGGTACCATGATCCAATAACAGCGATTGTACTTGCACCGACATAGTTTGCATCCAGAAGGATATATTCCCGTAGATCAACACGGGCGCAGTTGAATCCATGTAGAACACTGGCTTTGAAGTATGGTTCTAGTAAGTAATGATAGCATACTTCGCATTCTTCACAACCTTCCGCGCTGGTATTGTAGTAGCACAGGTGCGAAAGAAGACGAAGATGTCGGGTAATATTACTATTCAGCTCCATCAATTGCCAGGAGTGACCTCTGTGTAGCCCGTTAAGTGTCTTGTTGAATTGTTCCAAGAGAAAGGCGCGTTGATATAACAGGCAAGCGGTGTGGCTGCAAACTTGCCCCACGTTCGAATTCTGCCACTTTCACGTCGGTGGTCCCGCTCTCCATGCTGGAAAACCGAGGGGTGACATATGATCATTCATCGAAAGCGTGTATACCTGGACCATACGCTCTTTTTACCCTTTCTATTCTTCTCATCGATCTTACCGCTTAGACCTTCCTTTCTTGTCACTGGCGCCCGCGGCGCCCAACCGCCAAGATGGTGAACATCACGGAGAAAATCAAGGAGTAGGCGTCCACCCCACCTTGCAGGAGTTTCTGCGCATAGTGCTCACACAATGGTACAGGATCGAGGATGAGATGAGAAGGACGCAAAGTATGGATTCCACGTTAGAGTATGGATGACGACAAAGTGCTTGGCTAATTTGTTTTCCATCTTTATAGAGAACAAGGCCACAGGTGAGTAGCGACAGCCTTTACATGTACTAGCCACAAACCGTTGTTAATTCTTGGAAATAGAATACCATCTTGGTCTACTGAAAGGGTGGGTAATTATGTACTCATTCTATACTGCAAGCAACTGAACTGTCACACAGAAAGCTTGCACGTCTCCGCGCACAACTCCTTGAGCCTGGTCCGGGATCTGGCGGTGGACCGGGAGCCGGGTTTGATGTCAGCAAGAGTGGTGATGCCCGTATAGCGCTGGTCGGCTTCCCGTCGGTAGGAAAGTCGACCTTCTTGTCCAAGGTTACGAAGACGCGGTCAGAGGTTGCGTCCTACGCCTTCACAACGCTCACAGCCATTCCTGGTGTGTTAGAGTATGGTGGAGCAGAGATTCAGCTGCTCGATTTGCCGGGTATCATCGAGGGTGCTGCCGAAGGCAAGGGTCGTGGACGTCAGGTCATCTCGGCGGCTAAGACGAGCGATCTCATCCTCATGGTGCTGGATGCGACGAAAAAAGCGGAGCAAAGAGCGCTGCTGGAAGCTGAATTGGAGGCGGTAGGCATCCGATTAAACCGGGAGCCCCCGTAAGATGCTTCGAACGAACTCTTTGCTCTGTGCCCAGCTAATGAACTGCAGGAACATCTACCTCAAGCCCAAGAAGGCTGGAGGCATGAAGATCAACTTCCAGCAACCGCCCAAGAACCTGGATGAGAAGATGGTCTACAACATCCTGCGCGACTACAAACTGCTCAACTGCGAGGTCCTCTTCCGCGACGACGAGGCCACAGTAGACGACCTCATCGACGTCATCATGAAGGACCATCGCAAGTACATCAAGTGTCTGTACGTTTACAACAAGATCGACAGCGTGTCCCTCGACTTCCTGGACAGACTGGCCCGCGAGCCGCACACTGTGGTCATGAGTTGCGAGCTGGACCTTGGAATCCAAGATGTGATCGACCGGTGTTGGAAGGAGCTGCAGCTGATCAGAATCTACACCAAGCGGAAAGGAGTGGACCCGGATTTCAGTGAAGCGCTGATTGTGAAGAAAGAAGCCACTATTGAGGACGTGTGCGACCGCATCCACAGGACGCTCAAGGACACATACAAGTACGCCATGGTGTGGGGAGCAAGCGCAAGACACATACCGCAGAGAGTGGGCTTGAGTCATCAGGTGGCAGACGAAGACGTGGTCTACATTGTCAGCGGGTATAAAGCATAGATCCACCCAAGCCGAGCAACATCAAGGACACAGTCACAACATTACATGAAGAGCAAGACGTTGTGAATTGTTGATGTTTATTCGTCGTATCGTATCATTATGACCTTTTCATCCTGTGGAGAGGGCGATGAGCCTTTCCTAGCCGGGGAATCCCCTTCGGCAAAACAAGAACGCCATTGTGTACTCCTGACATGACATAAGAAAGCAGAAACCCCTGGGTGGAAAGACACCCCCAATAGCTCGTATAATCCATGAGCAACAGTATACAAGTTTGTTTGTGCGCGAATTGATCGCAAGTGGTCGTAACATAAGAAGACAGTGAAGAAAGCCGGCCCCAAAGGGCAAGCGAAGTGGGCTGAACAAGGACAAAGAAGACTCAGAAGCCGGACGGCCTCGTGGTGCTCTTAGCGCCTAGGACGTTCTCGCCGTCGAACTTTTTGGCCGACGCTTGCGCGAAGAGGGACTTGGGCTTCGCCCTGTGAGGGAAATCGCATTAGCTATAGCTCTAAGCCATCGTTGGCAGCGCCTCGGGGCGAACGCTGGGGGTGCGACTTACTTGCCGACCTGCTTGTTGCGGAACGCATTCAGCTTGGCTGTACAGGGGCTCATGATGGTGTCTGAGGGCGAGACGTAGGACTTCTTGTTCCTGTAGGCGGGATTAGCAACTTGTCTGCGTAGGGGCTGGAGAAGGCGATGGCCGGAGATGGAGCGCGCGCGCTCTTGTATTTGCGCCAGCAACAGGCGTGTGTTTTGGGGAGGACAGGGCTGTCAACGTACTTCTCTTCCTCCATCTTGGACTGCAACACTTGACGATGGTACTCCATGCTCTTAATGTTGGCGGCGTCAGCCTGCGGCACCACGAAGGTGTTGACGTCCTTGTCTGAGAGCACGTTGGAAGGCATGGTGGCTAGTTTTGAGAATGCGTTTCTCGTTGCTGGTATGCGATGCTGAAAGCGAGGTGGTGGTAATGGGATGAGCGGCTGGCTAGATGGATGGATGGATGCGTTCGTGAAGCGGCGGTTGAATTTGAGGGGGGGAGACTTTTGGGCTGATGCGAAAGTTGTTTGTAGATGCGGTCCAGATTGGATGCGACGGGATGCGGTTTATCAAGTGCCTTGAGAGCCGTTGTTCATGAGGTCAGATCAGTGGAGCCTTCCGGGCCTTGGTTTTTTTGGTCGTCGGTAGAAAATTGTTCTTTCCGCTGTGGAAGTGGGATCCAGTGTCAATAGAGGACGCGCTGGCCCGGCAACCACAAGAGATGAACTAGTTAGCGCCGTACCTGCTTCTGACTTTGGGGGGGTGGGCCCGCGCCCCGAGTTCATTGCTATTGCCGGCCTGTGCTCGGGTTCAGGCCCCCGGCGACCCACCCGAACTGCCCTCGGAACCCATGTCGGCCACTCAGCCCAGGCGCATTCCAACGCCTCGAAACCTCGCGCTGTTGTGTCGTGTACAATGACTCACTTGCAAACCTAGTTCTTGAACAACTCATCCACAGTCGCAGGGATTCGGTGTTCACGGGCGTGTTGGGATAGCAACAGCATGAGCTTTGCTTGATATTGTCTCCTACTTTCTACACACAGACCTGTTGTTTTGGCCACGAGATACAATACTGCAGACAGATAGATCGATAGATAGACAAGATAGATCAATAATTTAGTTGTCATACATATGATAGGATGCTCAGCGCTAGATCTACAAACGAGACTTGTTCTTGATGTGCGAACCTGGCTCGTACCTCTGCAGGCTGTACTTTTGAAGCAGCTGCTCCGTCTTCTGCTTCTGGCCCAGGATCTTCTGTGTCACCTCCTTGCCTCGCTTGTTCTCGTTGCGGCCCATCTGCGCGAGGTGCACCTCATCCGGCCCGTCTGCCAGGCGCAACGTCCTAATCTGTGCCCACATGTTTGCCAGCGGGGTGTCTTGACTGACGCCAGCACCGCCAAAGGCCTGGACGGCTCTGTCGATGACGGTCAGTGCGGTCTGCGGCACCAGCACCTTCGCCTCTGCGATCTCCTTGAGCGTCGCCTTGGGGCCGAGGTCGTCCATCTTCACGGCGGCATTCAGCACGATCAGCCGTGCGGCGTCGATCTCGATCCTGGACTTTGCAACCCACTCCAGAATGACACCGTGTTCCTTCAATTGCTTGTTGAAAGGCGTCTTCTTGGGGTCGTTGATGCGCATCAACATCCACTCAAGAGCACGCTCAGCGGCGCCGATACTTCGCATGGCGTGGTGAATACGTCCCGGTCCAAGACGGCCCTGGATGATCTCGAAACCGCGCCCTTCGCCCAATACCATGTTACTGACAGGTACTCGGACATTCTTGAAAGTGATGTGACCATGACCATGCGGGGCATCATCGTAGCCGTACACTGACAGCATGCGGTGAATGGTGATACCGGGCGTGTTGGAGGGCACGAGCACAACAGACTGTTGCTTGTAAACGTCCTTGTTGCTGGCGTCCGACTTGCCCATAACAATGTAGATCTTGCATCTGGGGTCACCAGCTCCACTTGACCACCATTTCTAGGCTCAATGTTAGCAAACCAAATAACGTTGAACACGGAGACCGTGCTTACCGAGCCATTGAGCACATATTCATTGCCCTCCTTGCGGATGTTCAGGGAAATGTTGGTGGCATCCGAGGAAGCAATGTCGGGCTCAGTCATGAGGAAGGCGGACCTGATCTCGCCGTTCATCAGGGGCTTCAGCCACTGGGCCTTCTGTGCGTCATTGCCATACTTGGCCAAAACCTCCATGTTGCCCGTGTCAGGGGCGGCACAGTTGGTGGCTTCCGAGGCGACCCTCGACTTGCCGAGCCACTCTGCCATCAGACCGTACTCGAGGTTGGTGTACCCGGGGGACTCCTTGTAGTGTCCCTTGGGGAGGAACATGTTCCACAGGCCGAGCTTCTTGGCCTTTTCCTTCAGCTCGTCAACGATGGCCGGGTGGTGGTCCCATCGCTGCGACCCTTCTCCAATCTGCGCTTCGAGCACAGGGTCGGCTGGAATGCACTCCTCCTCAACAAACTTGGCCACAATGTCCAAGGTCTTCTTAGCCTTGTCGCTAACGCGGTCGGCGACCTGCGGTTCTGGTGTAAGCTTGCCTGCATCCTCACATCTCGCGACAAGTAACCTACCAGAGCTGGTATTTGAGCAGACATGACGGGCTATGCTATGCTAGGTATGTCCCCTGTGGTGGTCAGAGTGAAAGAAAGAAAGAAAGGAGCTTTACAGGAGGTAGAGCAACGGACTATGGGAGCAACTTTAAGATAAAAAGGTCGAAGAAGCTTGCCCGAGGCGTTCATAACGATGGCGGCGCTGGGCGTTGCAGCTCCAGCCAAATTGGCCGAGGTAACTTCCCCGTTTCAGCGGGGTAGGGGCAGCTACTGATGCGGCGCTAGTACGGGGGACCAGGGCCGAAAGCTGGGGAAGATGTCCGTTTAATGCAGAATCTATGCAACAAGCTGAGCAACGATCTGATCATGTCGTACGAGCAAATAAGAAGAGCTCGATCTGGGGAATCCGTCGACCTTAACGTAACGCTGCAATGCGAAAGAGGCAGTACCCAGTCGGCTGTGCGCTTGCGACTGCGTTGTCTGTATCTCGAGACGGTAAGCCAACGGTGCAGTACCTATTATAGTACACTTGAGGGCTCGCTAGGGAGAGGTGCCAGCGACCGAAAAGCGGGACCCGAGCATGTAGAGTGAGTAGTACTGGCTAGGCCGATGTCTAGTGAGCTATCCACCATTATGCATGTAAAAGGTATTGGCACTGATCCCGCTGCTGTCGTTATCGCCTCCCAAAGTTTTGGCTAGGCTCGCAGCATGCAACTTGATTGAGCCTCAGCCTCGTCACATTTTCGGCGGCCTCATTCCGACCACCACCCGTCACACAAATCCCTAGGGGACTCTTCGAACATGGCGGACGAGAACAACGACCAAGCGCTCGTTGCGCAGTCGACCGAAGTCGCAGCGCCCGCGCCCAAGAAGGTCAAGAAGATCATTCGCAAGAAGCGCCCGGCGCGCCCACAGGTCGACTCCGACTTCATCAAAGACGAGCCGCCGCCCCGGACTGGCACCATCTTCAACATCTGGTACAACAAGTGGTCAGGCGGCGACCGTGAGGACAAATACCTGTCAAAAACAGCAGCAAAGGGTCGCTGCAACATCGCTAAGGACGCCGGCTACACCAAGGCCGACAAGGTCCCCGGCTCCTACTTCTGCCTCTGGTTTGCGAGGGGCCTCTGTCCGAAGGGCCAGGACTGCCAGTACCTGCACAGGCTGCCGGGCATCCACGACATGTTCAACCCCAACGTCGACTGTTTCGGACGCGACAAGCACTCGGACTACAGGGACGACATGGGCGGTGTTGGTAGTTTCATGCGGCAGAACCGGACGATATACGTAGGCAGGATACACGTCACCGACGACATCGAGGAGATCGTTGCGCGGCATTTTGCCGAGTGGGGTCAGGTTGAGCGGATACGCGTCTTGAACACGAGAGGTGTGGCATTCATCACATACTCAAATGAAGCCAACGCGCAGTTCGCAAAGGAGGCCATGGCACACCAGGGCTTGGACCATAGCGAGGTGCTAAACGTGCGGTGGGCCACGGCAGATCCGAACCCGATGGCGCAAGCGAGAGAAGCAAGGAGAATCGAGGACCAGGCTGCAGAGGCGATACGACGTGCGCTACCAGAAGCGTTCGTTGCCGAGATCGAGGGTAGGGACCCCGAGGCAAGGAAACGGAGGAAGATTGAGAGTAGTTTTGGCCTGGACGGATATGAGGCCCCAGACAACGTCTACTTCGCCAGAGGAACACAAGCCGTCAACCCTGTGGGCCGGGAGGGATATGAGCTGGAGCATGAGCAACGACTCATGATTGAGAATGGGCAAGCAGGCGGTGAAATGGCCGCACTGCCTGCCCCTGAACCTGCGGAACAGGACAAGGGAGGCATATTCTCGAGCAGCACACTGGCTGCCCTGAAGACTGCCCAAGTTGCGGCTACACCCAAAGCAACAGTGCAGAAATCGTCGGGGCCATTGGTCGCGTATGGTAGTGATGATGAAGACGATGACGAATAGGGGTATGAATCAACGCTTTCCTGCCAGAAGCAGAAGCGATAGCGTTTAATAGATCACCACCTTCATCGAATATTTCCTATGGGTATAATGCACCACCGCGCCGTGTTTCCCAACCTCTATGTCTATCCCAAGCCAGATAGACACCCTTAGCTATTAAATATCCTGGAATATAGCATCTCGTGCCGGCCAACCCATAAATCCATGACTGGCACACTCTGCCCAGCCTCCTCGACCTTAGTGTCCCATTCTCGCTCGATCATGGCCGTGATCATGTCCTGCACCTCGCCGCTCGCCAGAATCCGCTGTGCCACGTACGGGCCCATCATGGCCGCTCGCACGCCGGCCGACACGAGCGCCTTGACGTGCGACAGCATGAAGACGTACGCCGTCTGGTGCAGCGTCATACCCAGCAGACGGCACACGGCGCCGAACAGCGGCGCCAGGTGCGCCGAGTAGCCCGGCAACGCCAGGTCGTCACCGCCGATGCCATTCACCCCCGAGGAGGAGGAGGACGACGACGCCGCCATGCCACGCCGCAGGTCCGAGATCACGGCGCGCTCCGCCGCGCCCGCTGCCGGCGCGAAGCTCTTCTCCCAGACGCCGAGCAGCGCGCGGCCCTGCGCGACCGAGGCGCGCCGCCCGACGGTGCAGATGACGGCCGCGTCGTACGCGTCGTCCAGGTCCGCGACCAGCGCTGGGTCGCGGTGCGCCGCCAGCACGAAGGGCAGCGTCGTGGACGCGTAGGACGACAGCGAGCGGGGCAGGAACGTGGTGAAGGAGGCCGCGCCGGCGGCAGCCGGCCCGCGCGCCATGTGCGTCTTGTACGACTCCAGGCCCGACGAGAAGGCGAACGAGCCCAGCGGCAGGGCCGAGTCCGACAGCAGTAGCAGGTAGTGCTGGGCGGAGCCTAGGGCTGGGGATGATGGGACGGCCTGGCGCACATGGTGCGGCAAGGCGCCGTCGTCGTCGGGTTGGGGCCGGACTCCGTCCTGGCTGGCCAGCCGCTGTTTCGCCTCGTGCAGGCGCGCTTCCAGGTCTGCGACCTCCTTTTCGAGGGCCTCGCGCGGGTCTTCGCCGGATGCGCCGCTCATAGTGCACAGTCCACGGTGAAGTTGGCGGTCCACAGGATCACAAGTCTAGGGGAGGTTTCTTGAGGTTTGGCGATGAATCGCTTAATTTCATATTTCCCTATCAAACTCCACATCACGCTCTCGCAACCAACAACTGAATCCAGGCTCAGGGATATCTCAAGACTCAAAACGATACTGCGCCAATTTACTTTTCATCCCCTATTCCATAATTCCAAGACGCCACTTCTTTCACGGCCTCATGTTCTCTTTGTCGGTAGCCCTCTGTCTTTCCCTTCGCCTTTGTGCTAGTCGGGCTCTCGCTGCAGATTCGCGGTCCGCAGGCAGAGTGCACCGAGACACATTGGCTGCCATGGCCGTGTCGTCAGGATTCGGGCCACCAAGCTTGACAAAGCGATTCTGCAGCAGATCTATGACAGGTGCGTCTTCGAATGAGGATTGTGGGTGGAGCGAAGCGTGCTTAGCGGGGTGTCGGGAGGCCGTGAGTGCAGCACCGCGCCTGGATGCCTCAACCTTCCCACCAAGCGTTCCTCGGGAAGTGACGCTTCGCTGGCGCGTCTCTCTTGGTAACGCTTCATTGATACGATCAGACATGACTCGTCGCGCTCCAGAGGATAATGCCGAGATGTGAGACATCTCTAAACGTCTTGAAACATCGACATCAAAGTCATCCAAGGGTGAATTACGATGTTGTTTCCGTGCTTCCATCTGTTGGCGTTTCTCTCGCCGGATCTGCTCTTCAATATCTTGCAGACTATCGGTCCAGTCCGCAGACAAGCGGCGGTTAGACCAAGTATCCTTAGGAATGGCACTACGCTTGTCAGTGTCGATGTTGAGATGAGAATGTTGCGTCAGCTCTAGAGTGAGGTCCTCGGCTGAGACCGATCTCTTGGGTTGCCCTAGTCTTGCCCTCTGATGGATGGAAGGTTTGTTTAGGGTTGCAATGTCCGACTTGAGACCCCTGGTAATCTTGCTGTGCCGAGCAAGAGCTTCATCGAGGTTGCTGGAACGGTTCTGAAGCTCAGCGCCCTTGAGGGTCTCAATCTTGCTCTCCAGCTCAGTGATTCTTCCGTTCTTCTCCTTGAGGACTTGCAACGCTTGGCTTCTCTGCGCTTTCGCATTTTCCTTTAGCTCCGCGTAGTCTTTCCGCAGCTTCTTCAACTCGTTGTCTTTTTGTTCCGACGCCTCCTGCAATTCCCGCACTTGTCTCTCCAATTTCTGGGTCCCTGATGATTGTGAAGCCTCCCCTACAAGTCGTTTATTCTCCTCTGCTAGTTTCGTGGTTCTTTGCTCGGAAAACAGCAGATCAGACTTGAGTCGATCCACCTCTTGACGAAGACGATCCATGCCCTTGAGCTCACTACGTGCTCGTCGTAGCTCACGATTGGTTTCAAGCAAGGTTTTTTCCGCACCTGGGGAAGTATCAACGCGGCGGCGGTTGCTTTTGTCGTCTGAGCCTGCTTGATTCCGAAGCAATGCTGCTAGCTCCTTCACCTGCTCCCTATACTGGGCAGCTAGTTCGGTTTTCTCTGCCAACTTTTTCTCGAGGGCGGCATTCTCGGAAACAGTGGGAGCTTTTCCTTGGGTCCCGCCTAGCTGAGAAGCCAGGTCCTTGATCTTCTTCTCCATCTTGACCACCTTCTCCTGCTCCTCCTTAAGCTTCTGGTTCAGGTCCACGGCCTCGGCGTCTTTCTTCTGGGCATAGCATTTAGCTAGATGCTTGTATTTGACGAGCTTCTCCATCTCGACTCGAGCATCGTCGGCGTACTTGCTGAACTCAGACTTCCAATATTTACCAGACCTGGAGTGGGGCTCGTTAAGATCCACTGTCACGTCGTGGTTGCATATCTCGTCTTCCCACTCATCGTCTGTCCCGTCCTCCACGGTTTCCACGGGCTTGGTCGAACCTCCAGCTTTCCGCTGGTCCTGTGGTTTCGATCCAGGATTGTTGGATTTTGACTTCTTGACACGCGACTCCTCCAATCTTTGCTGCAGAGTCGGCTTCTTGAGAGCGTCGACGGTTTGCGAGGCGTCACCATTAGTGCCCGCCTTGGTGTCCCGATCGAAAGATACTCGCTTTCGACGGGCCGTTGCGGTTCCGGGAGTCAGGAGAATCCCAGTCGGTTTCGCAGGCGACCTTGAGTCCTTCATTGCGGCGTCAGGTCCCGTTGCGTCCGTCGCATCGCGTCCGGGATCGGAAGGAGGGCCGTCTTTTGCGGGTGCCGGGGTGCCAAATATCGCGTGTCGGATGGCACGAGCAGCAAAGACTGGCGCCGGGGTATCTGGAACATCGATCTGTGTGATGTCGCCTGTTATTCGTGAGTATTTGTCCATCTGGGTGCTGCTGTGACGCGACCATACCTTCCTCTGGCGGCGCGTTGGTTGCGCCAGTCGCGCTTTGGATGCCCTTCTTGAGAGCCCACCCCAGCATCTTATACAGTATGCAGGAAAGCCGATTACTAGGGAAAGAAATCCATGCAAAGGTCAAAGCCAGTCGCAGTCGCGATCGAGCGGGCTGAAATGTGCAAACAGGCAAATAGAGGGGAGTAAGTTCGCCAAATCGTGTTCGATGGTGTATTTACATCTTGCCTCTTCGGGGATGGTCTCTGGTTGGGCGTCCCGCTATCTTCAGCTGGCTCAGCCCGGGGGGTGCCAGCGGACTGCACTGGACTGTGGTAAGTTAGCGCCCGGCTCCCGGCCGCGGCGCTTTGTTTTACCGCGATACCGCCACTTCCCAGCTTCTTAACCCACCACGATAGTGCCCCACGTCCCCCACTACGTTGAGCCCAAAGGTGAAGCCGAGCGCTGGACTCGTGGCTTTTGCTTTTCTGCAGTATTCAACTTCAGTAACGAACTTAAAACAAACCAGGGTATAGCAAGCGGCAGCATGGCTTCATCTTTGTAAGACTTGCAGCTTCGGCTGTGATCTTACCCGTTCGCCCGTCCACTCCTCGAACGATTCTGAAAAGTCAAGATGCCTTCGAAAGCCACGGGGCGATGGAAGACCCCTCTGCAGCTGACCAAGAGCAACGATGAGTCAAGTTATCCTGGGCTCACGCCCGCCAGCCCTGACAAGGGCTCCGCGTCCAAGACGCAATACACCGATACCCAAGAAGAGGAGATGATGGTCCTGCGGGCCATCTATGGTGACGATTTCATTGAGCACAAGGCCGCCAATAGTGCCTGGCAACGCTCAGAGCCGTCCTTCGACATCCGCCTCAAGGCCTTCTCTGACGATGAACTCACTGTGACCCTTGGCGTTGTCCTGACGGTGACCTATCCCAAGTCGATCCCACTCCTCAGTCTGAAAGACGACACCAGCCTAGGCGAGTCTACTTTGTTCAAGGTCCAGAAGTTCATCGAGTCCAAGCCCAAAGCCTTGGCTTCCTCAGGTCAAAGTGAGCCCATGATACATGAGATCGCCGAAGGTATCCAAGAAATCCTTGAAGAGGCCGCTTTGGTCAAAGCCCAAGGGTTGGACTTGCCATCTCTGGAGGAAGAGCGAGCTGCCCATGAGGCTGAGTTGGCTCGCCTTGCTCACGAACATCAATCAGAAGAAGACCGAAAAAAGCAGGAAGCCACAGCCGAAGAGGAACGTGTAATGCAGAACATGATCCAAGAAGAGTTGAAACGCCAACGCAACAAGGAGAAGGAATCCAGGAAAAGGGGCAAGCCGCAGCCAATGGGTGTGAGCCTTTCGGAAGAGTCACAAGATCTCGAAGACGGCAAGGTCGACTTCGATGAGCCCTGCAAGATCAGTGATTTGGCAGGAAACGACGTGTACTTCACTGCCGTCTCAGGAAAATCTGAGTACCGCCAAGGTTTGGTTGCGACCACTTATACAGTGCGTGCCGTGCTGGCGCGAGGTCAGACTGCGCCTTCACTTGCTCTCAAAGAGGTTGAACTGAGGTCCAGCCAGAAGGAAGTATCTCATTTCAAAAAGCAACTGCTGAGTCTAGAGAACAAGTTGAAATCAATCAAGCAGCTCACACACCAGAACCTTCTCCAGTTGATTGACTTCCGCATTGATCGTGATCCTCGGGAAGCAGAGGCATCACCAAACCGAATCCTGCGGGTCTTGACACCACTGGCTGACAAAGGCTCGCTGGACGAGCTGCTTGAGCTCACTGGGCAAGTTTCTATCAGGAAGGTTCGGTCATGGACCACGGATCTTCTGGCTGCATTAGGCTACCTTCATACCCAGGGGTTGGTCCACGAAGATATCCATCCTGGCAATATCCTTCTCTTCCGAGAAAGTTCCGGTCATGTGGTACCAAAGTTGGCCGATGCGACATTCCAACGAGAGCTGCATATAATTTGCCGCAAGTCTCGCACGGTTTCATCCCTCAATTCTGCAAGATCAACCTATTGGCTCCCACCAGAGCTCGACAGCAACCCTGGCCCTGTCAACCAGAAGACGGACATCTGGGATTTTGGCGTAGTCTTCCTTCAAATGATATTCGGGCTGGAAGTCTTTGAGAAATACGAAAAGCCGTCCATCTTGATGGCCAGGCTTTCATCTTCACTGCACGAACTCGTCGGCAAATTCTTCAAGCAAGACCCCGGACGACGCCCTCGCGCACTTGATTTACGCTCCAGCGAATTCTTGGCCACGGATGCTCCTATATACGCTGAGGATGCGCACGATCTTCTATCCCCCTCTCAGTCCTTCGTGTCCTTCCCCAATGGTGATGGATTCAGGAGACGATTAGATTCCACGGCCTTGGCACCTTCGTTCTCGAGGTTTAAAAACGAATTCTATGAAGAGGGCCGCCTCGGTAAAGGTGGCTTCGGTGAAGTCATCAAGGTTCGCAAGAAGATCGATGGGCAAACCTACGCCATCAAGAAGGTAGTAACAAAGGCCACAAAGAGTCTGACTACGCTGTTGAAAGAGGTATCCACACTCTCTGCGCTCAGTCACCCTTCAATTGTCAGGTACTATGACTCTTGGACAGAGCAATTGCCAGAATCGCCAGATACGGAGGGGGAAACATCGACCGAAGGCTTCAGCACAAGGCAGTCTACTGAGACCGCTTCTCATGATATTGACATTCAATTTGCTACAAGCACTGGTGGCTTGGATTTCATGTCTTCGGCCAACATTGGAGACGGGTATGGATATGATGATGAGTCCTCAGATGATGAAGAGGATGACATGGACATGAATGGACATGACGATGACGAAGATCATGATGACGACGGTGTCGTATTTGGCGTATCCACGGCTGATGACGATTCCTCTTTGAAGAATAACTTTCCAACAATGCCTAAACGGACAAGAAGCCATACGCAGTCAGGCTATAAGGTTCTCTATATCCTCATGGAATACTGCGAGAAGAAGGTAAGCCTTGTTGAAGCCGTGTGAAAGTTCCAATTTGGCCAGAATACTGATGATGACCATTACCTAGACTCTCCGTGACTTGATATCACAAGGTCTTTACCAGAATACTGAGGAAGTCTGGCGCCTGTTTCGCGAAATTCTAGATGGATTGAATTACATGCATTCGTTTCACAATATCGTCCACCGGGATTTAAAGCCAGAAAATGTCTTCATTAGTCGGGGAACAGATGGTGTTGCGCATGTCAAGATTGGGGATTTTGGTTTAGCTACGAGTGGACAAGTCGTTGCGGAAAACCGCGGGTCAGCGGACCCCAGCGGTATGAGCAACGTCGGTACTGCCTTATACTCAGCTCCAGAGATGGAACGGGGTGGTGCAGACGATCCGCCGCCGAGGATTGACGACTCAAGGAAGTTAGATGTAAGTGAATTGCTTTCTCAGTGTTCCTATCTCACACCGCTAAAATGAATGCAGATGTACGCACTGGGTATCATCTTTTTTGAGATGTTGTATAAGCCAATGGGAGGACACGAGCGAATCATTGTCTTGAACAACTTGAGGGACAAGACTCCGACCCTCCCAGCCGATTTCCGACCCTCGGATAAAGTGCAGACCGACATTGTCCTTTCGCTTGTAACACACAATGCAAATCAGCGTCCCTCCAGCTCTGATTTGTTGCGAAGTGGCAAGTTGCCGATGGCAGTTGAGAGTGAAAGCATCCAAAGGGCGCTCGCGGAGATCTCGGATCCTCTCTCTACCCATCACCAGAAACTAGTAACAGCCATGTTCTCGAAACCCACCGACAAGACCAAAGACTATACCTGGGATATGTCAGCGCCGAATCCGACTTCGACTGAGCTGTTATATCAAGGCATAGTCAAAGATGAGTTAACGTCGATATTCCGTCGGCATGGCGCTGTCGAAGCCAACAGAAATCCGCTTTATCCTCGATCGTCACATTATACACAGAATGTGGTTGAGCTACTGGACAGAGCTGGAAGCGTGGTACAGCTTCCTTACGATCTGATGCTTGGGCATGCAAGGGTTCTCGCCAAGCACACAGGCTCCTCTGAAGTCCCAAAGTCTTTCACTTTCGGGAATATATATCGTGACAGAAACAACGGTGGGCAACCGTCCATGTTCGGGGAAGTAGGCTTTGATATAGTCTCAACGGATACTCTTGATCTTGCTTTGAAAGAAGCAGAGGTTTTCAAAGTTCTCGACGAGATCATCGATGCTTTTCCGTCACTCAATCAGATGTGTTTTCACGTGGGACACTCTGACCTGTTGCACTTGATCTTCGACTTTTGCGATGTCGATCTCAGTGTCAGAAAAGACGCAGCAGAGGTACTGAGCAAGCTCAACATCCATCAGTGGACGTGGCAAAAGATACGTGCCGAGCTACGTGTGACAGGGCTGTCGGTCACCAGTATCGATGAGCTGCAACGCTTCGATTTCCGAGGTATGTACTCTTGCTGATTTCTAGCCATCTCCATTTATTCAATGCTGATCTCTCTCAGATACGCCAAACAAAGCTTTCTCTAGGTTGAAATCAATTTTTGAAGGCAGCCAGATGTACGAAAGGGCTCAACCCACGATTGCCCATCTCAAGGAGGTTATTTCCTTTACCCAACGCTTCGGCGTCCACAGCAAGATATATATCAACCCTCTCAGCAGCTTCAGGGAGGACTTTTTCGTCGGCGGTATTCTTTTCCAGTGTATCTACGACAAAAAATTCAAGGACGTCTTCGCTGCTGGCGGTCGGTACGATCACCTGATACGGGAGCATCGTCCTAGAATGGGTAATCAATCTCACCAACGACACGCTGTAGGTTTCAGTCTGGCATGGGAGAAGCTTGCCAGAATACCTAAACCCACAGGAAAAGCATACCTGAAGAAGGCCGAATCTGAACCACAGGGTATATTCAACACTAAGAGGGTAAGTTTTGTGCATAGATTCTGGGTATTGTCAATTTCACTAACAGACCAAAGTGCGACTGCCTTGTTGCGAGCTTCGATACAGGCATCTTACGGACAGACGGAATTGAGCTTCTGCAAACTTTGTGGGCTTATGACATCAGTGCTGAGTTGGCTCGTGATTCACGTTCGCCAGAAGATTTGTTGACAAAGCACCGTGACGAGAACTATTCATGGGTGATCATTGTCAAGCAAGACGCAGTGTTGAAGATCAAGACAATGGGACGCAGGGATGTCCCCGATGCCGAAGTGCCCACTCCACAGCTGTTGAATTGGCTGAGAGCAGAGCTTCGAGAACGAGATCGACACCTTGCATCAAGGCAAATCGATGCCAATAACAGTGTCGCCGCCCTGGATAAAGCTGGCGCCTCTGGGAACTCAGAGCAGAAAGTCCATGTCCTGGTTGCCGGGACAAAATCGAAGAAATTCAACCGACGTACAGTTGTGGAACAAGCGCAAACCAACGCGGCAGCCCTGGTACATAATTTCCTGGATGGTCCAATTGCTGCCGTCGAGGCCTCGGATGTGGTGTTGGATCTTATCCAGGATACTGCGCTTTCAGACGCTGAGAGCTGGCGCAAGGCCGAGCAGTCGGTGAACATGGCAGAACGCAAGTATATGCGTGAGATCCACGACATGCTCTTGACGTGGCGGAATGTGTGGCAGACTAAGAGCGGGAGCAGACATGCCTTTGTATACAACTTCAGGACGACAAAGTGCATTTACTACGATCTGAGTTCGTAGTAGGGTGACTAGTGAGGGGTGGCTTAAGAGTTGAACGATTTGATGCGACAGTGGTTGCATCGATATGAGAAATATGAGGTCAATATAGGGGGGCCTGAGGATGGCTATTGCTGTTGATACCCAATGGAACTGAGCTTGAAAAAAAAATGAATGACACTTCAGCCAACCAATGCATAGAATTGCTGGCATATAGTGTGTATGCTCTGGAGTGAAGTGTTTGCTACTGGCTTGAACTTCTGCTATTTATCTCTAGGAAGACGCGGCGTCTCTCCGTGTTCTATTTCACCATTACGCCGCTCCCTGGAGTCAGCCTCGGGACTATTTTGACACGCAGTTTGAACTTTAGTCCTCCTAGTCATTGTATTGGAAGCGGTAGCAAGAACGCTCAGCTGGTCTATGATACATGCTTCCTGGCCTCTTCTAGTTTTTTTAGTTTTTTTTCCCTGCTTTGTCTCCGCTGGCAGGCTCACGTTCTTCATTTCGAAATCAGACTATGACAACTGTCTTGCGACATGGTGGGCATCTATATTGATATGAAGTTTATACTCTGGACAAGGTAAAATATAGGGGCCATGATACGTACTGTCACGTGGAAGCAAGCTCACGCGGCATGATCCAATGAGACACGAATCCAGTTGTTCGTATACTGTATATCTACTCTCGTCGTTTTGTGACTAACAATCTACAATATTCCAGTTTCAGCGAGCGTAGTGTAGTAAGTTGACTATGGATATGTGGCTCAGAGTTGAGCCCATTTTCTCTCATGAGACCTTGTGCTCAAAGTCAAATTCTTTGCCTATTGTCTATTGACAACAACATAAGTCGTCCGTTTCAGATTATACCGTATCTTACATTGTAATCTTTAATCTATCCGTCCGATACCCTGGAGAACTAGATGCGGCCGCACTTTGGATGATCGAAAGCTGCCTTTAGCAAGCAACGTCATCCGAGCAAGAAGCCACTAGGTATCTCACGATCTTCATGCTTGATTACTAGGTCCGGGACAAAACGTCCGATGATTCTGGTGTTGATGCCTATCGCCCTCAAGTTGATTAAGGCGTCGTCAGCCAAGCTCTATTCCACACCAGCGTGGAAGATTGGTCCAGAAAAGCTATCATGCTGTGGCCCCCACCTAGAGACACCGCTGGAACGCATGTTGTTGCACGACACCAGGCCAAAGCAAGCAGGCAGTCTAGAAGCGTTATCGAAGACTCACGCCGATGCCCCTCGTGGCAGTCATAATAGCAGTCTACTATGCCGGCCGCGCGCCAAGACACTGCAACAGTCACAGACAGCGCCAAGCGAAGATCACGGGCGCCGAAAGTAGTCTGGCTAGGCCAGTCGCGCTGTTCACATGTTGCGCCGCATTATAGTCGCTTCAGCAGCGCGCCCCCCCTGTCAACTCTATAATCACATGGAAATATAGGGCCCTAAGGTGGGGTCGCTTTCCGAATGATATACACTACCGACGTCTGGGCGATAAGGGTGGTGCCATAGTTTATATCCGGGTGCCTCGAGGCTACGCCGTTTTGAAAACAAACCTCCGACCTGAGTGACTAACAGGCCCTGCCTGGTCCTTTGTGCAAGGGGGGTCGAGGTGGGAGGGGAGGGAAGCTTCCCTTCTCCCCCACACCAGCTCCATTTCTGACAAGAGGCTGCAGCGGACCGGTTTCGACCACTGAGGCGCCTCTTCACATGCTGGCGCCCGGTAGTTGGGAACCGTTTCGGGAATTATGCCCGGGCTCTTTCGCTTGTAGACCCCACTCGGACGCCCAGACACACTGCCTGGGCGTCTCCTGGTTTGGGGTAGCATCTCGGAATGTTCAACAAAGACTTGTATGCAAGGGCCAGGGTGGGGGGATATAGGGTTGCATGCGAAAACGAACTATAATAGTCTCTATATAGATGTGTCCAAACGTGGAACATTTTCTAGAACAGCTGTCACCGGGCTAGAAGCAGCATCGCCGTTCGATCTATATTGCAGCGTCGAGCTACCTGAGCTGCCTACTGGCTTATCTCGGAGCTAATGATGCAATGCTCCCTAAGTAATTCAAGCAATCGCTGCAGCCACAATATAGCGTGACCTGGCCAGATATAGGTACATCTCGAATACTTGGTGAACATCCCTCAGGACGATCTCTCGTTGCGGGCTAGCGTCGAGTGGAGGGTGTGCTGCTTCATGAGGCTCACGGCGATCAGACCAAGCAAGACCATGGCGAGAGCTGTGAACCACACGCCGCGAAACGCCCCCATGAACACGGAAACGACGTCTCCCACATTCCAGCCTTCGGGCAGATGCTTCAGCTCGTCGAGATCGTCCCTGATCTTGGGGATCTCCACGCCCGCGTCGGGCAGACCCCCAAAGCGATCCCAGAGCTGCGTCTTAAGGATGTTCTGGTATACTGCCGACGCAATGGTGATCCCCACCGTTCCCCCAACAGATCTGAAGGCATACGTGGCGGATGTGATCGGCGCCTGCTCTGAGTGGTCGACTGCTGCCAGGCATGCCAGCAGCGTAATTGTAAGCATAGCGCCGTAGCCCGAGCCCAGAAGGAAGAACGACAGCATCAGATGCCATTTTGGCGATGTTTCGTCGAGCGTCGTCAATATGATGACGTGGGCGAGCTGCAGGCAGAGCGAGACAGAGCCCAGAGCGACATAGCGCCCGGTCCTTTTCATCAGGTACCCACTGCCCACGGAACAGATGCAGATTCCGATGGGGGCAAAGAGAATAACCAGGCCGGCCTCCGTGGCGGAGTTTCCGCGTACCTGCAGATATAGTGGAGTGTAGAACAAGGCCATCATATTGGCCATAGTGCAGACTAGGTTCGTCATGCAAGCAGTGAAAACCGTCCGGCGGAGCAACAACCGCACCGGAATAATGGGTTGCGCGGCCTTTGCTTCCCAAAGAATGAAGCCGACCGCCGCCAGGAATGCTAGCGGGATCGTCGTCAGAGGCAAAGGGGAAACCCATGGCACCAGATTGCCACCCGCGTTGAGGCCAAGGAGGAGCAAGACCAAGAAGACGATGATCAGGAAGGCGCCGACAAAGTCGATGCGGGCCAGATATGACTTCTGCGACACCTTGGGCGGAATCCTCACAAGGTAAGCGACAAGGGCCGCAGAGACCAGTACTGGCGGCACCTGAATTAGGAATGCAAGACGCCATCCCCAGCTAGAGTTGTCGTTGAGAAGCCCTCCGAAGACACCCCCACATGCGGCTCCGGATCCGTAAGCTATATTGCCGATGCCTTGAATAATGCCGCGCTTGCGGAGCGGAACCAAGTCCGTAGCCAAGAATGTCGCAATCGACATCAGGCCGCCGCCGCCGATGCCAGCTACCACCCGTCCCAGGATCATGACCCCTTCGGACTGCGCGAGCCCGCAGATCAGATTGCCGGCAGCAAAGAAGACATTGCTGAAGATCAGGCCGGGGCCACGGCCGAAAATATCGGTGAGCCGACCACTGATGGGCTGGCAGGCGGCGTTCGCGATCAAATATGCCGTCGCGAGCCACGACAGTAAGCTCAGAGATTTGAACTCGCTTGATATCGGGGCCGAGAGGGTCGCGATGATGGAAGCATCCACGGCTCCCAAGAAGACGCCGACCCAGCCACTGCACAGAATAAGCCATAGCTTGACCCCCTTCACATCCTCGACAATCACGGTCTGCTCCTCGTTGTCGCCTGGTGTTTGCGACTGCTCCGCTGGGATGACGTTCTTGTTCTGGTCCTGCAACAGCGGTGTTGTCTCGTCATTCTGGGTCACCACAATGGCGGGCGGTTCCCGTCGAGTGCCATTTTCAGGCATGCCGTAGAAAGCCTAGAGCTGACGCCAGCGATGAACCCGGTTTCAGTAGTCCTTGACGTTCAAGGTTGGAGGGTCTGGCCACCCCTTGATCCTCCGCAACAATGTCGTGTCAGATGTGTGACAAAACCGAGTGCCCCTTGTACAGAGAGAGTTATACTGTACAAGCTCTTGATCAATCAAGCCGCAACTCAGCGTGTAGACTCTCGCGTTCGAAGGGTGGAGGAATTGAGTTGGCGGGGTCTACAGCGTGACTCCCGCCGCGTTCCAGCAATTGTGCGGAAGGGGGCGGGACTTTTTGGCTGCAAAGGCCGATGATCGGCAGGCAATGAAGGGCGTCCGACTGCCGGGCAGCCCGACCGGACGCCTCCGACACAGCCACATCGGCCGGACGAACAGCGTCTATGCAACACTACTTTTCCTCAAGGGCCACTATATATGATGAAGTGGCCGGCGAACTACAACGATTGCTAAATGCCGTTGCCGGTTTCCCGGTTCTGGTTTTCCAGTGCCTTGGTCCAAGGATGGCAGAGGGTGTTGCCCCTTACTACCTCACTTACGTCAAGCCGCAGGGAATACGACGGAGACAGACATCATCAGAGGCTATAGGCAGGGTCCGATTTTACGTATCAACACACCGACCGATTCTTACTTGATTCCGGGGGCCATCGTTGGCATAACTACGGAAGAGGGGAATGAGGAGGACTGCACTCCCGTCAGGTAGAGACATCATTGGCTTGTTTCAAAACAAAAGAGTTCGTAGACCGGTTCGTCGCGCATTAGCAACGGGTGGGCCGTGTAGTGCAGTGCAGTTTGTCGAGTGCAGCCGGGCTGAACCATGGAGGGCAGACTCCACGCTCGACCAGGCAATGCACGGAGCCGCGCGGGAGCTGCACAGGATGGATGTGATGACAGCAGCAACAACAAAAGAGCACATCCACCGGCCCGCAATTGTTCTGAGCCACGCTGCATTGATGGAGGGCCACGCAGCCGCCCGAGTTGGCGCGGGCGCCCTCGAGATGGTCCATCGTTGATCAATGTCTTGTGCGTACGGTAGCTACTGTACCAATACGCAGCTCTGAGTTGGAAGCTGAATGGCGTGGCGCAGCGGCTGGAGGTGGGTGGGCAGAGTGGCTTCGCATCGCCCCGTGCGATGGAAAAGCTGGGTCCGGTCCTCAGCAGAAACGGCCAAGCAGCGAATGAGAGGAGCCGCTTTCCAGGGCTGAGCTGCGAAAAGAACAGGGAGACGAATGGCCAAAACGCGCGTCATATCGATGGGGAAGCGAAGGAGTCGCCAGCTCCTGCAAAAGTAGTCAGCCTGATTCCGTAGAGACAGACAGACTTTGACCGTTTCACACAAGACATCTTGCAATCAGTCAATCCATCGAGCGTCTGGCGCCCCGATTTCCCTCTTTACTTCTTTCTCGTGATACCCTCTCGCTCTCTCGCCTGTCGCCTGTTGCAGCCCGGCTCCAGCGTCGCACTGCCCGCCTTCCAAGCTCGCTATCGTTTCGATTGGACCCTGCGAAAACCGTCCCGCGTTTCGACCAGTGGCCGCCCCAGGCAGTCAACCGTCAGCTTTGGCTGCCGATCTGACCACAACAACAAGAAACAAGTACCAATAGTCTTCGCCTGTCCGTCGAGGCCTCAAGACACACCTCCTCTGCTGCATCTCCTTCTCCCTCTCGCGTCGACCTAGACTGCCGGCACAGCATACACCGTCGCCATGGGCTTCGAATGGGATGCCGACTACGTGCCCGGCGCCAAGCTGGGCCTGCACTGCATGCAGGTCGCCTTCGGTTTCGTCATATTTGTCCTCGAGATCATCCTCTTCCGATCAAATAACGCTGTGATCAACGGCAACAATGCCTGGCCGTTCGGCCTGTGTTTCCTCTCGATTCCCGCCATCGTCTACCTCGTCATGGCTCCGAGGTGGCAGCGGACACAGAAGCTGGCTCAACCTCACGCAATGGCCGTCATTGACTGCGTCTTTGCCATCTTTTGGCTCTCGGCTTTTGCCAGCCAAGCCGCATACAACACGGCCAATTCTTGCGGCGACGGCTGCAGGTTCAGCAAGGCCGTTGTGGGCATGGCCTTCTTCGAGATGTACGTAAACGAAACAAGAAACCTGTGTGGCTAAATACTAACGAGCCTCAAGTCTTTTCTGGGCTGGCACAACCTTTCTGAGCGCCTATACCCTCAAATACTACCAATTTAACGGCACACTTCCCGGATACGACAAGATCGCATCCAGAAACAACCACCAGAACATTGACCCGGACAAGGCTGCCTTCTCGATGGCTCCCCACGACGAGGAGGCCTATGCCCCGATCCATGCCGACGACCACGATGATCACCACAGCAACGTGCCCTACAATGCAGACTCGTACAGCTCCCGCCCCATGTTTGACAGCGAGACCGAGTACCGACCTCACAGTACGGCGCCGGCTGGCCACGACAACCCCTTCGACAGTGACTACCGCGCGCACAGCACATCGCCCCACAACGACCCTTACAGCTCGGGATATGGTTCTCAGCCTGACGCCGGCGGCCCGCGAATCTATGCGCCGCCCTCTGCTGAGGACTACGACGATAACAGACCAGCGCAGTTCCCTTCGGCAAACTACGACAGGACGCTGCACTAAGACCACCCCCGAGGGCAGTTTGATTTTAACCAGAGCATTGCATCAAGTGGCCAGAGGCGGTATTTTACCGCCCAGGCGTGGAAAAGCACTGTACGAGACATAGATAAGGCCCGGTGATTGGGGCCATCGCGTGCGATACATATTTGGTTTATCATTTTTGGCGAGAATCGGTGTTCCGGTGGCTTTCTGATACTGATACAGCGGGCGGGAAGGCAAGATAGTTAGATACCACATAGCTATCACACCAATTTGCCGGCATTTTGAATAGACTCATGATCCATCAAGACAGAACCATAGCAAGTGATTTGCTAAAAGCCGCGGCATCGCTATGGGTCAGGCTAGTCCTGAACTCCACGATACCCCTAGGTAATGGGCCAAGGTTCCGGAGAAATAAGAGCCAGGGGACTCCCCAAGTCGCTACAGGGCTCCAAGGTCTGGCATTACAGGGTCAAAAGAGAGGCTCTTTAGAGTTTGGCATGGGACAACCTTATTTTCACTTCACTTTACGGCTCGAGCCGGCTGACAATAGGGTCAGATCGAGTATGGTGTCGTCGTCTTACGTGGCACCTGCCCGTTTGGGTCTGATGGCTGTGTCATGGGGACCACAGAACCTGGATATAGGCTAGGGGTAAGGCTGCAAGGCTGGATGATGATCAAAAGCATGGTATTAGCGACTGGATTACCAAAGGCTGGGTTGTAGGAAAGTGGCTTGTGGCTTGGGACAAATGTCGGGTAGCTACCGAAAGCAGATTATCTATGCGTTCGGAATAGCAACGGCACTGGGGCACTGGGGCACCGGGGGCAGCCCAACACCTCATGAAGTAGGAACACGCAGCTTCACAAGCGAGAAGAAGAAAAATTCCATAATGTAATAGATAGACTTGTCGCGCAGTCCGTCAAAGTCGACTTCCAGAAAGGGTCATAGGGATGATGACCCGAGTGCTGTTGATGTCTAGCCTCTCTTTTTGCCCTTCTAAACTCCATACGCCAATATGCAATGCAATGCCCGACAACCACCCGCCGGCGCTGCCCTTCGTATGCCACATCTTCTTCTTGCTTCTGACCTCACGCCTCTCCCCTAAGCTTCCGCAGCCGCCTCGTAATATCCGCCTCGGTCTGCTGCATAGGGTTCAGCTTGCGGTCCCGGGCCATGGCGCGCGCGTCGTCGCCGTGCCGCGCAACCAGGCTCTCCAGCCACTCCTGCTCGCGCTGGCTCAGCGTCCGGACCTTCTTCTCGCGCGGCCGGTTCGCCTCGGCCTCGAGCTGCTTGACGACCTCGGTCCGCGTGTCCTCGAGCCCGCCCCAGGTCTCGCCGTCGTCGGCAAACTCCTCCTCGGCTTCCGAGTCCGTGTCCAGGTCGTTGAGCGGGTCGTTCAGCGGGTTGGGCTTCCCCTTGCCGCCCGACAGCACCCGCACGATCTTGCCGTCCGCGTCCCGCTCGACCTTGACCTCGCTGATGACGCCCACGGCACCGGCCGGATCAATGGCAAAGGCGTCGGCCGGCTTCTTCGCACCGGCGCCGGTCTTGTTTTTGATGGCTTGCAGATCCGGCGCGGCGCCGCCCGTGGGCGCCTTCAGCCGTTGGACCAGGCCGAGGCGGCGGTAGTTCTGTGTCGTGGTCTCGTTCTTGTCCCAGTTCCTGGCCACAATGTCGTTGCCGCGGGGGTTGCGCAGCTTGTTGCGCCGCGACGACGGCTGTCGGACAGTGGGACGGGATGAGCGCCTCTTGCGCTTCTGGAGTTCGCGACCCATTGTCAAGAGCTGGCTGAGGGCTTAGATTTGACGTCGTAGTCAGAAACCCTATGTGGCCTGATGTGTGAGCGAAACAGACGCCGTGTTTATTTGGCGACCTGTACGTTTGGTGTGATGATACCTATTCCTCCTCTTGCTCACCACAGCTGCAACCGCCAAAGGGTCCCGCTACCCAAATTTTTTGGCTATCGGCATCGATAACGATAAGATATCTGCGGCTTATTCGATAAGATTGAGACCCTGGGTGTGGCACAGCTTAGTGGCGGTGCTTGTCAAAACATAGTCTGTGGCTCAGGTGATTCCCCTTTCCTCAAAGGACCTCGGGACTGGTCCGATGGGGCGATACTTTTCGCCGCCGCAACTCGACTTCACATGGTCGCAACTCGCATGTATCGGCAGATGAAGCACCGCATACTATTCTCAGCTTTTCGCAGCAATCTCCTCTGGGGCCATCACCGAACTCTGAAGCAAGTAAATCTCCGGGCTACTCTCGTAGCGCCGGCTCGTCGTATCGGTGTCTCGTCCTCTGCCCCGAGATATCACGTGCCGGAGTATGATACCAGGGCAATCCTGGATCTCTGCACAGCCCCCCGTCGGTGAAGACTTCCTAACTGATCCGGCGATGTCCTGCGGACGAGACAGCAGCACTCGGCAACGGTACGGGAGCGGACAGATTGAAAGCGAGCTACTGTAGACCCTGGCCGCGGCGCAAGACCCCTGTCGAAAGGACATCTCTACAGAAGCGCGCCCCGAAGCAAGGGACCAAGAGCGACGAGACCCGCCAGTCAACGTTCGTCCGAACTAGACGCTAACCAAGAAGCCAAGCCGCTCCTGGCAAACCTGGCACCCGTATGAGCTAACTCCACCTTTGCAACCATGTAACCCAAGCCCACATCCAATCGGTTGCTGCCGATTCTGGCGACGCTGGGCGTGCTTGTCCAGCCCTCTAGCGGCCTGCTGGGGTGGATAGGGCGTTTCGAAGCCGGTACCTCGACAGTCTCACAGTAGTGCCATTAGCTTCACATTTTGAGATTCGAGGAAAAAGCGGTCCCCCATCTGTGCCAAGTCGTATGCCATGTTGCTCTGCATTAGAGGCTGAAGTAACCCCGTATACTAACTAGGACTGCTGTAGCTACAGACGCCCAGATCGAGGACTACCGTACCAAGCGGTTCCTTTGGCAGGGGAAACATAGCTTCACCATGGTAGCGAACTTTGATTGTTACCGTCGCAACAACACTTGTCGCGTTGCGTGATGCCACGCTACTTATCGCGCTCGGTGCTGATCTGCTCCCACAACAGAAAAGCTCCGGTCCGTTGGCCTTGCGGAGCCTGCTGCGGACTATTCCGAGATTGTGTGTGTATCTTGCGGCTTCGAGATGCTAGTATAGCAACAGGCTACGGTGAGGGGTCAACAATCTCGTCGTCCTACATGATTTCGGTCTGGACATGTTTAGAGGGATCATGAGATCTCAAAGCCTAGCCGGTTGGCGGTAGCCAAGGTGTAGATCATGGACCCTGAAGTGGGTGTCTTTAGGTAGTACTGGCTCACACTTTGCTATCAAGATGGTGTCAAGATGGCATTGCACAGGTCCTTCGATGCCCCCCACGTAGTGCAAATACCGCTGGACACAATCGTGGGCTTTCTGGCTTGTGAGGCTAATCGGCGAGCGAGACTCCAGGGGGATCAATTCACATGCAGGTCTGTCGATACAGTACGACACTGCGTACATACAATACATGCACAACAAGGCTGCTACCCACTGTTCATGGGGAAGAGAAGAAAAGTGGATGCTGCTGGATGGGCATTTCGGGCGCTTCCCTTAGGTTAGGTAGCATACATGATAATATGCTTAATCCATGCCTGTTAGTCCAGATGCCCCTACTGCAGTGATCTGACCACTAGGCCGGAGGAGGACATCAGGCCCTCTAATCCCGGTCGAGGGAGCTGGGCGCACCTCTAAGGGATCGTCGAACCCCACCTTTTACCGAATATCCCATTACCTCATGAGTGAACTGCTGACCGAGGAAGTTGGGGCTTAGTGTGAGGACATGTCGAGTGAGATTCGCGTGGGCGGGCGGCGTATGTTAGCAATCAAGCTAAGTCTTCTGGATGATAGTTAGCAGAGACCGGCATTTGGGCCTGTGATGGGGCAGCGCCCATGTATGTCTGTATGTGTAGCCCCGGATGTATTCTGTATCAACGTGAGCCTAACGTGGGAGAGTGGGTTCATGAAGTCAACACGGATCGACTGGTATCTCCATCCCCAGGGTCCTGTCATAACTGTGGGTAATGCCGTTATCAGAGGGTCGTTCTCGCTTCTTGGGGTCCATCAAGCGAGCCTGTGCGCCTATCTTTTGCTCTGTCGAGTATGCAGGTCGCTCTGAGCAGCGTCTCGGCTACGCAGACTTCACCTGCGATGTGTGCAGTCGAGGTGCAGCTATGTGACGTCTGCACACGTTGGTACGTAGATCTTTACATCAGCGGCAGTTGACTGATTCAGAGACTCATGGAGCGTTATCATGGCATCACAGGCACACCACATCGTGAATAGTCAAGGAATCGTTTTGGTTGGGTATTTGAATTATCAACAACTTTATTGCAGGCAATAGCAATGCAAGAAGCGCTCATAGGGGTATACGCCATGGACGCTCATAGTAACCAGCCAGAGTTCCTAACCTCCCCCCTTCCACTTTCCTCCCCCGCCGAGAAAGCACGTAGGCTTCATATAGACAAAATCAATATTCCAAAAAAAAAACAAATCGTTCCCCGTAAGCCGTTCAGCCATGTACCCGTAACAACATGATGTAGATATACACGATATAAAATCAAAAAGGGGAAGAGCAGATATACCGTAATGCGCAGTCCCTGTATATGTGCCAGTACCCAAGAGTTTTGCCAAAAGCTAGATCTTTTGTGTGCAAACATGAAAGAAAGGCCAACAAAGTAAAGTATTAGAACATGATCCACTCTACGTCAACGCCAGGACCTCCAATGCATCGCGTCCAGTTAAAGGGACCACGTCTCTGGAGTCCCATCTTGCCAGGACTGGAGGCACTATCGTGCAGGTCTCCTGCCCAAAGGCGCTCGAGGACCTCGATGGCCGACAGGTTGTTCATGTAACCGCTGCGGGACATGATGTCACGGCACTTGTTGCGGACAATGTTCTGCTGCAGCTCGTTGACGCACTCGCTTCCGGCGACGAACAGCGGCCAGAGAAGGAACTTCTCTGCGATGCCGCCAGACTCGAGTGAGGTGGCATAGTAGACAACCTGGCTTACCAGGTTGCGGAAGCTGTTGTGGCTCGAGGGCACGTTGGGCGAAGCGAGGCGCTCGGTGTAAAGGAGAGCGGCGTAGCGGAAAGCCTCCGAAAGGGAGCCCAGGTCGCGGACCTGGCTCGACGTGAGGTTACCAGGCAGCGAAGCAATAATGCGTGCCGAGTCGAATTCCCAGCTCTGCAAAGCGCTGCGGGCCTCCTTCCACTCGCGCCAGAAGGTAGAACGTTGGTCGTCGTAGGTCGGGGAGGAGCAGAGCCCGGTTCCAAGGATATCATCATCGTCGAGCTGAGTTCCGAACCCACTACCGTCAAAGCGGGGCGGTTGGACACCTAGGCTGAAGAAGTCGCTCAGTTGTGATGGGTTCTTGAAGGTGTTGCCCAACGGCGAACCCAAAGGTGATGCAACTCTTGGAACGCTGAGGCGGCCGGTAGGTGAGGAGGCAATCGCGCTTGATACCTGTCTGTGTTGTGAGAGGAGGTTCAGACGACCGAGCTTGGAGATTGTCCTGAACAGCTCCCTGTCGCAGCCAACCCAGTTCTCAGCACCGGCTGGCAGCAAGTTGGTATCGCTCGAAACGCCGTAGAAAGCATGGTTGAGCTGAGCTTCCCTGTCGTTAACACTTGCTGAAATGGCGTCAAAATATGTGAAGATTGCCTCCATCCAAGTAGAGTCATTTGAGGCCTGGTAAGGGGCCGAGTTGCGCATGCCCAGGATCTTCTTCACACCAGCGAACTGGGTGGCAAACTTGGCGATTCCAGACTCGACCATACGGTAATGGCACAGAAGAAGAATCGTTCCCAAAACAGAATCATGACAGGACTTGCTGGGGTCATTTAATTGTTGGTTAAGAAGATGGACGGCTAAGTTGCGGTGTTGGTATTCTTCCGTCAAGGGCAAATCCTCTGACTGAAGGTCGGTCTGCTCCGAAATGAACTTGTCTGGAGAATCCCGACCATGCTGGCCAAGGCTTAACTTTCTCTTCATTCTCAGGTTGCATGCAGACAGGGCGCAAATCGCATGTTGAAGACTTCGGCTGCTGGATGCAAGACGCAGGATGTGATCCCGGAAGGGATTTGTAGGGCCGTCGATGAGCACCATTGAAGGGCACATGATATTCTCGTAGTAGTCCATGAAGAATGGCATCTTTGCGATCAGTTCGGCACTGACTTGTACGGATTGGGTGTCGTAAGGAGCAATAGCTGCGATGGCTGCATGAGCGGCAGCGGCCGACGCATGGTCGAGCATACGGGGAGTGGCGTCGTCATCTCTCGTTAAAGTGTGAGCCCAAAATGAAGCTGCTGCGGGACTTGTGCTGTAGTGCTCAACTTCTGGGATATCTCGTCGAAGTTAGCGCTGCTCATTGAGTTGAGGAATGTATACTCACTGAGTGAGTCAGTGTCCCCGAGCAGTCTTGCGTTCCTCATCTGCTGCTCAAATCCGTCGTGGTGCGATCCAAGGCTGGAGCTCGGCTCAGACGGTGCATATACGAGACTGGGACACGAGGTCGGGGCGGCGCGTTGGTCGATCATGATGGCAGAGACGGGGCTCTGAGGGACTGGAGAGTTGTGGCCGGTGTAGTTCTCGTACATGAGGCCGGGGCTGTGCATGTAAGGAAGCTCATCTCGGGAGAAGTGGCTCAAAGGTGAGAGAGTATATTCAACATCACTCAGTGAGTCTACCGAAGAGGAAAGACCATCAGCGATGAGAGGGAAATGACCCAAAGAAGTGTTGAGCTTGTGCATTCTTGGGTGGCCATGGCCGTCCAAGTTTGATGGGTACGGGATGCCCCAGCTTGTCGGCGTTGCTGGTGGCATTGACTCGCCCTGTGTGAAGCGGGTGAAGTCATGGTAAGTGCCGTAAGGCGTAGTAGGTAACGAGGCTGCATGGCCTCCATGCATATCGAGCTCATCTCTGTGAGAGCTCGTGGGTGAGCTTCCGCTTTGATCGCTCCACTGGCTGGATGTGGTTGTGTTTGCTCTGGATCGTGAGGCCGTCTTCTTGATCACGGGAGCGACTGGAGGTGCCTTTGCAATGGGTAGGGAGAGACCTCGGAGCTTGCCTCGGCTTGCCACGCCGACTCCCCAAGTCAACTGAGTCTTATACCCGGAGCATTCATTTCCTACTTCCAGGCATTGCGAGCAGTAAGGCCGTCGTCGATCGCACTTGGCTCCCCTCTTGGTGCAGGCAAAGCAGTCGTCTGCCGCACCTCCCGCAGGCGCCCGTCTTCTGCGCTTGCGGGCAGCTTGTGTCTCCTTTGACGCCGGCGGCTGTTGTGAAGGAAGTGAGACCGTCATGGTTAAACGTATGCACTATACCGCGTGCCTGATGTACGGCCGGTGGCAGAAGGCTTTCAGAATAGAGTTTAGATGGGACAGTATTCTAAATTCGATGCGGTCTGAGACTTCTGGCCATGCAAGGTAAGGTCTTTGACTGGCGTGGGTAAATGTGGTTAATATGGAAAAAGAGGCAGACTGTCAAGTTCAGAAGTCATTGGCATACACGGGAAGAGTTATGTAGGACGAATGGGATAAGTAGTTATTATAAGTCTGTTCGCGTTATGAGGAGAGAAACATGGGAGCTACCGCTTGCTCTGAAGACGTCCCACCCACTCCAGGGCCTGGTACCGCCTGAGTACATGCAGGACCCTCCACTTGCTGATGGGTCTCCGTTATTATCCAGGGAGGCGATAGTTAGCATCCTGGGGGGTGAGCGAGAGAACTGGCAGGAACTACGAGACGGGTACAAGAGAGCAAGATGGGGGAGAGCAGGCGAGGCGGAGGGATTCGACCAACCAGCGGAACATGAACTCGAGAGATCAGCGGGTATAGACAAGGGTCTCGGTAGCGCTTCAGGGGTCCCCTGCACGCCCGCTAGCGCACCGATTTGAGTTGAGCAAGGGTCAGGGGAGGGGCCCTCTCTCGAGTCCAAGGAGTCTAGGTGCATGCGATGACACCGTTGGCCGCCTACCGCCCACGGCTTGTGCGGGATGGGGGGTGGAAAAAGAATATCATCATTCAAGAACAACACGGAGAGGGTCGCTTGAAGGTATGAGAGGCCAACGTTCGCCGTGGGCACGATCCTGCCAAGACCCGAGTTCATCTTGCGTTGTACAATGCTGATATCCAGTTTCGGGGGCCATGACCACACCCGTCACATGCTCGCGAAACACGTGAGACTGCCAGCGGCAAGTTCCTGTCAAAACTCACGGCCCTCAGGAAGAACCGCGCGGAGAAAATGCTCAGAAAATCCACAAGAAACACGGCCATGTCGCAAAGACGGCTCAACAACAAGCATTTGCGCCTTCGGTGCGTTGCAAGGGGTCGGCCGGGGGTGAAAGCGCCGGGACAGGGTCGAGTCTAGCCCCTTTTTGGATGTCTATTCGTTCGATCCACTGAGAAAGCCGCTAGAGCTGCATCCCAGGGCCGTCGTCCATCTCGAGGGTCTCTCCCGTGCTGGCATATTCGCTTGGCTGCGTCCTAGATGCTCTCGTATCTAGCCATGGTGAAGGTACCGCCGAGTCTCTTAAGACAGCTGTTAATGGCATGCGCGAAGACTATCATTTCAAATGGGAATCCGAAGAGTTGCACAAGTATAGCGTGTGATTATCGAGACGACGGGGCCTGTTCCCTTGATTTGGTACAGCCGCGCCCACTAGCCGACCGATCAATTCCCACGAAACCGTTCGTTGACGGGTGTGCTTGGCGCAGGCGATCAGGGCTCGACTCTAACAGCAGGCAATGCGAGACGACGTTTGGATAGAGTTGATCTGGTGAGAAAACTGGAGCAGCCGTGAGCTCCCTCAGGACACAGTTGAGCGTCACGCATTGGCCAGCGGCCCTTGATCTCTTCATCTTGCTTGAATAGTTGACAGGCCCGCAGTCCCACTCGCGGCAGAGAGCATAACCAGTACAAATGATGATTTCCGGATTGTGGCCATGACGGCGATGAGTTCATCCATGATTGACTGCATACCCACTCGGCCAATGACACCCCGTATTGGGGAGATCGAGCTCTGTCTAGGGTCAGAAGCCGCGCTTGGTGTGAAGCACATTTAAAGTACAGAGGACGACAGGGGAGCGGCTCCCCATCTTTATCGGCGCACGATGGGGAATAGTTCGTGGCATAAGCAACCTCTACACTTTTGACAGTGATTAAAGCAATGCGGCTGTCTAGTTGGAACCGTTCCTGGTGCACCTCATCGGGGGCCAAAGGAGAGTTTGAACTAGTTGGAACTCCATCGTATGCCGGCGGTGAGGAAACACCTGTTCTCTCTCGCCCACAGGCTAGTTCTTAGTCCAAAAATCGTTACTGATCCTTTGGACAGGGAGCTAGCGGCTACATGTGAACCGAAAGGATAGCCTGCCCGCCCCGTGTCCTTCATTCACGCAAAGTAATCTATGGTTGTATTCTGCGAACTCGACTTGCCATCGTTGCGAAAGTAATGCCACGTTCTGTAGTGCCTGATAGGTTACCACAAGACTAGGAAACTCGTGGAAACAACGCGGTCCCCCACGGCCTCAACAAGCAACTGCTTCGGTTGACGCGCAAGCATGTCAAAACACCCCGAAACCGATGTTCGTCATCTCCACGTTCAATCTCCCCTACATATGCCCGGTATGAGCCTTGCCAGAACTTGTGATAGACAGACTAGACGAAGGCTGTGGTAGTTTCAAACCACCACACCTAGTGCCTCATGCATAACCAAACGAAGTGTGTGTATGTCACTGTCACGGGACTATACCAACCCCCTCAATAGAGTGATATTGCAAGTATCATTTTACGTACTCTATTGGCAATGATACCGAACGTGAATCGCCCTAGTCGCTGTTGCTGCACCTGATTGTTGGTGCCTTGTGCCTGGTTGCCCATCGGAACAGTCTCAAAATGTGACGAGAGGTGGCTTTGTGCAGCTGGCTGCAGGTCAGGGTCGCCGTGCATTTCAGTGCCCGACATCAAGCGTATGCGAGAGAATTAACGGTTGGCGTAGAAGTCCACATCGTTCTACAACCCTTCTATCCAGCTTCCACCGTTATCTAGATTCCCCGCCGTAACATCGTCCGTATGCCTTCCTGCAACTCCTCTCTTTGGACATCACCGAGCCAATCTATTCACCAGGAACCACTGTCACGAGATTCTCCAGAGGGTTTAGAATTACCATCTAGATGGTTTCAAAAGTTCTCCCCGACAAGCACTCACATGGAAGGGTGTGTTGATATGAAATCATCGAGCGAGCGACGATACGCGACATCATCTGGAGAAGGGATGAATGGTGTGGCGCAAAGACCGGTAAACGAACTACGCACGAACACACGGATGGGGGATGGCTTGTGATTCTGCACCCCCTGGTCAACGGATGTGTCAGTGCACCACACCTGCGAATGCAGCAAAATCTTATCGAAGGATTACTCTGTTCAGTAGGGAGCGAGTGAGGCTGTGCTCGTTTCTAACCATATGCAATATGGGTTGTGTCCATTTACCTCCAGTCAGTTACCAAGTCTGCAGTGAGCCGCGATGCATCCGACATTTGACTCTGCTCTTTGATGTAAGCCCGTTGACAGATCGTGGGTTACGACGTATGTAGTGCGTACAGTAGCGCTGCCAATCTGAGCTTAAAAAAACCCGCCCTCGAAGAGCCAGATGGTGGTCAGTTCTCTCCTTGATGGTGATCTGCTGAGCATCTGCGCTTTGCCTCGTGCTGGCACACCCTCAGCGAACAGCTTGGTTATGCCACAGGGTCCTCCACTGAGATCCCGGTACTGACGGACCACCATTGTTCTTCGCAGATCTATTCTGTATTGCTTGGATCACTTTCCGCTTATTACACGGTCTCGGAAGTGAGGCACTTCGTTGTAGTTGCGGCTCTCCACCTACGGCCGGATTTTCACAGGCATTCACCCAACCCAGACATCGGGTCTGCACAGTCAATATCCGTTGGCCACCCTTTATGGAAGCAGCCGAAACTTTCTTTATGCTGTTCCGAGAATAATTTGACATCCAGTTTCGTCTGAAGTTCAGACGTTTGAGCAAGATCTGACACCAGCGCACAGGCTCGAAACCTGCTTTCATGGTGTAGCCTGCCAGGTTTCTACGGCTATGTCTAGGTACCTGCAAATTGCGACAAGCCGCTAAAGCAGGCTGGCTCCTGGATCATCTTGGAATGCCAGAATGAAGTCTCCATTCGCACCTCTACAGTAGATGCTGTGGACGAGCGTTAACAAATGATTAGTGATTAACGCAAGCCGCCTAATCTTCCGACACTAACGTATCAGACTCTTTACTGTCATCGGGACTGTTCAAGACAGGCCAACAATGCGTATCCGCTCCCCGCAAACCAGCTATAACTTTTCTACCGGGATGCCACCCTTCCAAGACTTGCCTTTTCTCATGACCCTGTGCCTCTTCTTTGCATTATTTTTTTTTTGGTTCTTCTCATGTTCTTAGTGAAAGGAGTCAGCGATTACTACTTGCAAGAGTGCCCACCTTCGCCTTGGCAGTACTCGCATTATTAGAGGTGTGTTGCATTTCTACTGGGTCTCGAATGCGATTTCTTTTTCAGTTGGCGTCTTCCAAGGTTAGGCTCTGCGGTTAACTCTGCGGCTTTCTCTCGTAACCAAGGTTTTCGGAGAGTGGTAGTCCTAGCCTCAAGGTAGCTAGATGGTCCTTTCTGCTGGGAATACCCTTCAAGCTTCGGCGCTAGAAGAACCGAAGAAGATGCATCGAATGTAACTAGGTTTTTGCTAGACTAGAGCTGCCCGTGTGCTGCCGCCGCCTCCCTCCGCCATTCCGCCATTCTATCCCACCCAGTTGGCCAAGCAGGTCAAGCCGAGGTGGACTGATCTCAGCCACCGGCTCCTAAGTAGCTAGGCTGTTTACTGGCCCCTGACCAGCTTAACTTATACTGATTGGCTAAATAACGCGTGCCCACTGGACCCCCTTCATCACCGAACCCCAATGCAAGTCATAAGCCCATGACGATCACTCAAGCACCAGACAAATACACGTTTCGCTGGCAACGCGAAGTAGATGAGCCTTCAGAAGACTAACGTCTAGCTCAAAGTCCGTCAGTCTTGACTGGCTACCAGACCCTGAGAGGGCATGGTGATCTGTCTCCCTTCGATGTCTGGTGGTTGACCAATCAACCAGCCTCGTGCTCGGCGGTGCAGCTCGGTGTCAAGTCGCTAATTTCCATGGGTTAGGAGCTAAAAGGGGCCCTGCAATGTGTACTGCGTACCGCAGCCGCTCGGACGGTCTAAAGATGATGCACTGCGACCCCCTCAGGGCATGGGGATTTGATGAATTCCAGCCTTGCAAACCGGGCTTTCTCAGGGCCATCGGCCGAATGTTTCGGGCATTAAAATGTCGCGATATGATATGTGCCATAGTAGGGCTTCAATGACATAACTGCCGTCGCTAACGCCCGTGGGATCCTGTCCTCCATCCCAGTTCCTAGTCTCAGCAGCCGGACGTGATCCGGCAGCATACGCCCACCATAAAGAGATCGCGTGCCGATCTACATAGTGCTATAAGCACCATGATGCTAGATGGCAGCGCATTAGTGCAACTTGAATCCCATTTCTGGCTCACTATCGTGTCGACGTCGAGTTATCAGTACCCATTACGTCCCACATGCGCCAGACATTATCGATTAGAGAAGATACCCCACTTCTGATTGGTCGGGAGCTGAGGTTGCAACGTTGCAACCTGCGTCTTACCTCCCGAGAAACACCTCCAATGAGCTCTCTCATTCGGCAAATCGAGATGGAGTAGTGATATAAAAAGGCTGGCCCAGTCGCAATGGAACAGTCGAATATTAGCAGATGCGCTAGGGCGCCATCCAATGAGATTGTACCATCATCCCCCAACGCTGCACTCGACCATGGTTAGCCAACCGGACCCCTTCACCGTTGGTTGTTGGCCGCTGGGGTTTGCACCCCGACACCCTGACTGCCGTTGGCCTGCTGGGCGATCTTCAACCCGTTGATCAGGCTTGGCAGAGGCACTTTGAGACAACTTGTATAATTCATTCTCGAGAGACCAAGAATCTAACAGGTAGAGCCCAAATCACTCGTGAAACATGTTGGAAATTCGAATCCACATGACTTGCTATGTACTCCAAATGTCTCTCACATCCGTGGGCAGCGTATATGGTAGAATGCTTGAGCAATAAATGTGTGATCTATACGAATTGCGTCGTCCCCAAGACGTGCGGCTTCGTCACGCATGAGACATCACAATCGGCACCATCAGCCACTTGGCCGAGAAAAGGGGGACAGGAAGTAAGATGCGTGTCCTCCCTGACTTGTGCCTTGGATGCTGAACGTTGCTTGTGACTGCCGAAGGAAGGGAAGGAGCATGGGGTGTGCTCCATTTCCTGTAAGACCTCGGGCGTTTATTAGCAGATACGGTTCTCACAGCTTGCTGCCAGGATGAGATCGTCCTACCGCCCGCACTCTCGAAGATTCCCTGGCAACATGGCTCACGGAGGAGGACTCCCAGACCACATCATCGCACCTATGCTGGGCGGACGTGGGGGTACACTTGGGTAGGTAGCTGGTCTCTGATGCGGCTCAAGGGCCTACGTATACAACATAGGATTGATAGTGGGATCTGATTGGTAGCGTAACACCACATGTGCGCATGTCACCGTATTCATGTCACAAACGATCAGTAACTCGCGAACCAGAAAGGCAGTCTACACAGGTAGAGCTCTACCCATTCATTTCCTCAATGCCGTCTCATTTGAAAGATGAGAGGAAGTGGTCAGCTAAAGCACAATGGCACGTACGTAGTACAGAAAACGCGGAGAAATTGTGTCTCTTGAACAGGTCGCAAAGACATGTTCGCCTCACGGGATCTGTACTTGGATCAGAGGAGTGACGTCTCAGCCTCACGGGTGGCGGAAAGTGCGGCAATCCCGTAATCATGTGTGAATCCTTCCAATCTTTCGTACGAACCTGGTTGCAAGTGTCACATGCCCGCGTGGCAGGCACCCTGGCCTGACCACAATCACACTTTGGATAACAAGATACTGCTAGAGTGGGTGCTACCGAGTCCCTCTATTGATCTGCAACCTGAGTAGGGTTAGCTGGCAAAGTCTAAGACTCTGGAATTACTGAGATCCGTTTGGTAACATGGTCGTACGGTAACACAACCAAGGCGGCCGTTCTAACGAGTAAGCGTCAAGTAAGACGTGATCGACGGGATGCAGAAACCTTAAACAGACTCAATTTAATGTTCTATCGAATCACCACTCTGCAAATATTCCGAAAGGGAACGACGAACCAAGTGAAAACCCCATACAACTGTACACCCACTTCATCGGTATTGATATCTCAAAAACTCTAGCTAGTAGCGAGACTTGTAGACATTTTGTTTGTGAATGGATAGACGACATCGAATATGGCCCTTTAGACAAAAGCGGACCTAAATTGTAATAGAGGTAAAATATTCATCAGGACAATGGCAATTGTTCCTATACCTCAGACATGGCCCCTGTAACCAGAAACGAGTTACTCAGTTCACGACTGAACCGAGCAAAAAGATAACAATTCACCGTGAGTCATTTGGCTTCGCTCGAACACCCATTACTTTGTGAGTCAGACCCCTACCATGATTTATTGCTGCTCTCTCGTCTGCCTTGCTCCTGGGAGACAGTAGCACCTGCTCTCCGGGACAACTGCATAATCACTCTCGCGCTTTGGTGAACAGGTTAAAACGTAGATATCTAACCTCACACCGTGTGATTTACGGTACCTGGACGCCGTCCTTCTCGCGGTCCTGCCAGACTCGACGTAGCTTACGCGTTCGTCAGTAACAGCATCAATACCGAGACTTGTTCCTTAGGCTAGTCAGGATCGATCAGGCGCTGACGACTTCTTACCTTACTCGCTCACGGTACTGGGTACGCGGAATTTTGTCGAGGCGGCTATAGGCACGACCTCTCGAGGTTGTCGAGACACTCCTCATTAAGCATGTAACATACAGGAACCGAAGAGGGACCGCATGGCTTAGCGTCCGAAGTGATAACCGCGTAGCATATTGACCCGTCCACGCTTCGTACCTGACAGAGTTGCACCTGGCCCACGTGCTAAGTACCTCAAGTACTTCAAGTACCGCGTGGCAGGTATAGCAATGTCTTCGGAGCAAGCAAAGTATCTCGAAGTCTCCGCCTCAATAGGCCTGAGGATCACAGGTCGACCAGGAGTCGTACTATGTTCGTCTATCTGATCTGCAGATTGTTGATGCACAGGAGGCCTTACTGCTGGGGTCCGTCAGGGACGATCAATCCCAGGACCCCGTCGACAGATAGATAGACATGGTCTCGGCGGCGGTCCATACTGATAATGGGGGTCACTCCTGTGTGGGGAAGCCTTGCTCACTATCATGGGTGAACCTCTCCCCTGGACTTCACCAGGGCGAGTTGCCAGACTAATCCAGGAACGACAGAAGGCGTATTCTAGGTGCCGTGTCGTTCGCTCCACATGTTCCGCGGCATCGAGGAAACCGACAACCGTATGCCGGGCAGCACAACCGCTTCAGAGGAGCATGAGCCAATCCACGGCGCCGCGAAGTGGATGCCCGATATCAGTCTTTCCCAGGTTGCGGCGGCGGCGACTATCTGTCGCTGCATTGCACTTTCGCTTCTACCCGTCTACTTTCCTATTCAGGCGTTTCGTCCTGGCCAAAGAGTGGGGATCGAATATACCTCCGATCCGCTTACCGAAAGGGGGCTCTGGCCTGGCGTGTGATTGCCTGGCGGCTTGTTAGGTTGCTCTGCAGGCGAGGCCAGGCACGCGCTGCGACTATGCAAGTATACACACCCTCGGGAGTGCATAGGCGCCCTCGGCAGCTCGCCGACTATACCCCATGCCTTGCTATCGGGGAGTGTTCTGCAGGTTGGAGAAGCGCCCCCAACACTAGGCAGGACCATGCACGAAGCAGACACGCTCCATGGTAGTATGCGCTGTCCGGCGCCCAGGAGCAGCCAATGGGAGGCTTCTGATAATATATCATGATCGTTCTAGAAGGCGTGAGGGAAGGTCGCGGCGATGGTGCTGCACAATCAACGAAGTACGACGAGCTTCTTGGCCGGCAGAAGGTGCATCTTCGACTCTGCAGAATTTGACCACGCCAATGTATACGTACTCTAGGCGAGACATGACGGGCGGGGTTCGATATTTTGCTGGGGGGCGAAGATCACGGAGAAGAGATCGAGACCCTCGTCGGCCAGATCAGGGGGCTACTGAGATCTGAGACCAGGACCCCCAGGAACTCGCCCGCTGTCAGCGATGCGAGTAATAAATCGATCGCCGGCAAGTTCCTTTGGGCACTCCTAAGGAAGCGCTGATATGACGCTCCTGGCTCCATTTGCAGTGGTAAGTTCCCCGGGAATAGCTTCGTTGAGAGTCGCACTCGCAAATTCTTCGGTACGACCAGTGGACGTGCCATGCCTTATCGGCTCCACATCCAAGGGCCATGAAAAAAGGACATCCAACTTGGACGCCATCAGTGCAGTCAACGGTTGAGCGCACCTGAGGCGCTTGGGGCCTGCCAAGTCCTGACATGTAGGTTGCTACAGGCGACGATGTATGCGTGTGCGTGGCTTTCGAGATGCCTCATCTAGTCACAGAGGCCGTCTTCTTCGCCAAAGCGTTCAATAACCACGTGTAGACACACTATAGCGGACCATTAATAAGTGTATTATTATGCACGCGCTAAATGGCAATCTCGTCCTGTAATCTAGAGCTGAGCTGATCTACGGGAAGAAGTCAACCCCATGGTTTGCCACTCGCGGGTCGATCATTTGGGTATACGCAAGAAGCAATCGCTAAGAGACCTACGCCTGCTTGTTGATCTCCTCCAGAATGGCCGCCTCGAGCGACTCGGGCTTGGTGGTGCTCGCCCAGCGGCCCTTGACCTTGCCATCCTTGCCGATCAGGAACTTCTCAAAGTTCCACTTGACGCGCTTCAGGCCCATGATGCCGGGCTTCTCGTTCTTCAACCAGTCGAACAGGGGGCTGGCGTTGTCGCCGTTGACCTCGAGCTTGCCGAAGATGGGGAAGCTGACGCCGTAGTTGATCTGGCAGAAGCTCTGGATGTCGTCGTCGGAGCCGGGCTCCTGGCCGCCGAACTGGTTGCAGGGGAAGCCCAGGACGACGAAGTCGTCGGGGTGCTTGGCGACGATGTCCTTGTACAGCTTCTCGAGACCGGCGTACTGGGGGGTGAAGCCACACTTGGAGGCGGTGTTGACGGCCAGCACCACCTTGCCCTTGTACTCGCTCAAAGGCTTCTCAGCGCCCTTCTCTGCCGGAGGAAAGACGCGCAGTTAGCACCTACTGAACTCGGAAGGAGGATCGGTAGTTGGGCCAGCTATCGCGACTGCGGGGTACCCGGAGACCGGATCGGGATAGCTGGAGGGGCAGGATACGTACTGTCGAGGGGCTTGAAGTCGTAGAAAGTCGTCGCGGATGCCATCTTGTTTCCTGGGGCAGACTGCGGCTGCTGGGTATCTCTTGGGTCTGGTCTTGTTGTCCTGGGAGCAGTGGTGTGCAGTGCTCTTCGGTGCGAAGTCGTCGATGTGGGGTGTGGATGACGGAAGTGGGCGAGCTGGACCAGCTGGGCCCGAGGGTGGGTAGCCAGACCTCTTATGAAGTGTTGACCACCAGGCACGCCATGGCCACGGGCTGCGATCGCACGTTGATTACTAACGAGACGCGGAGCTTGCCAGCCGCTGGAGAAGATGGGTTTCGGCATCAGCGGTGCGGGCGTGGACGGGCGCATGGGCAATGGCAAGGCATGGATGGATGTACACCAGTCAAATTGCTGGTGGGTTTCGGCGGGCGTGATCGTGCCCGCTCGTCAATGCAGCGGAAGGGCTAAGTTACTACTACTCGTTGATTCGCGCCAGAGAGACAGCACAGACAGCCACACCGCGAAACGAGAGCGGTTTGGGGTTCCAACTTCCGGGGAGCAGCAGCTAAAGCCACCGCAGACCTCGGCAGTCATCCACGAAGGTGATATTGCGGTCCGAGCTAATCCACGCCGCCTGTGACGTTATGGGGCCGCACCCGCCTCGTTGTGCCCCAAGATTTGCCGTGAACAGCAATTGAGACCTGCTCCTGGCGGCCTTCATCAGCACCTAAATAATAAATCCCTGTTGTCTCGGGTGAGCGTGTTCTCCCGACTGCCCGAGAGTGGGCTGGAAGCAGCGGCGGCCGTCGTGCGGGTTATGCCCGTGCGGACGAGAGCCCGATCGTCGAAAATGGGATTGATGGGCCACCGTCCAGTCCCGGCCACGGGCCCTTGCTGTGACTTATTCCTCAGGGTCGGGTTGGATGCTGCAAGCTGATAAGGATACGATAGGTTACCGTCCATACTGTACATAGGTACGCCCCGTACGGTAGTAGCAGTAGTTAGTTGCATCCATGGATAGACAGAAGACAGGCGGGCCAGTTTAGCGACGACTGAACTGACATCATGCCACTATGGCACTAGGTATGCACATCTCTCCAATTGCGACCCCTCACTGGCTGTAGGTGAATGGCGCCGGGCGCCCTGGGCTGCACTGGATTGGACCGCAAACCCCCAAGGGACCGGCCCCCAAAGGACCCTTCTTGCCTTCGCGCTAAACGCCGACGACGAAACGTGAGCTCAGCAACCAAGTTCCAAGTCTGCAGCAAATATTCCCCATTTGGATCCAGCACCTTGCATGTGAACGCCGCCCGTGGCGATTATACTCCAGCTAGCACTCGAGTATAGGGACCATATGGAGCCACGGCCAAGGAATATAATCATCATCGGTAAGGAAGACGGCTTGCACCACCACCACCAATAACCCCATTCCCTCACTGCTGCTCCTCCACCTGGAATCACATGTTTTACGGCAGTGTGCAAGGCATTTCCTGACAGCGTAGCCGCCTCAGGTTTATGTCGGTATATGGCAAAAAGAGGCTTGCTAACACCCCTATAGGAGGAGGGATCATCGGCTCAACCACAGCTTACTTTCTGACCCGCCACCCCTCTTTTAATCCATCTATACACCACATCACCGTCCTCGAAGCAGCCTCAATAGCAGGCGCCGCTTCGGGGAAGGCCGGTGGGCTCCTGGGGCTCTGGGCCTACCCCCAATGCCTCGTCCCCCTGTCCTACCAGCTCCATGCCGACCTGGCTGCTGAGCATGACGGCGTCGAACGCTGGGGTTATCGCAAAGTCGGCTGCGGCAAGATCACCGCGACGCTGAAGGCTAAGCATCTCAACGGCAGCCCGGCCCCCAAGAGGCAGAGTAATGGCCTTGACCTGGTCAAGGAAGAAAATGGACAGCCAAAGGAGTGGGTAAAGCTACCCAAGCAAGACCAGGCCGCCAGCGGTCTGCTCAAAAACTCGAAGTTGCCCTCGGATCTGGACTGGGTAGACGGAAGTCTGATCAGGGAATATGCGGAAATGGGTGCGATTGGCTTTACCGAGACGGCCCAGGTCCATCCTTACCAATTCACAACCGCGATAGCCAAGCTGGCCCAGGAGAAAGGTGTGCACTTCAGACTCAATTCCAAGGCCACGGAGATCAATTTGAATCAGACAAAGACCCAGGTCGAAAGCGTTGAGTACCTGGATAGAGCATCCAATCAGATGAGGTCGATATTGGGTGTAACAGATGTTGTGGTTGCCGCCGGTCCCTGGGCTGGCCGCCTGGTGCCCAGCTCCTCCGTAGAGGGTCTCAGAGCGCATAGCGTTATATTTGAGGCTGACGTGAGCCCCTATGCCGTATTCACAAGCATATCGCTGCCGCGAGAGTGGGTACCGGCACATAGGGCTGCTGCGGGTCAGAAGAGGACACATATGGGCTATGTTGATCCAGAGGTATACGCCCGCCCGGGACGAGAGGCATACGCTTGTGGCGAGCCTGATCCATCGGCGCCACTCCCGGAGACGGCAGACCTTGTAGAGTGTGATGAGGCCCAATGCGACGACCTCGCGGCTTACATCAGCACCGTGAGCCCCGTCCTAGAGGCTGCACCGATATCAGCAAAACAGGCGTGCTATATGCCACGGCACATGAGGTCGGGCGTTGAGATGGGTCCACTCATAGGTAGAACCTCTGTCACGGGGCTATGGATGGCTGCCGGTCACACCTGCTGGGGAATCCAGAATGGGCCGGCCACGGGGAAGTTGATAAGCGAGTTCATATTCGAGGGGGAGGCCAAGAGCGCCAACATTGATGAATTGGACCCCTTGAAGTATAACGTTGGAGCCTGATAAGGAGGCTTCCTCGAGGTTGTTCTCATCTACCAGTGTCCAGAAAGCTCGCCAACCTAGCGATGCAGAGAAAATCGCTGCCAAGGACCGCTCGGCGCGATGCAACTGCGCAAGTTGGCTACGTGTCACCTATTGGCTCCAAGCTCCCGTATGCCTCGCTTCATCTTACACAGGTGGGAGTCATCTGACGAGAGAACAGACATCAAACATTGCATGCTATCTGGTTCGAAAGTCTGAAGATGCTCCAATATAATACACTGGCGTTGCACTGCATAAACACTTCATTGCCAGCTTCACGTCCCTAATGTGTGTGCCGTATAATGCTGGGGGTTACCGAAGCGTCCACGATAGCGAAGAATGTGGACGGGTTTAATATAGCTTACAAACTGTTGTCTCTGCTATATTGGTAGCACATGCTCACTCCATGCAACAATTTATTGCGGATCATAGTTTGAATGGTGTGCAGTATTTGATTGAAGTTCTGTTATTGGTCTGGCAGACTCCCAGCGAAGCACTGCATTTCGTATCAAACTACATGTCGTATTCCCTAATTCACTGTGACATTACGGCGAAGGAGGGGAGTACACGAACCATGTCTACCACTCTCTCAGGTGCTCCTTCACGCCAGGATAAACGCACATCAATATTCCTGCGTCGATTTCCCTCCAAGTTGGTACTGGGAAAGGGTTGGTAGCCACTGAGCCTCATCCTGCAGACCCCGGATTCTCCAAAATTCTCTTCCCTTCCAGCAGAACCATACGTAGAGCAACCACGGCACGGCTAAATTGGGTCATGGCAACCCTATTGCATACGTTGCTGCAGCTGTTGTGCCCAATGAGCTGTGGGCCCCGGGCGCCCCGGTTTTCTACAACGACTTCTCAACCTCCATGACCTCCGCGATGGCATCGGCGATGGCCGAGACCCTCGCCTTGTCAAGGCGCTTGAGAGGCCGGCGCGGGTGACCACCGTAGCCGTAGTAGCTCTGGATAGCCTGCTTGGTGCCTGCAATGGCAGCCTTGGTCAGGGGCCAGTCGCCCTTGGACAGCACCTTCTGCAGCGCGATGGCCTCCTGGATCTTGCCCTCGGCGTACAGCTTCCACACCTTGACGCACACCTTGGGCATGACGTTGGCGCCGCCGGCGATGATGCCGCTGCCCCCTGACACCTGGGTCTGGACGGTAAAGTCACACATGCCGCCGAATGCCATGTACCCGCTGCCCTCGGACGAGTCTGTCTTTGCGTTGGTGCCAAGCGCCACGCGCGTGAGCTTACCGGTGTTGCCACAGGTGAACTTGGTTCCAACAATGTTGGGGTGCTGAGCCAGCCGGATCAGGACGTCAGAGTCCAGGTCGATGCCGGCCACCGCGCCGGGGTAGTTGTATATGATGATAGGCAGAGGGCTTGCGTCTGCTACAGCATTGAAATACGCTTCTACGGCTTCCTCATCCATGTGGGCGCGGAAGTAACTCGGGGGCAGCAGCAGCACGTAGTCGCCGCCAGCCTTTTCCGACTCCTTGCAGGCCTCGATCGTGCCCTTGACGCTCCCCTCCGTAGCACCAACGATGATGGGAGTCGACGTGAATCCGGCAGCATCAAGGGCCTCCCTGGTTGCGCGAGTCACGGCCATCTTCTCCTCGCGGGTGCAGTGGGCCGCTTCTCCATTTGATCCCATGGTCACGAGACCAGCGAGGCCCGCTTTGACCAGTCTCTCCGCATGCTTCTTGATCACGGGAATGTCGAGCTCCTCCGTGTCTGGGTCAAAGAATGTCATGGTAGGGGCATAAATGCCGCATGGCAGAGTGCGGCGTGTTGAGGTGCCGTTGGCACCGTTGCTGGCAGTCATGATGGTGCTGGGAAGGTAATAATGACGAGTGGAAACTACGGGGTTCTGCACCGCTCTGAGTCCACGTCTGTGTAAGTCGAAGACACTAGGTGGTCTTGAGTAACGGGAGCAAAATGATCGGCGAGAAAAGAGAGAGGCTACAGAATAAGATGGGACGACGAAGATATTTATGAGTGACCGGACGGAGCTGGCCCCAGCTAGTAGAGGCTTCTTTTGCATCACCTAATGGGTTCGTACATGCGAGTCCCCAATCATCAGAGATGCGTGGGGAAAGACTAGTGGGAAAACGAGATACTTGCAAATTATACAAGCTTTCTCCTCGCTTCAATAATGGTCCGAGACTTTTGGAACCACTCGGCTGCTTGTTTCGGGCGGTCTCACTCCCCAAAGAGGCTGAGCTGTGAACAATGTGCTGGTCAAAGCAAAGAATGCTAACGGGACAGAACTGGTCAAGAGTACACCCTCTGGAGCAACACGGTCAAGGTGTTGTTGGTCTTGTTGTAAAGCAGTGAATGCGCTACTTTGGGCCACTTGGACCTCTCGTATATATCAGAGCAATATAGTGTAATAAAGGATGGGAAGAAATCACGCATTACCTTGCATAGTCCACGTTGGTTAGACGTCGACCCAGGGATGGACCTGCTCGGAGGTTGCAACACAGCAAGCAGGGCCACACACAAGACCGGCATGCGACGGCCAATCTCATGTCCAGGTCAAGGATCACTTGGAGGGTTTCCTAACTTGCATTGTATCGAATGCAATTGTCCGCATCCACAATGGGGTAATCAACCACCATAGCATTTGGGCCTCGTCGGCATCGGCCGTGGAAGGCAACTGGCAGCCGACAAAGGCGCTGACAATCCATGAGCACCAGATGTGGGGTACGTATATGGCTAGGTACCTACCTACTTACCTTGGGATTCTTGTGGCGATGGAGACCGGTTCCAAAGTCTTCTGATATTGGGACCTATTGAGATTGAGATAATGGGCACATCCAACATAGGAGCAATGGACGCCCATACAAGTTGGGTTTGTGGAATTTGCGTGCTTCGACGAAAACCATAGATGTACACGGTAAGAAGATAATCATCGATCCCCAGCGGCTGGCTCCAGTTTGTCGCATGGTGGGGGCTTTGGAGGAGACATTGGCCGTGGCGTCTCGATATGTCATTAGGAACAGTCCAGAGCCTCCAAGACCGTGACTTTGATGGAGCTCGAGACCAAAGCGACAATGCCTACTGGTTGCCGTTGAGACTTCGCATGTTGACGCTATATTAACAGGCCACAGTCATTGAGCAGCATCAGGGTCTCAGGCTGGACATCTCAAGATCCCAGTTGCACGTCCTAAGTGGCCGGAACGGCCTCAGAGAATTATTCCACCAATCACTATGCTTAAAGAGTCAAGCTGTGTTGGAGGCATTCGGGGGCTCTGCGGATTAGGAACTGGTGACGGATTTAGGCTATGGACACTCTCCGCAGGATGAATATTCTCTCTCGTAATTGCTAAGTCTATCTGGCTGAGAGGAGACTCTCTCTGTCGTGTGACAAGCATTCACGAAGTGGTTTGCCAACGGTAGAAGACCTTAATCTGCATGTTCATACATAGCGAAAACCTCGAAAGCATGCAGGTTGTCGCCCAGATTGCGGGGAAGCCCGACAATTACTGGCTGCTCCGGCCAGCCCTCCGATACCTCCACTACAGGCCCCGGAATAACGACGTGGGGGTTGGGTTTGGCGGGGCACGTTGTACGTCAACCTGTTAGACTTAGTATCAGGCTGGCAGTCCAAGTCTTTCTCTCAGTCCGTTTCGGCGATTTGAACCCTCTGCTATGGACTTGCTTGCCTAAACAGACTTGCATCATCGATAAAGATAAATGAATAGCGTACAATGCAGACTTACACTGCATAATGTGCAGTGTAGTGCTAAGACAGCCTTGAACTGATTGATATAGAAAGCATCTGGAGGTGCATACCAAGAATACAGGTTAGCCTGTATCTCGTCGAGTGGCACAAGTACCCTGGAGGCAAGCCAACTGTTTCATGTCACAATTATCCGTCCAGAGACTGGTCGCGAGACGTTCGGGGATTTGGGGACCAGGGAGCTGCAGTAGCAGACAGCCGGACCCTTAGTACCCCAAATTGCTGAATGAGTACCCCTCATAATTTTTCCGACCAGCTAAGGTATCGATCCACCGGGGTAGCTCAAGCTTGGCCAGCCGTATGGGTCATTTTATAAGAACTCTTGTAGCCAGGGACAGCAATTGCTCACTCCTGGAGCTTTTTATGTTTAGTTGTGCTTTCTGAGCTGGGACCTCATTCTCGAATTCTTGAATCCTTAAACCCGCGCTGTCTACGAGAAGAAAATTCACCCAAGATGGCGACCGAGAAGAAGCTGGTGAATGTCCTGATGGTCAGTTCCAAGCCGGTCCTCACAGTCTCATCTGTAGCTAATCTTTGGTTCAGGTGGGAACGGGAGAGTACACCACGGGTTTCGTCGGTGGCGGAGCTTCAGGATCTGACAAGAAAGTTGGAGTCGTAGGATTGACTCTTTTCGATCTTCGACGAAGAGGCAAGGTGGGCAAGCTCGGCATGGTCGGCACAAATGGCACCAAATTTCCTGCTATAAGTGAGTCTCGCTTTTGCTTTCCCGACATTCCTTCTACCGCGGCACAGTGCTGACGTGTAGTCTAGGACAACACCTGGACACCAACATCTCCAAGGTTTACAACAGCCTCGACTGCTCGTTCGACTCTTACCCGGCCAATGACGTGAAAGACCCGGACGCGTACAAGGGAGCCATTGACGCCCTGAAGCCCGGCGACGCTATTACCATCTTTACCCCCGACACCACCCACTACCCTATTGCTCTGTATGCTATTGAGCGGGGTATTCACGTTCTCATCACCAAGCCAGCAGTCAAGACCCTCGATCATCACCTGCAGTTGATCGAAGCAGCAAAGAAGCACAATGTCTTTGTATACATCGAGCACCACAAGAGGTTCGACCCGGCGTACGCGGATGCCCGGTTCAAGGCCAAGAAGCTGGGCGATTTCAACTACTTCTACTCTTACATGTCGCAGCCGAAGTCACAGCTCGAGACTTTCAAAGCATGGGCTGGTATTGACTCCGACATTTCTTACTACTTGAACAGCCACCACGTCGACATCTGTGACTCAATGGTTTCCCAGCTCGATTTCGTGCCAATCAAGGTGTCAGCGTCTGCGGCCAAGGGAATTGCAACCGACCTTGGTTGCGACCCAATCACAGAAGACACCATCACTGTCCTCGTTACTTGGCAGAAGAAGGGCGACCCGTCCAAGATTGCGACCGGTGTCTACACAGCTTCCTGGACTGCTCCTCAAAAAGCCGGCGTCCACAGGTTCGTTCTGATCCGAGGCAGGTCTTTATTCATTTTACTAACGCGGATATACGTTTAGCAACCAGTACTTCCACTACATGGCATCCGGCGGTGAGGTTCGAATCAACCAGGCAAAGCGCGGCTACGACGTCGCGGACGATACTGCCGGGCAGCTGCAGTGGTTCAACCCATTCTACATGAAATACGCTCCCGATGAGGAGGGCAACTTCAATGGGCAAACTGGATATGGATATATCTCCTTTGAGAAGTTCGTCGACGCTTGCAACGCCCTCAATGCCGGCACTGTCACTCTCGACGAGCTCGATAAGCGCGGGCTGCCTACCCTCGCGAACACCACGGCAACCACAGCTATCCTTCACGCCGGTCGCGTGAGCATCGACGAGGACAGGGAAGTTAGGATAGAGAGCAAGGACGGAGCATGGAAATTGGTATAGTGGATGTCGTCTGGTGAACTAGAGATGCATGTATTGTATTATAAGTCACTTGATGGAAGCTTATGATTGGCCGATGAACAGAGGGACGCACTGGGCTTGGAGTTTGGCAGCACGCAACTGTAAATATGGTCCAGGGCCAACAAACCGGATAGGCCAACAAAACCTGTCATTAAACAGAACGAGTTAATGATTTCGATGTACCTTGATGGCCGAATCCAGATTGATCAACAATTGACAGAACGATACGAGCTAGCCACTGTCAGAGTGATACTAATTCTGAGCTTGTGCACAGACCGTTGCTTAATTTGGACCCTGGTCCTGCTGGTCTCGGGAAGCTCTTTTCGCGTCTCACAGAGGGGATCTAATAGGGGTCGTTCCGACTTCCTCCTCCATGCGCTCTTGTAAGACATGAATTAACTGAAAAGCGACTCTACTCAGCCGTATAGCCCCCCATCGAACCAACTCAGCACCATGTCTTCATTCATCGACTCCCTACCGCCCGACGTCTTCGACCAGACGACCCTCATCTCCCTCGCGTCCACGGTCGCCATCCTCGCCGTCGCTTACATCGGCTCTCTTGCGACGCTTCCTGTCTCGACGCCAGCGAGCTACCGCGGGCTCTTCATCTGGCATGCGTTCGACGCCCTGATCCACTTCATCCTCGAGGGCAGCTTTCTCTACCATTGTCTGTTCTCCTGGATACCGCTCTCGTCCGTCAAGAACCCGCTGGCGCTGGCGCCGACTGCGCACAACTTCCTGGGCTACACCAACCGCGCGTACGGACCCCAGGCAGGCGGCGACAACCCCTTTGCGCAGCTATGGATGGTGTATGCGAAGGCAGATAAGAGATGGGCCGGTGCAGATCTGGTAAGCCACCCCCCGAACCACCAATAGAGGACATCGGGCCTTTGGGAAGCAATGCTCTCCACCGCGCCAACATGTCTTGAAGTGCCGAGACATGCCATGCCACGGCCCTCGCACATGTTCTAAGATGCTGACAATTTGCACATAGGCAGTCATCAGCCTTGAGCTCCTCACCGTCTTCGTCGTCGGGCCGCTCGCATGCCTGGTTTGCTACGGCATTGCAAAGAAGGACCCCCGTACAAATATCGTCATGATCATCGTTGCGACCATGGAGCTTTATGGTGGATTCATCACGTTCTGCCCGGAGTGGCTGACCCAAAACTACAACCTGGACGCCAGCAACTTCATGTACAAATGGGTTTACCTGGTTTTCTTCAACATGCTCTGGGTCTTCATTCCTATTTACGCCATCTGGGTCGCGGTCAAGGACATCAATGATGCCTTTGTAGTCAGGAGCAATGTCAAGGCTGTGAACAAGACAAAGTGAGGAGGCTCGAGGCTCGGAAGAGTCAGTCACAAACTTAAGAGGCTAGCTATCGAGAAATACTCGGGTGGGCTTGTAAGAAAGAAAATAAGGAAGGTTAGGTCAAGGGATGAAAGTGCCTGGAAAGGCCGGACTTTCTGGTGCCGCGGGACACATGGTGGTTTTGGCTTAGTGGCTTACTGACCAACTCGCCTATATGGGGCAAGAGCAATTCGCGGATGCGCCAAACGCTTTGGAGCAGGGGGTTTCTAAGAGAGAGATAGGATCCTATGGTGATCGCTTTCGTATTGTTTTGGCAGTCTAAACTCTAAAGTCATCAAGCCCCGGTCTACGTTTCGAACATCTCCAACAAGTCACTAAGGACGGGCAACAACTCTTGACAGTGGAGTGGACCAGAAAAGTTTACTGGTCGTTCAATATATTTATATGATATATTTGTGCGAATGTGGCTCCTTGATTGTACTTACCATCGGGTTGCTTCGGAGTGGTTCCGTGTCCGAGGCGTCTTCCTTCTTAGATCAAACTGATTAGCATCAATTCTTGCAAAGAGTCTACATCGTTTCCTGCGCCTTGAAATGGATTTACTTCTCGAAGCGCTTCAATTCGTTGTTTAATTGGTTGATTTTACGAAGCAATGATTCAACCTTTGCGCCCATGTCATTGCGGTAGTACTCGTACTCGACGATGAGCGCCGAGTGACAAACGGTGGGTTCTCCGGAACAAGTGCAAATGAATGGGTCATCGGCACAATCGGACACCCCTGATCGGTGCCACCAAGGGTCCGTGTCTTGCCCCAGACTGTTACCTTGGATCTTACCTTGTGATCCACCGCTGCGGTTCTGGTCCTGATCTTGGTCATCCGTACCGCAATTTTCTTGATTGTATCTGCTAGAATCCATGATCACTGTGACTGTTAACGTTCGTAGGTAAATGGAATTGATGCGTATGGCTTTGAGGAAAGTACTCATACTTACTGCAGGGCCACCCTCCGGTTTTATAGGCAACCATAACAATCATCCATCACCACACTCATTGAGCACGAACAAAGCGGCAAGACGAGAAGACAATGATACTGCATCGGACGCTTTGCACACAATGACACAAGCTTCATACGTGTGGCGCCGCTTTTCCGCCTTCTCCTTTATTGCCAAGTGAATAGCACTTTCTAAAGAGTGAAGATTGCAGCAGATGGCCCTATGGGTTTCAGTTAAATATAATGCGTTACTATAGCTACACCGATTCAAAGTTGTAGACATGTAGGATAGAAATTCACCGGCGTATAGCGGGATCCCAAGTACCGGTATTCACTAAGGAGCTTCGTTCAGTTGATCGCTACAAAAAGAGTCGCGTTTGACTTTCTACGTGCTTGGTTGATTGTGTTGAAGAAAACGTGTATTACGAGTAACACAAAACCTCCGCTTGAGGAGTGCTGAGAATGAGATACATTGGTAAATCTCAGCGATGTCAATATCGAAGCACGCCAATCAATCTTGGCTGTTTTTAAGTGCTTCATTGTATAAATTAACATTGCCAAGTGATATTATGTCACAATGAATAACACCACCGGCTTTAGTCAGTTATTGTAGCCTTGGTCATACTATATCATTTTGCTCAGAAGAACTATTCCTTTCATCAAGATTACAAGGCCATTGTCTCGCACAAGCAAACCATGGCCTTAGGTATTACGAAAATCCACAAGAAGGCGTATAAAGGGATCTCTAGAGTCTTCGATCGCCTTTGGGGGCCTGCATGTTCATAACCAGGGCCGCTCTGAGGCAACCACGGGATATTGAACTAATCTTCACTATGGCAGGCAAATGTGTTTGGCGTTGGCATTGCTTCGAAATCTGCCACCATCTGGTGCCGCAACATGTTGCAGTTCCTGTCAAATGCCGGGTTCACAGCGGTACGGCGGATATGTGCGAGGACCCGAGATACGAGCCCTATCCAGATATGTCGGAGGGGCGGAGAGGCCTTCGTTGCCCAACCTGTACCTCCGCCATTGGGTTGGCAACTCAAGTCGTCAGGGATCTCATGGATGATGATCGCTGGTCGGGCTGCAACGAAGAGTTCCGGTGGTGGCTAATTGACGTCGACCAAGATTGTCAGAATGCCTTGGACACAGCTCTTTCCAAGGAGGCTATGCTCAAGGATGCCTGGATTCACCAGCCGATGGTACAGTATCATAAAGACTGCAAGAATCTTGCTCAGAAGGTCTCCTACTGTATGGAAGCGTTCCGGGCGAGAGACAAGCAATGGAACGCTTCCCTTCGGAGGGCTGGTGGTGGTTTTCTCACGCAGGAAGAGACGGCCCGCCTCACACTAGAGCGATACGAAGTCAGACAGGAAAGCAGCTACAAGGATGATGGCGCGTTATTCGAAGAGGAAGAGATGATTTTGTCTCGAGCAGCCCAAATGGGCATTGCGCGTAGAAGCTCCGCTCCATTTTATTGGAGTCCGTAGTGTCAATGTCAAAATCAGCACTGCCTAGAGATCTGTAACAATAGAATACGCAATGATCACGCAAATCTTATTCTTCCTTCCTGAGTAGTAACCCTATAGCTTTCATGAGTACTAAAGACCTGGCAGAATACGGGGCTCGTGCAGCAAGACTAGTTATGTTGCGAACAATACACCTCATTGTAATTCTCACAGGAACCCTCAAGCGAAGCCTAGAGTACGCGTTGTGACACAAGGTGATGGAATTCATTTAACCAGGCATAGTATAAGGCTTTTCTACAAGCCTGGATAGAACAATGTAACAACAATCAGCACCACAGCGTTCTTAAGACCCTAACAGCGTTCTCTCGAAGACACTAGTATACAGACTATGAACATCCATGATGATCCACCGTTCACAGCACAAGGCACCAATAGATGAGTTTATTTTAGGTGGACTATTCTACGACCTAGCTCCCTGGAATAGATCGTATATGATTACAAAGGTCACGGGCAAAAGAGAGACAAAAAGAAGATACCAGATTGAATCGGGTCCACTGTAATGCACTGACCGGGAGTCGAACCCGGAGCTAAAGCAATGGCATTTCATGGGAAGCTTTAATGTTACCGCTACACCATCAGTGCTGATGGTTTGCTATGTCTCCACTTCTGCTTACTATGCCTCATATGCGATGTCAAGCGGGGTGCGGTATGCTTGTGACGTTCGGACACTTCAGACATCGTCCTGTCGAGTCCGGCAAAAAGGAGCGGCTGGGGCGAGTATAGCCCTGTATAATTATTTTGGAAGTACAGAAATGAGCACTTGGATAAGGAAGCAAGAAATGAATGCACTAGGAAGAACAGAGAAGGATTGCCAATTCAGGGACCAGAGCAAAAAAAAACAACCAAAAACTTTGTTGTGCTCTAGATTCTGGGGCTACTTCCTAGGTGGTTAAATTACTTGAGTCATGGGTGAGAAGTCTAGCCTTGCGAACCCGATTCGTGCTTGTAAGTGGCATGCGACTCTTCATACCTGATGTGAATTAGTTGGCAAGCATCTTATGCATCAGGAAGTGCAATATGGTAGTTATTATCGACGACAGCAACGTTGACCTAAGCCAGGTGGTTTTTGTTGAATTAGCAAATGTAACAGCAACTAGCAACGTGCAAAATCAAACTACATAGATTTGAGGTGTCCGAAAACATCAGATGTGCCATCTGGTATGGGCATATATCAGAAATGCTCGAGTCCAGAGTACCTAGGTAGGCAGAGGAGAAGATTCATGTCCGCCATGTCGCTCAGACTGAAATATCATGCGTAGGCGATGTGTATGGAAGTAGTGAATAGTTCCAAAAAGTTCTTCAATACAAAGAGCAAACAGTAGTGGACAAACAGTAGTGGCAGACTCTCAGACTCGCTAATGATCAATGATCTGCCTATCCCTGTCGTCACCGAACCCCATCCCACCTTACCCAAGCCCTTCTACAGCTGCGGGCAAGCTCCCCACCAGCCCTTGGAACCCAGCGACGTTTACATCACCTCCTCCAACCACATCCGCCATTCCCATTCCCTCTCGCGGCATCCCTCTGAAAACACACACCCAACCATGGCCGCCGCCAAAGCCGACAAGATCGCCAAGATCATCACCCGCCTCCAGGAGCGGATCGGTGACGGCGACTACTACGAAGCACAGCAGCAGACGCGCGTGGTGGCCGCCCGCTACACCAAGGCCGCCAACTGGGATGCCGCCATCGACATCCTGTACAATGTCGCCCAGTCGCTCCTCAAGGCCGGCCAGGGCGGCAGTGGCGGTGATCTATGTGTGCTGCTGGTCGACACCTACAAGGCTGCAGAGCTCAAGCCCGATGCGAGCAGCAAGGGCAAGTTGCTGACCTGTCTGCGGCTGTTCCAGGCTGGCGAGCCGACGAGGAAGAAGTTTGTGGGCGAGATTCTCGGGTAGGTTCCCCCTTTGGCTCCCTAGGATGTTCTACAAACCTTCTATCTGGAATGGGAGAGCAGGCTAACCATGGAAACACAGATGGTCCTCCAAGTTTGGCGAATACCCCGCGGGCGACCCGGAACTTCACCACGTGGCCGGCTCTCTATACGCCGAGGAACACGAGACGTACGATGCGGAACGACATTTGGTGCTTGGCACGAAGGACTCGGCAGAGGTTCTTGCAAGAATGGAGTACGAGTGGTTCAAGGAGGACGAGTCACACACCGCCGCATTATATGCCAGCCGAGCTATCCTGCCCTATCTCCTGACGGCCAACGTCCGCGCCGCCAACACAGCATACCGCTTCTTCACGAGCTCCCTGAACCAAGACAAAGGCAGCGCCATTGGGGTGCAGGACGTAAGCAGCAACAGCGCCGACATCCGCGTGTACCCTAGCATTCCTCTCCTCAACTTCCTTGGCCTCCTCCTGCTGGCAGTGCAACGGGGAAGCGCCGACCTCTACAGACAGCTCACGACCAAGTATGCGCCACACATCAAGGAGGTCGACATGTGGCACGAGCCGCTGGAGATGATTGCCGAGATGTACTTTGGCATCTCACGGCCGCGTCAGAGCAACCCGCTGATGGATATGATGAGCGGCTTCTTCGGCGGAGGTGGCGGCGGTGGTGCTCCAGCCGGAGGCTCAAGGAGACCGGCCGTCAAGGCTCCTACTCCTCTTCCGACCGCCGAAGGTCTGGATTAGAAGGCGGTGTTGCATCCATCGCAACGGTCCCACCGCCCGCGTGATACCCCAAGAAACGATACGTAGTTACGATCAATCATAGAATATTGCCAGGATTCATGGTGCAGATCAATGTCCAACTGGTAGCTCCTCTGGTTCGTACATCCAGTTGTCTTCGGACAGAGCAGCTACTTGTGCCCTCATGCTGGCGCGTAGAGCTTCGAGTACCTCTAGTAAGCAGTTTGTTAGCTCTGGATATGTCGTTGCAGTCCAGAGGGGATCATACCTTCTGGTTGAGCTGGCCCTCGAGCGTGATTGATCTGGTGGTGCTTGACAGCCTCAGCCAGTTTTTGTCGCTCCCCTGTATAACATTAGGCTCTATTGTATCTGTTGAACAGCATGTGAATCTCCTCCAACCACATACGTTCATTTTCCAACACCTCATCCAGTGCCTCAACCTCCGGGTCGTCAACAGGCGGCGTGGGCGGGTCGCCGACCTCGAATTCGCCGTTCTTATCGCGGATTACGATCTCTGAGGTTTCGGACAGCACGTCGACATCTAGGCGCGTGGTCTCGGCCGAGTTCGACGATGTGGGAGTCGGGCGCCGGGTCAGCTGCGACTGGAATAGATTGCGCCGCACGCCGCCGGCCGCGGTGGTGCTGGAGGAAGACGATGCGGCCGTCGAAGCGAATGCGCCGCGGGCTGGGCGCGACACCGCGGGCCTGGCTACGGGTGGTGGATTGGACGTCATCGCGCGCGCGGTTGGGAAAGCTATCTCGCTATAGCTGGCTGTGTGTCAAGATATAGGTCATTTGTTCACCGGAAACGACTAGAAGGGGAAATTGAAAGAAGCCTTAAGGATGTTGTGCCATGTCGAGTTGCGATAATGCTGATTTTCCTAATGTTTACTTTCGCTGGGTTGGACTTTACAGCGGGCTCCAATCGCTGGATTGCGGGGTGCTGATCGCTGCACTACAGGGGTTGGGCGGCTTGTTCCTTGCCTAGACTGCGCCGCTAGGGGTCCAATCAGTGGCTGTGGTTTGACTTCCAGTGAACCGGGAGCTGCAAAATCTCACAAATATCACAACGAGCTCTTTAGACCGAGTACTCCTGACCCCAAGCACTTTATTCCCCAGGTTATATGGTATGAAAGGCTCCAGACATGTCAGGATCATTCAGCATCCAGCCCATTGGCCGCTTCAGCGGCGATAGCCAGGCCGTAAAGCGACCGAAGGTAAGGAATTATCAGTCCTGGTCATTTACCTACCACCGCATTATGAAAGGCGATTGTCTGCCTGGCTCAAAGCTCCCACGGCGGTTATTGTAACCACGTTCGTGGACGGCCCTGTCTACAGATCCTTGTACAACTACATTCGCTGTTCACCAAGCTAACAGTGCAGGAAATTGCCTGCTTCTCATATGACGACAAACATGAGTTCCATCTTGGTGATTCCTCACTCAAATGGTACTATCCACCCCGGCTTGGCGCGGACCTGTCCGAAGGCTTCGAAAGCTTCGACAAGCATGATGATTCGGCGGATGAACACCTCGATAGCCTGCTGAAAACCATTATTGCTCACGAGCAGGAGGAGGGCAAGAAGATTGATGCCCAGGTCGTCACCTGGCGAGGCATGATAACCAAGGTAAAATCTCATGATCATGAGACTTCTTGATGACTCGGGACTAACGAGGCGTGCTCAGATAATGTCGGCTGTATTTGAGGATCGAGATGGGTATGAGCATTGAGCATTGAATCCACGAATGTATCTGACATGAGGCCCTCTAGCTTCGAGATGAACGCCACGCTTTATCAAGTACGCGCTGTGATAACCCACCCTTTCCTGTGAGAAGCTAGGCTGATATGAACAAGGATTGCATGTATGCTGCATGCCCACTTTGAACTTTCTTACGGAACTCAACTTATGGCATCTAGTTTTATTGAGGAAAACCACGCCTATAAGCAAGCCTCGAAGCAGAAACAACAACAGCAGCAGAGTAAACCCAGGCGCTGGGAGAATAGAGGCCGAGACAATCAGCCGCCTCCTCCGCAGTTCTCACCAGATGTCATGACATACTGGGGTATGCATTCTGTCTTACTCTCTTGCACACGTTACTCACCATTTCCAGGTTATAAGTTCGAGACGCTGTGCACACTTCCTGCAACTTGGGCCGAGACTAGCAGAGAATACATCGAGAGCCGAGACAAGGAGGTTGTCAGCAACAAAGCGCAGTATTGCTCTGTAGTCCGCACGGGGCTCGGCAAGACAATTCTTTGCATCGGTGGTGAAGTCGACGCTGGTTAGTAGTATCATGGCTGTTCCCTTTCGTCTCTGGCCTACTTCCCTCCCTGTAACTTGCCTACCTAGAGCTACGACGACTGACCTGCCCTACGCTCCCGCAGTCTGGGATGCCAAGCCCATGCAGAAAGGGGCGCCGACGAACTGGATCGAGCTCAAGACCAGCGCCTCGATCCGGGACGACCGCGGCATGGCCAACTTTGAGCGCAAGCTGATGAAGTTCTGGATCCAGTCGTTCCTCCTCGGCGTGCCACGGATCATCGTGGGGTTCCGATCACAGGCCGGCGTCCTCGAGAAGCTGGAGGAGATCAAGACCGAGGGCATCCCTGCGACGGCGGCTCAGCGCGGCGTCAAGAGCTGGAACGCCAACATGTGCATCAATTTCGGTGCTGGATTCCTGGATTGTAAGTCTCACTGGAGCCGAATCCTTTTGCCACCTTGCCCTTCGCAATGATAGAATATGTGCCAGAAATGCCGAGGCTGATACCGGACAGGGCTGAGACGGACTATCAACGATGATGGGGTCTGGCGCATCCGCCGACAGCCCAGGTCCGACACCATTGAGGTTTTCCAGATCGAGGAGGCTGGCCACGGGAAGATCTTGACGGACGAATTCATCAACTGGCGGATAAAGCTCAGTCTGATGAACAGCGAAGGTGGATAAAGATACCAATTCAAAATGGAAATCCAGCTCTATTATGTCCGTGGCAGGCCCGGAAAACCAAGTCTTTCTACGATGCCTTTCTAGATAGATACCCAAGCATTCGCTGCTCTATGTACAAATCTCGCTTAATCAAACCTATGCCCTCTAATTATAATCTATAAGTGCAACCAAGGATGTATGTCCATGCAGGACATCCCTGATCTGATCTGAGTTACGTGCTTACTCAAGGGGCACCACCATCTTCCGGCGCATGGGATCGAATTCAGCGCCGGCATGGTATTTGCTGCCAGTTCCGTTCGCCTTCAACTTGGTGCTACCAAGCTTGGCTTCGAAGGCCATGTAGTTCATGAAATTGGCGACCTGCAGGAGGGGTCAGTAGGAGTAAGAGTGAGAAATAGGGGCCACATACCGGCGCGCTGTGCCATCTTCCACCACCGAATTCGAACCATCCCAGATGCCCACCTAGGGATGTGGTGCACATGACCGTATAGGGATTGGTCTTGATCTCGCCGATTGGCAGCGCTTCAGAAGAAGAGATCTGATCACCGGATGAGCTTCCATTGGCCACACCACCGCAATATTCATTATGCACCATAGGAGGGAGACTTACGGGGTCATCCGTGGAGTTGATCGCCAAGTATGGAATCCTTATGGCCATGACAGAGTCTACCGACGAGGCATCTCTGTAGTACGCATTCTCCGTCGGGTAGCCCCAGGCTGCGCACTGCACCTCCCTATCGAATTCATACAGGAAGGTGAGTTTCGAGATCTTCTCTAGATCCAGGTCGGTGAATTTCTCAATCTCCGTCTTGTGTGTCTCGGCCAGCTTTTTCATAGCAGCTGTAACCAACATTAGCTTGTGAGAATCGACAGACAATGTATAGCTTGCCACTTACTGCCCAGGACCCGGGAATACAGATTATGTCCAATGAAGGTGCGCTTCAGCGCATTGCTTGACAGCTCCAGATTCCAAGGGTTGGCGCACGCGACGGCGGCCTTGAGTTGACAATTGGAGCCCTCCTCACCAAGGTACTATCTGCATTTTTAGTTCACAAACTCTATTTTCTCACGCAGCGTAGAGTGAGCATGAAAGGGGACACTCACGTTTGTCAAAATACAAGCGCCTAGACTGAAGCCCAGCCCGAATAGCGGTCGGTTCGGGTAAGTCTTCCGCAGCCATTTCACGACTTGCCGCGTGTCCCACGTAGCACGAGCATTGTAAAGGATGCCCGTCGTGATCTTGCTCTTTGCGCACCCGCGCGAGTTGACCACGCATGCCTCCCACTTGCCGCTCTCGAGCAGCGGCGCAATCGCGTGTCTGAGGTACACCTCGTGCGAGCCGCCCGACAATCCATGCAGAACGACGAGCATGGGCCTCTCGTCATCCGACCCCAGACCCGCCAGCTCCTCCTCGCTGAAGTACGTGGTCCGCGGCGGCAGCGACTCGTCCTTCTCGGCCCCCGCAGACTCGGGGGGCACGTAGAAGTCCACGGCGAAGCTCCCCGAGTACCCGCTATGCTCGGCCTCGAAGATGCGGCGCTTGTAGTGCACGTCCGGCGCATCCTTCATGACGGCTGTGTAGCAGGTCTGCAGGTGGCCATTGAACAGCAGCGGGTTGAGCTGGCACGCCGGCGTGGCCTCTCGTGCAATATCTACCAGCGTCTTGGTGGCGCCATCCTGAGTCTCGAAGGAGATAGGGGTCGAAGACGCATGGAATTCGAGCTTCGCACGACCTAGCCAGTCCATTTTGGAACGAAGGCAGCCCCTTGAACAATTGGCGCACTCAAATTCTGAAAAACAAGAGCGCGAGCTATGAGTCTCGGTCTGATCTATGTTGCAAAACTCTGAGATGTATAGCGATTCACGACACTAGGCGGCATACGCAAGCAAAACGCCGTCGGCCTTCTCATAGGAGAAAAAAGGGACGACGGGAACGACTCAGGAGGAACACTGAGAGGCGGCCCCACTTGCCTCGGCTGGCTTGTTGAAAAAGCAAAGGAGGGAATATTGAGGTCTTCAGACACGCAACGAGTGTGACACGGGAACCATTGGCTGTGAGCTGCAGACACGATGCCAACGAAGATAAAGTATCAGACCGATTCCTGAGAGCGCCGGGTCGCTGCAGGCAATGTCCGTTGCGCGCTTTCAGTGATTCTGCGATCTAACCTAGATACGTACAGGGATTAGCGTGGGTAAGGGTAGTGGCAGTACTCGAACAGAGCAGCACAGGGTTGGCCAAGCTCTTTGCATGCTCACCCGTCTTTCGCTCTTCCTGTCTGGTTAACTTCCGTTGCCCCTATATCTGACATGGAATGGTGCCAAGCAACATTTATACTCCGCGCGAGCGAGTGCCGGCCTCTGATGCAGTGCACTGGTCTAGGCCGGAGTATCTGTGGTGGCCGTCATGAGCGTCGTCGGCCCCGGGTAGGCGTACGGTGTCGAGACTATGTCCATGTCCGAGTAGCAGCTTGTCTTGACACACAGAGCTGAGCCGTCGAGGGCCCCATTCTTGTTGCTGTCGTAGTAGTTCTGGGATACATCTATAGGAGTCACATTAGCCAACTGCAGGGTTGAATGGCCGAAAGAGTCATTTATCGTTAGAGCGTCATGCTCCTACAGAGTTTAAAACTTACAGCCGTGGAAGTTCGCATTCCCTCGGGTGAATGCGGTGACACCGGTGCTGGGCCCTGAGATGAAGTAATTGTTGATCACATTGGCGTAGCTCTGGCCATCGCTGTCGCCAGCAATGTAGCCACCGCCTCCTCCCCAGTTATACACGACCTAGACGGATCAATACATTTTCCATTAATCAAAAGGAAACGCTCTCTCATATACGGGACGCATACTCATTATACTTACATTATTCTGGAAGTCATTTTTGCCCTTTACTTTCGGGTTTCGGGTTTTGTTGTCGATGTACAGATTCCGGAACAGACTTACACCGTAATCCGTCTGTATCAGGCCGCCGCATGAGTGTGTTTCGAGGCCCTGTCCGATGATGGAATTTTGAATCGTCACATTGTAGACATCACCACTTATAGAAAACGTCTCATCACGGCCCCAGGTTGCCGAGACGTGGTCGAAGATCATGTTTTTACCTTCGGCGATAGTAACACCGTCTACAAAGCACCCGCGACGAGATTAGCAGATGTATTCTCTTGGCTGCTTTAGGAGCACGGGGAAAAAAATCATTACCTTTGCCTGAGTCACCCCCTTTCCCCATTCGGAAGCGGATATAACGAACAATTGCATTATCGGCATTGGAGAAGGAGAGACCGTTGCCGTACACGGTGATGCCCTGAACAGACAAGATCAGACACGCCTGTATTCTGGATTTCTCGGTTGATCTTTCTGCTTACGCCACCAGGAGCAGTCTGGCCTGCGATATAGATATTTTTGGATACTACAATACGGTCCGTGATGTTGATCGTTCCACCAACGTCAAAGACAACAATGCGATTGGATTTGGAGACGGCATCACGGAGGGAGCCGGTACCGGAATCACTGCAATATGGAATTAGCCTCCTCAACAGCCATGGTGGAAGCGAGGAATGAGCGCACGCCAGAGTTGTCACATGGTAAACGGAGCCGGTCCTGCCACCGACAGCATCTCGGCCGAAACCTTCGGCACCAGGGAAGGCGAAGAGGGCAGACGCTTCTGGTGCAAGTGACGCTAGGACGACTAGGGTCAAAAGTTTAAGGAGTCCCATGTTGTCGATGCGTTGTCTTGCGCAGTTGGAACTGGTCACGACTGCTACTTGTAGAATCTCATCGGCACTCCGCCACCAAGAAGCGCGAGACTGTCGCGAAACCTAGGCCTTATACATACGCTCAGCCTGATTTAAGATTTGCAAGTATGACCCGAGCCAAGAACTACAACCCTCAAATGCACGGCTACGAGGTGGAATTATTCCACCCATAGAGAAACTAGCGGGTGACAGGTCTCAGTGAAGGGCGAAATGGTACCCCTAGCCTGACAGAGACCGGGGGAATGCGACCTATCACGGCGCTCCGAGACGTTTGCATCACGGAAGGGATTCCGAAGGTCGAATCCAGATAGATTGGAAGCCAGGGGTCGATGGCGGGGCCGAATGGGTCAGCGTTGCGTTCAGCAGGGTGGCACCGAGAACTTCAATTTCCTGAATGCTCTTAACTTATCCAAGAACCTCGACGGCACCCGACCGCATCCCGCCAGAATCAAGGCCATGTGCGTTGCCCAATGTACCAAAAGGGCTATGTGTAGTAGTCTAATCCAGAGGTGGGTAGCTGATTATTCGTCTTTTGATTGCCGGTAGACTCTGTTGCGGTAAAGTGATGGACAGGTCACGCAGGAAATCATCTTGGGCTGATGTAAATTGAAAGGGCTCGTTCATCTCTAGAATGCCAGAATTTGGCTGGGTATCAGTAAACCTCCGCTCAACGGCCTCTTGTGAGCTTCCTCAGTAGGCCCCAGCCTCCAAACAAGACTGCACACCTCTCCACCTCCTAAAACAAGCCTGCAACCGCCGTAGTTCAGAGGCGTGCTTCATGGCTTTGGATCATTGAACGCCACATGGACAACTCTTGTATCTGATGGTGGAATGTATATGTCCAGCATAACTGAACTAGCCCTCTTCGGCATCCATATTGTCGTGTCTCCTCTTGTGCGAAGTCTTGCCCCTCTTGCCCTTCAAAATGCTACCCTTATTGCCACGGTCGTCCAGCAGGTTTTTCATCTCCATTCTGGCGTGACGTTGTGCCTCCTCGACACGAGGCTTGAAGACCATGACCTCGCCCTTATCGATAGGATACTCCTTGTTCTTCTTGCCCAAAGCCGCCTCGATCCGCAAATAGATCTCGAGGTCGTACTGACTCACTATCGAAATGGCATGCCCACTCTTGCCGGCTCGTGCCGTACGGCCTACTCTGTGCACGTACGTCTTCGAGTCCTGTGGGAGATCGTAGTTGATGACAACGTCCACCTTGGGGATATCTAGACCTCTGGCAGCCACGTCGGTGGCGACCAGGATCTGTCTTGAACCGGCCTTGAACTTGTTCAAGGCACCGAGACGGGCGGACTGCGAGAGCTGGCCGTGAAGAGGGATTGCGCCGAAGCCGAGGGTCCGCAGCAGGATGGAGACGCGCTGGGTCTCGAAGATGGTTCGCGCAAAGATGATGGCGCTCTGGCCGGCGAACTCGTTGCAGAGGTAGATCAGGTACGTGTCCTTCTCGTGCACGGGGATGAAGACGTAGTTCTGCAGGAGGGTTGCCACGGTCTGGTATTTGTTGGTGGAGATGCTGACCCTCAGGGGATCGCGCAGACTTGCTCTCTGCAAGCTTTCGACCTTGGAGGACATGGTGGCACTGAAGAGGAAAGTCCTACGCTCCCTGGGCAGGAACTTGAGGATCTTCTCCAGGATGGGGCCGAAGTCCATGTCCAGCAGCCTATCGGCCTCGTCCATGACGACGTACTTCAGGGAGCGCAGCGAGAAGCCCTTTGTCTTCTCCAGATGGTCGAGAAGGCGGCCGGGGGTGGCGACGATGATGTGGGGCTTCTTGCCCAGGGCAATGGACTGAGGGACCATGTCCAGGCCACCGACGATGACGGCGACGCGCACGTTGATGAGACTGCCGAGGGCCTCGAACTGCTGGCCAATCTGGTGGGCCAGCTCTCGGGTGGGCGCCAGGACGAGCCCGAACAGGGGCTGGGGCTTGTCCAGGAGGGCCTGCAGGATGGGCAGTGCAAAGGCGGCCGTCTTGCCGCTTCCAGTCTCTGCGAGTCCGATGAGGTCGCGGTTCTGGAGGGCTAGCGGGATGGACTTTGCTTGGATGGGGGTCGGCTGTTTGTAGCCCAGGGACTCGCAGGCCTCGCAGAGAGAATCAACGATGCCCAGCTCCTTGAACGTCTTGGGGGCGTCGTCTTCGGCAGCAGGCTCTTCCTGATCGTCGGCCTCTTCGCCGTCCTCCTGCTCGGCCTCGTCGCTGTCCTCGTCGCTAGCCCCATCTGCGGGCTGGGAGTTCCCGGCGACAGGCGCGGCATCGCTGCTGTCGCCGGCGTCGTCGTCATCGTCTTCCTCCTCCTCCTCCTCCTCGACGGCCCGAGGCTTGCGGGCCTTCTGGGCGGGCTTCTGGACAGGCCTCTGGGTTGTCGGCTTGGCCTTGTCGCGGGGGGGTCCGGCACTGCCGTGTGACAACTTCTGGCGCTTGGTCGACGGCATGGCGCGGGTATAGGTAGTATAGGTCTATCTGTCGGCAGAAAGCAGGCGTGCGGGAGCTTTCTAGAGCGGCGACCTGGGAGGTGCATGTGAAGATGTCCTTTCTCCTCGTCGTCCTGCTCGAACCCTCCCAAAAAACTTGACCGCCTTGGGGCTTATCGGCGGTGGGCGGGGCCTTATCGGGGCCGCCAAGCGCTTTTCTGCCGCCGGATAGCGGGACAGGACCAAAAATTTCCAGCAGGGCGCAGGGGTGGCCGAGGCGGCCAGCAGGCCAGCAGGCCAGGGTGGACCCGAGCTGCCAGTTTAGCGGGCTAGGTGGTGGATTGGGGCCGGGCTGCTGGAAGAACTGAACCTTCAGAGAGAACTCTGCGAACTCTGCCTGCTCTCCAGCCCGGGCCGACTTGTATATACTATTCCTACTTGCACCAACAGCATCTCGTCCGTCTCGTGCACCTTTTCTCCTGCCGTCTTCGCCCTCGTCCTCGTCTCTTCCACCCCAGTCCAGTCCCGGTCCGCGACGAGGACTCTGACCTGACCTGACCTGACTTGTTCGCGCACAATGGCCAAGAGGAGAACCAAGAAGCGCACCCATGTGGGCGCCAGCAACCCCGAGTCCAAGGCCACCTCGCTCGGCCATGCCTCCACCCGGGACCCCAAGAGCATGGTCATCCGCATCGGCGCCGGCGAGGTCGGCTCCAACGTCAGCCAGCTGGCCAAGGACGTGCGCCAGGTCATGGAGCCCGGCACCGCCTCCCGCCTCAAGGAGCGCCGCGCCAACCGCCTCCGCGACTACGTGACCATGACCGGGCCCCTCGGCGTCACCCACCTGCTGCTCTTCTCCCGCTCCGAGTCGGGCAACACCAACCTGCGCGTCGCCCTCGCCCCCCGCGGCCCGACCCTGCACTTCCGCGTCGAGAAGTACTCCCTCTGCAAGGACGTCCGCCGCGCCCAGCGCCACCCCCGCGGCGGCGGCAACGAGTACATCACGCCCCCGCTGCTCGTCATGAACAACTTCTCCTCCCCGGACGCCGACGCCAACTCAAAGGTCCCCAAGCACCTCGAGTCCCTCACCACCACCGTCTTCCAGTCGCTGTTCCCCCCCATCAACCCCCAGAAGACGCCCCTCAAGTCCATCCGCCGCGTCCTGCTGCTCAACCGGGAGCCCGCCAAGGACAAGGACGACGGCAGCTTCGTGCTCAACTTCAGACACTATGCCATCACCACCAAGGCCGCCGGCGTTTCCAAGCCCCTGCGGAGGCTGAACGCCGCCGAGCGGCTGCTGAACACCAAGAAGACGAGGAAGGGCGGCGTCCCCAACCTCGGCAAGCTGGAGGATATTGCCGACTACATGATCGGCGGCGACAACGGCGACGGCTACATGACCGACGGCACCAGCGGCAGCGAGATGGACACTGACGCTGAGGTCGAGGTTCTGGACAACGCCCCCAGGAAGGTTTTGTCACAAAAGGCGCGCGCGGCCGCCCTGGAGAACGGCGCCGGCGCCGGCGACAACAACGACAAGGTTGAGCGGAGGGCAGTCAAGCTCGTCGAGCTGGGCCCGCGCATGAGGCTTCGCATGACCAAGGTCGAGGAGGGCATCTGCAGCGGCAGGGTCATGTGGCACGAGCACATTCACAAGTCCAAGCAGGAGATCCAGGAGCTGGAGAGGCGGTGGGAAGAAAAGAGAAAAGAGAAGGAGGCCAGGCGGAAACAGCAGAAGGAGAACGTCGAGAGGAAGAAGAAAGAGAAGCCTTCCAGGGGTGCCAACAAGGGCGACGGCGACGACGAAGAGGATGACGAGATGGACTATGACGGCTATGGCAGTGACCTCTATGACGAACTCATGGACGAAGACGAGGTCGACAGCGAGGGCCTGGCGGGCGATGCCGAGGAGGCGGTCAATGCCGCGAATGAGGATGGGGATTGGGAGGACGATGAGTAAGGAAACTTTGGAAATACGCAGGGTTTGTTGTTGCATATTGCTCCTTGCTAGTACTGCATTCCAAAAGGCGTCGGGCGTCTCAAAAAAAATCAGGGGCTACTGCTGAGAGTTCATGAATATACCATCGTTGCTTTCTTGACCACTTTGTCCACCACTTCTTCGTGCACCAAATCCGATGAAGACCAGGCACACATCAATTTGTGTCAGACCTTCTCCTCCTCGCATGTATCTACGTCTTTATCGAAACCCGGCACCTCGATGAAGTCTCCCTTGCCCTCTTGAGAGTCGCGCAACCCAATAAAGCTCACTACAGCCGCTATTAGCAGCAGCACAGCGCAAAATATGAAAATAATGAATCGGTGTGTGCCTATAAACTTAATCAGTCACGTGCTTGCTTGGATAGTCGCAAATGCATTTACCCCCATCCTCTGCCGTGGTTAGCAGGGCTGCGATGACGAAAAGGAACAGTGGTAGGTTCATCAAGCCGTATACGCTGGCCCGTCCAGAGTCCTTGACGATGCGGCCCCGTTGATACGCGATGCTCGGCACATACATGCCGTTGCACGCCTCCAGGAGTAGGAAAGCAACAAACAATTGCAACTCTGACTTTGCAAACGCCGCGGCGAGGAAACACAGTCCAGCAAGCATCAGAGACGACGAGAGTAGCGCAGTAGGCAGCGTCGAAGTGCTGCAAGAGGGATCGGCCAGGCTTCTGCTCCGTCGCATCAGAATGTTGAAAGCCAATGCCCCAAGTACCTGTGCGACAACGACAACCAGATATTAGCTTTCTTGTGTAAGACATCTCTCTTGAGACGACGATGGGAATAAACCAAAGAGAAGAAGTGGGACGCTGAGAGTCGCATACCATAGCCGCCATGAAGTTGGCAAAGATGACTCCATACGGCAATAGTTTGCTGTCTTGATCACGTCCTGAGCCACGGCTGTACGCCTCTTTCAAGGCACCCGGCCAGCAGAACATGAGCAAAAATATGGTGCCTTCGAAGCAGGATGACACCATGCTAAGAATCAAGATTCTCCTGTCCTGCAGCGAGGCCATCAAATCCCGGAACCAGGATGACTTTCTCTGGCTCACGCCTTCGCTGGTTGAGTTTATTTCTCCCTCCATCACTGCCATGGCAGCACCGACGCCACGATTCTCTTTCCAGGTCCTCAGCATTAGCAGTGCCGCCCCGGCATCCAGTGCCAACCCAAGCATGAATGGGTCTGTCTTGCTTCCCAGCGCTAAAACCACACAGTGGGCCAGGACACCAGCCAGAATGGCGTTGATGCAGTTTGCCGTAGTCATTATTCCAAACATGTCGCTCAGCCGAATCGCGGTCTGCCCAAAACCTAGACCCCGTGCGTTGTACTCCGTGACCATCCAGCTTTCGAAGGCGGTCCACAGCAGCGTAATTCCAACACCCCCCAGCATGCGGCCTAGTACCAGGATCGGAATGGCCTCGGAGAGCACACTGAGCGATGAGAGACTGTGTATTGCGCAGAAGGTCAGGCATGCGGCACGTCGCCCGAAGCGGTCCGCTAGTATACCAGTAAATGGCGCAAACAATGCTGCTGTGCTGTATGTGGCGGTATAGAGAATTGCGACCATGTTGGGTGACAGGTGCTTTTCGTCTCGTAAGACTGAGTACAGATAAGGACCCTATAAGTAGTATTTGATCAACATGTCGCCTGCAAGGGATCACTATGCGCTTGCCTTACCTGAAGCCATTCGGACCCCATCACTAGCAGGTATACCTGCAAGAACGTTCTCCGAAAGTCCTTGGCCAATGCCTCTCGCTGCCTCTGATCGCCCACGATGTCCTTCTCTGAAGGATCTGTACTCCTCTTAAGCGATCGCAGAATCAACTTCCGCCCGGCTACCAAGGCCACGCCCGGCAACAGAGCCAAGAGCCCGATCCAGTAGATATCCAACTCTGCCATTTGCATACAGAACCCAGTAACTCTTCAAGAAGAGCAATGGTTGTACTACACATCCCCAGAGAGACAGGGGCGATGCATCTCTTTTGAAAGCTGTTGCAAAGTGAGACACGGTCAGCATTCCTGAGCCTGAATCCGCCCTGGTCTGGTTCGCAGTCGATTGGTGCGACAGACACTTGGCATTCTTTGTGTTTGAAATCTTGATGTCTGACCTTGAAGACGACAGATCTGGCTTCCCTGGCTGATTCACCGACACTGAGGACTGGATGATCGTTGTGTGCAATCCCGCTACCAGGCCGTTTCATGGTGGCAGTAGTCTGGAGTGGGTCGATATTGGTTGATTCTTCATGAACAAACTCTTCTAGCACTAAACTCTGGAACCAGTCACAATAACGATTATTGGTTGCCAACTGACCCAAATCGCCGGCAAGCCAGGCCCTTCTGGTTTCAGCAACTTTTAACAAGTGAATAGCTGGACCAAAGATTAGCTATGGCGATGAACAACAATTTACGTAAGTTGCTGTTGCAATATCACTCAAGTATTGACGAGTGAGCTCGAGTTCCCCAATAAGTGGAAATAGTATTCCAGGAATGCTGCATTATATTTCCAAAACGAGCACGGCCGAGGAACGATTGCAGCGCGCTGGTATACGTACTGCTTGTCTTCTTCATAGACTCATGCACCATGAATGATTACATAGTCTCACCGGAACAAAAACTCTCAGGCGAAAAATCACTAGGTACCAATGTTTATCGTCCCCGCTAAGAGCATACATATCCCAAATGTGTAGTGACCTCGGTGCTTCAATAGTATCCAGCTATACCGGCGGTCGTCGAAGGCAAGAACCAAGTGTGAAGGACCACCTGGTTATCTGTAACTAAGCCTGACATTACACAGATCCAACTTGGAGATTTTGCTAGACTGTGAGCCATGTTGCTGTCCAAGTGATGTGGGTAGTCTGGTGCCGAAGCACATCCTCACATGCTTCGGATCGACGACGATCGCCGCGGTTCGCAGGGGTATTACCCCAGGATGTTCCAGGGGCTCCAAAGTCCGGCCTCACGCACCCCAGAAACATTGACCAATCGGACTCCAAATCACTCACAATTTCATAATAAGCTCTCGAGCATGCCATGGTTCTGCACGCTTGTGTGATGCGCGTTGCCGGAGTCTCATGGCAGAGCACTGATTCTGAATGGATGATTGCAAATCGAACCCCTGTATATGTTGCATTCCCGCGGGGCATCCTGAGCATCATCTATCTGCTGGGATAACGACAAGCACAATTCGCAGAAGTTGGCGGGAAAACTGAGGGGTATTAGTCAACTTGCATCGAACTAGCACATGACGCCGAGCACGAAGGGAACGTTGACATGATGGAAAAAACGCCAGCTTGCATTTGTTGCTAGTCGGAACGAATACTTAAGGCAATGAACCACCCGCGACCTGTTCTATTGTTCATCGTTCCAGCCAGCCGCCGCTTGAGAAATTCATATTTTTGTTCCTTCTCAGAACTTCGTGATTACTTGACTCGTTCTCATAGAGGTCGTCTCGCGACTATGAAGTTCTCCAAAACGTTGACTGCACTTGCCACCTTGGTGGCCACTGCTATAGCAGACGGCGCAGCAATTGTCGACGCCCTGGAACAGATTCAATCGGATGCTACAGCTCTCAATGATACAGTGGATTCTTGGTCTGGTGACTTGCTCGGCGCATTACCGATCACGACCAAGTCAACCAGTCTCTTGATTCATATCAACAAAGGGACAGAAACGGCCAAACACTCTGCAAATCTCACAGACCTTGAAACCTTTAACGTGGCCGTCACCACGCTCAACTTGGTCACAGCCACGAACTCAACTCTGGATACGATTGTGGCCTCCAAACCAAAGTTCGACAAGTTGCTGCTCAGTCCAGTCATTCTCTTGACCTTGAAGTCACAAAAGGATGCGAGCGCACAGCTTAGTTCAGCCATAGCCGAGAAGGTACCATTGACTTTCCAAGGTGCAGCAGAGCAATTAGCAGCGCAGTTGGACGCGGCTTTTGAGGAAGCTCTTGATGCCTACTCTTTTTTCTAAAGCCCGTATTGTTCGCACACCGAGGTATGGGAGATATAGATGATGAAATAAATACACGTCGTTAATCTTAGTAATGCTTAAGATGTCTTGGCTCGCCTTGAGAACCACCTGTGCCTGCAGTACCTGGACGCGTTCTGTTTTCATTAACAGCCCATGAATCTCCTGCGAAAATAGAGGAGACTTCAATGATTACTAGTTTGGGTATATCCACGCATGCAGTGTTTCACCCATAGCTCGAACTTGGCCTGATAAGCCACGCCACTTTCTTCCCCTTTTATAGATGGTACCTTCATGATATCGTATAGTTATCCAGCGGAATCTACTGAGCACAGTCTGTTTCCTGTCGATGATTTTTTGCTCGACTTCGTACCATTCCAACATCGCCCTTAGATAACGGCGATATCTTTTGCTTTGAAAGCTGACGCACCGATTTCACAATGGTCTCATTTAAAAATTGTACTGATCTCGGATTACGAAAGGAATTTGAGGACTTTCTCGGTCAATGAGCCCACCGAAACACCTCTTCTTACGAGGGTCTTCCGTATTCTTTGCCTACTGCTTGTGTAATTGGTAGTTAGATGGATAAGAATGTAAAAACCGCCTTAAGGCGTGGATGCATTTAGAGATGAGAAACATTACGCCCCAGTATTATTCGAGCTGTTGCAGAAAGACTGAATGGGTTGTCAAGCACTGATCAGGTCACGATGTGTTGCTCTATACATTAAGCCGAAGCAAACTTAGCGGACGTGGGATGAATACGCTTCTTATTCCTGCTCATTCAACTATACTGTGAATAAACGGGTTGGTATCAGGCTCTGGGTGCTCTGCCGTAACGTAGGGTCAAAGTTTTGGGTGGGAGTTATATTTAATAAAATTACTCCGCTGATGAGTGGTATACGAAGCCCTGGATTCGCCGCGGCAACTAACCCTTTGAAGTACCAGGTATATCTCGCTTGGCTTGATTGCTTAGCCTTTATTCCGCCAAGGGTCTAACTAATAAAGGCACGTCAGCCCGTGATCCTTTAAATTACCTCACAATGCCTACCTGAAGCTTGGCGCTTTAACCCTGGGTACAGCTTTTGAAAATATAAAGACAGCTTATGTCGCGGAATTTCTCGCCTTGCGCCAGCGCTAATCACGAGAATGCCAAGGGAAGCTCACTCTAGATAGCACGATAGGGCGACCATACCGCTCGCCATTTACTGACTCTCAAATGGCGATAACATTCGTTCGCAGAGCAGCGGTGGGCGCTTTGATGACCCTTGCCAGTGTCCCACACATCCAAGCCCAGACGACCACGGTGGAAGTAGTGCTTCCCGGTTGGGACCAAGAGGCATGGAATAACGTAGAAGGCAGCATCGTGGGAGTTGTAAGCACTCTACCTGGTCACGCCCACGACTATGGTCACTTACATGAATGACAGGATAAAGCTTTGACAACGTACCGGCTTCAATGCGGGCCAGATGCGCAAGATTCGGACTGCAAGTTCTTGGACGGTCCCATGACCTTTGCCGAGAACTCGGAGACTATGACATTCTCTAGGAGCTCAGCTGGTGCATGGTAAGTTGCTCTACCTCCTACCTCTTGCCACAGTTATGCTTTCTTCCCAAGCCTCATTCCCCTGCCTTAAGGAACCGAACGTAGCTGATGTGACCCAATCTATACAGGTCGAAGAACATAAGCTGCGCTCTTGCAGGCACAACCAGCGCCTCGTGCCATTATTATACAACAGTGGCATCCGGGCAGCAACATGGTACCCTGACTGGGCCAGACACTTACTCAGAGGCCATCCAGTTCGCTGCCACAGGGGGTGAACTGGCGTGGGTCAAACTGGCGGTTGCGACCCCAGCCGATCTCGTCATCACTGTTACCGGCAGCGATACAGGCCCGACTGCAACGGGGACGAGCAGCACTGGCGCAGGTCCTACTGAAACGGGGACAAGTAGCAGTGGCACTCCTACCCAGACGACGACACAAAACGGTGCAGGAGTGGCAAGGTGGACCTGGGGTGTCGCCTTCGGGAGTTTGATGCTTTGCTCTTTGTTGTAGTTCTGAAGTGTACCATCGCCAAAACCATCATCCTGACTTGCGTGATCGGCCACGATCATGAACAATTTCCTTACGATGGGGATTATCTTGAATTATAGACGCAGCAACACATCAGACTACCGCCTGCAGGGCTGCAGTGTTGGTTTGCACTACATTCGGCCACGCCGCAATAAATGACCCCCTCAGAACTACATGAGTTCAACGCTAGTTTACATTTTCTACTGTAACACGCGAATGAGCAGATACCAAAACGCCAACAACACCAATAGCCATACATGTCCGGCATGACCCAGACCGTGATCCCCTGTACCTCAGCGATGGGTATATCCAAGCTGGGCGAACGTCGGAATCCTGCATCGGACTGCAAGGCGCCTGCTCCGGTAGGCGCCTAGTCTTTCAACCCTTCGCGGTGTTATCGATCAACAAACCTCACTACTATCCGCTTGGCGATGCTCTTCTCTGCCCAGGCAATGCGGCCTCGATGGCATCTGCTATGACCTCCTCTGGATCGTCCTCTGAGGCGACTTCCTCATCGACATCGTCGGGCTGGTCCTCGAGGCCATCCTCCTCTCCTTCTCCGTCTTCTGCATCCTCCATCTCTTCGTCTTCGCCTCCTTCGGACTCCCCTTCTGGTTCGTCGTCATTCGGAACGTCTTCATCATTTTCTTCGGCTTCATCCTCTTCTCCATCCTCTTCGTCGCCTCCCTCCTCGCCGCTCTCTTCGTCTGCATTCTCATCTTCCGCGGTATCATCAACACTTCTTCTGAGTCCCGGAAACATAAGCTCTGCCTCTTCTTCGTCCAGCAGCTCCGACGCTGGTACATCGCTAAGGTCACTCTCGTCATCTGCATCGTCATGGACGCTTCCAGGCGCACTGCTCTCTTCTCCTTCATCCGCTTCATCCTTCATCTCAACGTCATCTCCCTCTTTGCCATCCTCGGCGACAGGGGTGTTGCTACCTCGTGTCTTGCCGCTGGAAACAGAGCCACGGAGTGACTTGCCGCTCGGGGGCTTAGCTGGACCTTCGATGGCGCGGGCGACAGCTTGTTCCGCTTTGCGTAGAATGTCCGGCCTCCTGACTCCAGCCCGTCGTTGGCGCACCGTGCCTTCCTGGGCAGGCGGAGCGGCGCCCCCAGCTTCAGTTCCAGAGGTTTCCACCGACTGTGGATTCAGGATACTGCTGAATGGGTTGGTGGGCTTCTCTGCTGCCTCTTCCGCGGCTTGCTTCTCTCCATCACGAACCTTTGCATCTGCTCGCTCTTGGATGAGTGTCGAAGGTGCAGCACCGGGTAACGACGTGCCAATCTCCTGGTACAGGGCAGTGTAGCAGTCCGTGATCAGATCGTCAATCGCGCCGGCTTTCATGACACCTGAGCTGAGCTTCTTCAGCTCGATGGCTTCTTTCAATGCGCCAAACGCCGAGGTGCTGGCGGTAGCTGTCGCGTCGCCAGACCACTCATTAATACGCTCCGCAATGATCTCAAACTCCTCGGGGGAAATGTTCTTAAACCCATCCTCGAGGACGTGCTCAATCTTGAAATGAGCGCGTATCAGCCTAAGATAGGCCACGCAGCAGCTTTGCCAGAGGTCGTTGAAATGATAAAAGTCGGCTCCCTTCTTGCGAATGCGTCGCAGCAGGGCCTCAAAGTTAGTACGGTCCTTGAGGACGACCAGGATCTTGACCATGAACCGTATATACTGCTCCGTGTAGACATGATGCCGACCAGGACGCTCTGCATCGCACTTCCACACGTTCATGACCATCGTCTTTGTGAACATGGATTTCTGGAGAACTGTAAAGGCAGCCAGAGCCTCTATAGGGTCAGGGTTTTCAGCCTGGTCGTCAAAGAGTATGCGAGCATGGCGCATTATAATACGGTGCTGCCAGTTGGACTTATCCTTTTCCTTCAAGTGCTGCAACGTTTCAGTCACGAAGGGTTCCCACTCGGCAACCTCCTTCACTTCCACAGGCGCGCCCTTCCTGATAGCGAGCGGTTGCCGCTGGAGAATGTCCGCCCCCGCCTGGGGCTCTAGGTCTTTGCGAGTGACCAGCTTGTGCACTACAGACACAATCTTGTAGTGGGGTTCCAGAATCTGTTCTCCTGACCGCGGCTTGGGTAGTGCGGCGACGATCTTGATGGAATCCTCAAGTGCTGCAATAACCTTCTCCAGCGTGGGACGGGTTTGTCTATCTTTATGGTCAAGCAACATGTAAGGCTTTTGGTACATCTTCCAAACGCACTTCGCAAGCATGTATGAGTTCCTGGTTTACATTAGCCATGGCTTTTGAAAGTAGTGGCGTGGTACTCACTTCCACTCCTTAGGTTTGATGGTCATGGCCTTCTTGAACAGTGTCGCCGCATACTTCCAGACTTTATAATCTTCCATTTCCTCGTGAATTTTTCTCTTGAAGGTGCCGGCGCCCATGTTCTGAATGAAGAATCTTTCTTGATCTGAGTGCTTGAACGGCTCCATATCAAACGGCTCACGGCTGGACGCATACATGCGCATCGCAAACTTGTGATAGAGCTCGTGTATCGCCTCCAAAGCTTCACCTTCAGAGTTAGGGCCTGCACCCACATTTCGCGAATTGGAGAGGGCAAGAGCATAACAGTGTATGGCATTGCGTTGGTATTTAACCAGCTCTGCTCTCTCCTTATTCATCTTGTCGGCTGACCACAGAACAGATTCGTCGAGTTCATAATCAAAACACTCAGCGAGTCGGAACCAAGCATCCCACTGATCCGGCGTGAATTGAAGTTGCTGGCGCAGAAAAGTCGCACCGATGCGAAGATCGTCAGTAGCACCAGGAGTCTGCCTCCGGTTCAGGTCGACTCCCTTGAATTTGCAGAATGCGATCATGCCAAGGAGGAAGAACCACTGATGGTGGGCCAAGATGCTGTCTGGCGTGGTCACGGCGACGGCATCAATGGTGACGTTGCCTTTAAGCGCTTGGTACAGCTTCAATGGGTGAATGGGCCTCCGGAGGTATTCGGTGAAGTTCCTGAGGTTGTGGATCGTCTGCTGATTGGACTTGGTCTGGCCAATCGCTTGCTGCATCGTCTCGATGGTGGTCTTCAGGTCGGACTTGAGGAGATCTTTCATGGGCATGTTGTTGGCCAGGACAGCGACCTTCTCGACCAGGGCCATGGTGTTGCGTCTTTCCAGCTTCTCCGGTGCGCAACCATGGTCTTGGACCTCCCAGGCCCCGATCCCTTTGAGGCCATAGAGATCATACAGCACCTGACCCAAGTAGTCTTCCCAGTTGTCGACAAGGTTCTGCTTCAGCAGCTCCACCCGCATCATCTTGAGAAAGATCTTGTTGGACGCCTTGCAGCATTTCCTCAAGCCCAGGACTTGGTGCACGGCAGCAAGATAATCAGCGAGGTCGGTCTCAGGGGCGGTGAATATGGACTTGTTCTGATGTACACCTGTCTTCAAGAGAGTATACAAGAGCGACCAATTCCTGGCTTGTAGTTCTCGTAATCTATTGAAGAAGGAGGAGAAGGTTGCGTTGCCAGAAGGGGCCGAACCCATCCCCACCCGAACCTCGTCTTCGAACATGGGAGAGGTGTGCAGAATGCAGCTTAGCCTGACCAAAGCTGCGATACTCGACTTCAGATGCTCGTCATCAATGATGTCGAACGCAGTCGACTCATTGAGAGCAAGCGAGAGTGACTTGACCAACAGATCATCAATGAACTTCAGCATCTTGAAGAACAAAGGGCGTCGCTCCTCTACGGGCATACCAATGTATGGATCCCGCTCAAAGTCGGCCACAACCATCTCGATTCCCTTGAGATAGCAAGAAAAGACTTTTGTAGGGTATTCAATAGCCTTGTAAGCCTCCCCTAGGCGTGTCCACAGGAACAGCCTCAGTTCGGTGCTGGCCCCAAGCAGAAACTTCCACAGATCGCGCAAGCCTTGGGACGCCGTCTCCGTGATGGGCAGTGGCTCCTGATCCGAATCTGGTGGGGGCGATCGCAGCTGCGCGCTTGGTGTTGGGGAGCTAGGTGTCTGCGGCTCTTGTTCAGCGGCACACACGGCAGAGGGGTTTAATACTGGCTCTAGGCTGTCAATGACGCCGACGGGGTCGCTTAGATCATCTTGGAATAGGCCAAGGAAGAAGTCCATTGTGGTGAGCTTGCTGATCTCCCGGTCGGCTGCGAAGATGGAAATCTCGGGCATGATGGCGTTGTTAGGCAGACCTATGGTGACGCCGACAAAGTCGGTGGCTAGGTTGTCACGAAGGCTCTGCCAGCACTGAAGCACGTGTTCCCTAGATACCCCCTCCGTGAGGGTCACGGAGAAGACGGCAGCCCAAAGAAATCTGACAGAGAGACTCTTGTCAGACTCGGCGGGCCGGTCCCTGCTCATCCGCGAGGCAAGGGAGAACCAGCGGCCCAACCTTCCCTTGGTTTCAACCCGGATGCCGAAGTCCACGGCGCTGTTAGGATTCGTGATCCTTTCGTATACATCCAAGTGAAGCTCAAAAAGTGTCTGGATCATCCGGTCCAAAGAATGGCGGGTTTCTTCAGGGTTTCTCGCGGACTGCCAGTGTTGTAGCTCATATTCCACACGATGGTAGATATCCTCATCCAAATGACTTATGACTTGGACCACAGCAGTCTTCATCTGATCTGACCACTTCGTGCCCGCGTAATACCGAGTCACATTCTTAACCCATTCGAAGGCAATATCTGGGATGCCCATTTCCTCGTCGGCAACCCTCTGCGCAAATGCCTTGAGGTTTTTCGTCTCATCAAACTGGGGTGTTTCGGTCTTTAGCTGCGACCCGGGCTTCGCATGCTCCAAGAACGAAGAGAAGCCGATGGCCGCCGTCTCGGGCTTCGTCAAGAGGACCCGGGCGGTCTCCTCGTCAAACTTGACCAGGCTGTCCCGGAGATCAATCATCGGTGCCTGGGTAAGTTTGGCGGTACGATGCTCGAGAGCGGAGAGCTCCACCATTTCGGCAACGGAGTCGAGCATTCGCTTGTCTGTGATGCCCAAGTTCTCTGCCATATTCCTAGTAGTCTGGAACAGGGTCTTGTCGGCAGCCTGAAATGGCTCCAGCTGGGCGGCATAGTGAGTCTGGGTGTCCAAAGACTCCTCTGCAGCAGTTTCCCTGCGACGGGTCCGCTTGCTCCGCTTCTCTACCACCTCCTCGGTCTCGGCATCCTGGATGCCGGCAGCAGACTGGGAGCGTTTTCTCGACATGACAGAGCCACTCCTCTCCGTCTTGGCGTTGTCGGCAGGAGCTTCGGCTGGGGATGCCACAGCTTCGTCCTGCGATACATTGGCAGCGTCGTCCTTGGCCGCACCCGCCTTGTCCGCCCCATCCAATGCTGCTGATTTTGGTCGCGCGACCAGCTGCTGTTCAACTGGCTCGGGGGTGTCGGGAATCTCTGGAAGTTGGAAGATGACGGCACCGGCAGAAACACCATCAACCGCCACGGCATGTACCAGGGCCATACCCAGTTCGGCCCAGGTTGGTCCTTGAACCTGCAAGACGGGTGCCGCCACACCATCCTTCGCAGGAAGGAGCATGGATGGCGTTGCCAGCGTCTTGGTGGGATTGGGCAAGAATGGGACGGGGTCCGAGTACTTCTTTAGGTAGTCGGGCATGGAGCGCTGGGTATAAGGAGCCATGATGGGATGAGACATGGCGACCTGGTCGTCCAACACCTTGAGCTGGTCCTTCAACTCCTCGCCGGCGAAGCCCTCGGCCAGGGACGGGGGCTCGACCTCGTCGACGGCGGGATCGTCGTCGAGCTCTATGGCAGCTTCCAGGCAGTAGCGACTCGTCCTGGTGCTGCCGAGAAAGGCAGCGACGCGGGCGGCCCTCCTCCACAGCTCGGCGTCGGCGGGGTCGTAGTCCAGGGCGGCGCTGAAATCGTGGAGTGCCTTGGCGGCTCTTTGCAGAACGTCGTTGCGCGCAAAGACGGCCTGGCCGTCCGATCTCGCCTCGTGTCTGATGCCGTCCAGGAGGAACTGCCCATGGTTCTTGTGGGAGATGTACAGAGTCTGGGGCAAGCTGCTCACGCCGCCATCGACGTCGGGCTGGGCAGCCTCGAGGGACTGGGCGAAGAGGGGGTCGAGCGGCAGGTGGTTCTGGGAGTCGGACTGGCGCTCGGCGCGGTCGAACTCGGTGGCGGCATCGGGATACTTGAAGATGTCAGAGTCGAACAGGGCTTGATAGGCGTCCTCGGCCTCTGCATAGTGGCGCGGGCCGAGGGCATGGAGGCGGAGGGCGGCCTGGAAGCGCTTCAGGGCCTCTTCGAGGTGTAGCTCGCGCGTGGTATCGACCTCATCGTCCACATTCTCCTCGGGCTCGAGGTTGATGGCGTTAAAGGCAGGCTGGCGGGGCGTCAGGTCACGATGACAAACAACAGCTGCGATAGAGAGAAAGGGTGCGTGTTGGAAAAGAGTTTACCATGCTAGTGACGTTCTGCGCGAGCAGCTCTGGGGTTCGGGGTGGGTTTGGGACGGAGGAAGTGTCGTATCATTGCTTGGTCGATCCGTCAGCGACATGCATGGCGCATTCGTGAGTTACTGGTGACGTCGGGAAGTGAATGGGTGGACGATGCGGGTGGTGACGATCCGCTGGCGCAAGCTGTTTGCGCATGACACGCGCCTGGTCACAGGTAGCTGGGAAGAGACAGAGGCGGTCTATGCGAAACGGTTTGCACAGAACCCGAGAGGTTTCATAGACGTAGTTGAGAGGCGCCGAATCTGGTGAACTCGTGCCAGAGTCGAAGCCAATGTCGAGTCAATGTCGCCGTCGGTCGCGCGGCTCATGGGGTGTGAGCGGGCATGAGACGCGACAGGCCACAGGCGACAGGCGACAGGGCGCAATTCCCATTAACTTGGCGAGGCTCGGGCAAGGCTGAGCGGAACTATGGTACCTAACTCTACCTCACAGCACAGTGGACATGGGGTACCTACCCAGGCGCCAAGCGGGACCTGGCCTAGCTAGAAGCCACGTACCGTACCTACTTAAGTAGATACGTAACTACCTCCCGTAGGCAGGCTGGCGGGCAGGTCAACGTGCCGGGATGAGCTCCAGTAGGCGGGTACCATAGTAGCTGGGGGCCGTGATCCAATTGGCCAATGCCGGGCACGCACCAAAGCAAGTAGGCCCTTGAGTGCCTCAGGTGAGGTCCATGCCCAGGTATTTGGGTTTTCAGGTATTCCGGTAAGGGTCGACTATGTGCATGCCTCGTGGCAGCTAGGTTAAGTCAGTCTCTACACACAGCGCCTGCTAGAACCTGCAGCATCTCCCTACCCCAGTTACCTGAATGTCCTGGTAACCTGGAAATAACTAGGTAGTCGCCTTTCCTGGACTTAGCGATGGCCAGTGCCCATTGCATGTCCTCAGCGGGCGGGTGGGCGGATCCAATGGGCGGCTAACTTTGAACGTTATAGTAGCAGGGCTGCCCGTCGTCTGGCCGTCCCCCGTGTGCGTCTGGTGCTGGTGCCCCACTATAGCCGAGTCCCCTGGCCCCCTGGCCCCCCCTGGCCAGTGCATCCCGGGCCTGGCTCCTGTCTTCCAGGCTGGTCCGTCTGGCCCGTCTGGCCAATTCCACCTCTGGAATCTCCTTGTCACTTACGTAGCGCCGGTGCGAGACAGACAGACAGATCCGTCATACCTCGAGATCCCACGTTGACCTTCAGCTGCGCTGCGTCCCGTCCTGTTCGACAACGCACAACCGCGCCCCGGCCACCAGTCGTCCCAGTGAGCATCCGAAGCCGAGGGGAGGGTGCTGCTATACTCTACAAGAACCCGGCCCTGCTTTCTTGCCTGCCCTGCCCTGCCTGCCGTGCTCGTGCTGCAAAGGACCCCGTCGCATCTCGCATTGCGCATCAAAGCCAACCCAAATAATAATCCTCCCCTTCCCCCCGTGGTCGGTCCAGCCGCCACCACCACCACTCCTCGAGCCATGCCTGCGCCCGCGGTGCCAGAGTAAGCCAGCTCCCGTCTCCCCATCTCTCTTTGCCTTTGCCTTGGCCTTTGCCTTGGCCTTTGGCCCTTCCCTCGCTCGCTGCACACACCCCGTGTCGTCCTTGTCCTCGTCCTTGTCCTCATTGCTGATCAGTCCCCCCCCTTCCTCGCCCGCAGGATCACCGAGGACGTGCTGCACGAGTCCGTCGACGCCCGCACCGAGTCCCTCGTCGCCCTGCGCGAGCTCGGCCCCCCCGACCTCGTCCACCTCCTCAAGCAGAGCCGCAACAACCCCGGCCGCCAGACCGGCGTCTACCACCATGTCACCGGCGTCGACGCCTCCTCCTCGGCCAGCCTGGCCGCCTACATCAACACCCTGACCTACAGCAAGGACCAGGGCCAGGCACCCACCCAGAAGATCACCGAGGGCCTCTACTGCTGCTACAATGCCTTCTCCCGCCTCGATATGCGCGTCCACGTCACCATCCCCGGCACCGTCGAGAGCTACTGCGTCGACGAGCGCGGCGAGAAGCGCAAGGCCACCGAGGAGCTGTGGCTCGAGACCTACCTCTGCAGCGTCCTGCGCGCCTACTCGTACGCCGACGACGGCAGCGGCGACACCATCCGCAAGATCATGGGCGTCCGCCGCTTCAACCCCGTCACCAACACCGAGACCGAGCACCGCTTCCTCAGCGCCGCCGAGGCCCTCTTCTTCCGCGGCTGGCAGCTCGGCTCCGACTCGGTCGTCCAGGTCCCCAACAACGTCTCCAACCACCTGACCGCCGGCCTGCTCAAGTACTTCCACACCACCGGCCGCTTCGCCTCGGCCATCAACCTGTTCGAGAAGCTGCGCTCCCAGAACGTCGAGGTCTCGTCCCTGCTGGCCAAGGTGCTGTTCATGGGCAACGAGGAGGTCCAGGGCGTGCGCGTCCTCTACGACGCCCTCAAGGAGTCCCCCATGGACTACGTCATGCTCGACACCCAGGCCGACTTCCTCATCCGCAAGGCCGCCACCGCCGCCACCGCCGAGCAGCGCGACGACCGCCTCAACATGGCCCTGGCCTGCGCCGACCGCAGCACCATTGCCGCCCCGAGCGAGTTCGGCACCTGGGCCCGCCTCGCCCACATCTACGTCACCAAGGAGGACTGGGAGAACGCCCTGACCATCCTCAACTCGTGTCCCATGTTCACCTACCAGGACAAGGACGCGCCCCTGATGCCCGAGCCCAAGGACGTCTACCTCCCCACCCTGGCCGAGACCCGCCTCGACGAGATCGACAGCGAGCCCGAGTCGCGCTATTCCGAGCAGGTCGACCCCAGCCTGCTCAACCTGCGGGCCGCCAGCTACCGCGGCACCTTCAAGCAGGCCTACGCCATCCTGACCGAGATGACGGCCAAGATCGGCTGGGACCAGCTGCTCAAGATCCGGAGCAACGTCTTCGTCATGGAGGACGAGTACAGGAGCGAGAGGCAGGACACCACCTCCCTGGCCGCCCCCGCCGACCGGAATCCCAGCACCGACGGCCTTCGCGGCACCCCCGAGCCCACCAACGGCGAGCATACCGACGAGGACGACGATGCTGCCTCGTCAAAGCAGGACGACGCCGACTCTACCGCCCCGACGCTCACCAACGGCAAGGATGCGCCCAGCCAGGTTGAAAAGCCCGAGCACACCATCGATCCCGGCGAGGTCAAGGCCGACGCCATCAAGTCGGACTCGGACAACGTGAGTGCCCTGGTCCCGGCTCATATCATGCTGTACACGTACTGACTTTTCCTGTTCTCCAGAGCGCGACCACGGAACAGCACTTGTCCCGTCTGAATAACAAGCGGCTCTGTGAGCGCTGGCTTGACAGCCTCTTCATGGTTCTCTACGAGGATCTACGCGTCTACACCATCTGGCGCACGCAGATGGCTCAGTATCGCGCCCAATCCATGCAGTACAAGAAGTCGGCCGAGGAGTGGGAAATCCTCGGCTCCTTGGCCGAACGCCTGCAACATCACGACGAGGCCGTCGAGGCGTACCGCGCCTGTCTCGCTGCCCGCTTCAGCCCCAAGGCGCTGTCGGGCATCCTTCGCGTCTTCGAGAAGCAGAAGGAGACACGTGAGACCATCGCCAGCGTCATCCGCCTCGTAGCCTGGCAGTACCGCTGGTACAGCGAGTTCTCCCCCGAGCTGCTCTACACCATCCGCACCTTGATAGAAGACGAGGGTGCCGTCAAGGTCAGGAGCATCATACAGGCCACGAGCCTGAACCAGAGCGTCCTGGATTTGACACATCATTATGCTGCTCTCTGCCACACGTTCAGGAGCAGCGGGACAGATGGTTAGGCGCGGTGAGGGTGGGGAGAGTCCACATCAGATGGCGGGATTGATGTCTAATGAAGGGGGGAAAAAAAAGAAGGAGAGGGAGTCTACTTGACATGATATCCCAGATGCTTCTTTGTAACTCTAGGAGTTAGCGAGTTGGTGTGCAGTATAGATAAACTCTTTCGTCCTTTCCGTCCTGTCTCGTCCCTATACATCCCTACGAGACCAAGCCTGCCGAGTTGCCGTGACACTTACTACCTGGTCCCAAACTCCTCGTACACTGCCCTCTCGATCTCATCCAACATGCGACTGAGGACGCCGTTGCCAAACGGTATCACGTTCGTAAACACAGCGCCAGCGATGCCCGTCTCGCGATCCACCCACCACCGGCCATTGGTCAGCCCGCTCCACATCATACTGCCCCTCCGCCGCTTGCCGGGGATATCGCCCACGTTGATCAGCCCGCCCAGCCCGTGGTCCAGCTCCGTGCCCCGCGGGAACTCGGGCGCGTAGCTGTCATGCGCCGCCGAGACGGCGTCCCGCAGCATGGCGCGCTGCGCCGCGTCCAGCTGGGGCCGGAAGAGCAGCTCCGTCGTCTGCGGGGACAGCAGCCTGTGGCCCAGCAGCGCCGAGAGAAAGCGCCCGTAATCCTCGGGCGAGGTGTACAGGCCAGCACCGCCGGACTCCATCTCGTGCTCGTCCGGCACGAGCCGGTCTCCGGGCTTCAGAAGTCCCGAGCCCGCATCCCCGCTGCCGGGCTCCGCGTCCGAGACCGCCGTGACCAGCGTGCGTTTCCCTTCCGCGTCGACCTCCCGGGGCCAGAATGTCGTGCTCTCCATGCCGCAGGGCCCGAAGATGTGCTCCCGCATGTACGCGGAAAGGGGTTGCCCGGTGACACGCGCGAGGAGGAGACCGGCCCAGTCGTACGCCGCGCCATAGCACCAGCCGTCGCCCGGAGGGAACTTGAGGGGTGTCGTGAAGCCCGCCAGAGACCAGTCCAGGTTTGTGGCCGTGCGGCCAACGGCCCGGGACCATCGCATGAGGTCCGGTTCCGGGATGTCGTAGCCCAGGCCCAGCGTGTGCGTCAGGAGTTGCCGCAGGGTGATGGGACGGGTGTTGGGCTCCAGCACCGGCTGGTCTGACGAGTCGAAGCCGCGCAGGATCTCCAGAGCGCCCAGCTCGGGGACGTCTGTACGGAGATCCGCATCTAGGTCCAGGACCCCGCGCTCGACGAGCTGGAGCAGAGAGACGGCGGTCACGAGCTTGGTCAGGGAGGCCACCCAGCAGATCGAAGAGGTTGTATATGGCTGTGAGTCGGGGGGAAATTCCAGGCGCCCAGCGGTGCTCGAGTGGATTATGCCATTGTGGTCGACCAGGATGAAGCTAGCAGCTAGGAGCTTGTTGCGCACTTCTGCGTCCTCGGTGGAGGCGACGTGGGAGGCAACGATTGTGTCCAGCCTCTGCTTGAGGGCCATTGTATATTATGCGTGTAAGACGCTCACCAGCTCGCCCCGCATGGTGAGGGGAGTTGATGGAGGATTGGACTTGGAAATTTTGGCCAAGATCTGCGCTTCGAGGTACACAGCTTGGTAGTTCGGGGCTGGGTACATACGGCTCTTATAAGCGTATACGGCAACGCCTTGTGTTTGCTAACGTCTTTGCCTCTTTTTTAGACGGTGCGTACTCGCAGACAACTTTCCTCTGCTCAAGACAGTCAGTACCTTAGATTACTGTAGCGCAGATCTGGGCTTTGTCGCCGGACGCCTTGACGAAATAGTTGCTATCTGCAAAACTTTCTACGATGCAATTTTCTACTATTCGTGGGCCACGTTTCAATCCTGCGTTGCATCCATGTCGAATTACTTAAGTTGCGCACTATTTCCCCTTCCAGTATTATTAACAATATCTCTCACAGGAGCTGTTCAAAGGACATAGGCCGTCAATGACCAATGATCGTTACCAGGTGGCATGGGTTGTCGTACGTGGCTGAACAGATTTCACTCCTTGACTGCGAGGACAGGAACCTAGGTATAAGTCGTTTAAGGCATGGAAATCACCCGAGTATAAGGTGCCCAAGTGCACCCTGGGCCTTGTCAACTGAAAGGGGCCAGGGAGCTAAACGCAGGCGGTCCACCAACCACTGTAAGCCCCACAGCAACTTGGAAGACAGTGGAATTCAGCCCACAGGCAACTTATAGGCTACCTACCCGTAGTTAGCTGCCGCGTGCCGATGTCGTCATTCACAGCACACAGCACTGATCACTTATCTCTCAATCTGATAGCAGCTTTCAACATCGTGCCGTCTCACACCAAACCCAACCCAACTCGCGTTCCAAATGAGCTGCAATGAGTGGCGGTTCCAATAGGGATGTGCTGCTGGTATGTGTCCCAATGAAAACCTCACCCACTCGTTCGAATGGCCAAGCGTGCTCATATCATCGTAGGCAGGTGCGGCGGCAGCATTCACTGTAGACCTCTTGATCTACCCCTTGGACACGTTGAAGACGCGGAAGCAGTCCCAGGACTTCCTGCGCACGTTCGCAGACCCGGCGGCCAAGACCAAAGTCCCGTCTACTCAGCTGTTCCGTGGACTCTACCAAGGCATAGGTATTGTCATCGTCGCCACCCTCCCCGCGGCAGGAACCTTCTTCTCCGTGTACGAAAGCGCCAAGTCCTTCTTTGGGCGCCATGGGGCCGGCATCGGGTTGCCGCAGCCCGTCGTCCACTCGGCAGCGTCGGCGGTAGCCGAGATGGCCAGCTGCGTCGTCCTAACTCCGGCTGAGGTCATCAAGCAGAATGCGCAGATGATCTCGCGACGGCAGGGCAGCGAGGGCAAGTCCACGAGCATCGAGGCACTTCGGCACCTAGGCGGCCCTGGTGTTGGTAGAAAGCTGCTCAGTGGATATACGGCCATGGTGGCGCGAAACCTACCTTTCACGGCGATACAGTTTCCCATATTTGAGTATGCGCGCACCGCCATCTGGTCCCGCAGGTCTGGTACTACGAAAGGCGGGACAGGGCTTGGGAGTCGGGAGAATGGAAGTCTGCTGGAGACCGGCGTAATAACAAGCACGAGTGCAGGTTTGGCGGGCAGCTTTGCCGCGGTGATCACAACGCCCATGGATGTGGTCAAGACAAGGATGATGCTGATGGCGGGTGAGGAGCAGGACTTGAAGCAGGGCGCTCACGATCGGCACTCAGGTTCGCCAGAAAACAGTCACGGGCGGCATCACGGTGGCCTATCTGTGGCCCGGCAAGTCATCAAGGAAAGGGGCATTCCAGGCCTATTTCGAGGTTCTGTGCTACGGGCCGTATGGACCGCTGTGGGAAGCGGGCTATATTTGGGCATGTATGAAGTGTCAAAAGTATGGTTGACGAGAGGCAAGGATGCCGACGACCAGAGCTTCCCATAATGACTTCTGCATCTTGGGACTGCGTTGGACACAGCATCGTCTGTGTGTGGTGTGCCGAGCGATACCCTTATAGACTTGGACCTATCGATGACAGGCTATTCATTAGACAAGCCCACCACTAGTGTTATTATAATCACTGAGAGTCTGACTCTGCCTGTGTGGCATAGCAATTTTTTTGGTAATCAAACTGGGAGACTCAAGTGATCCCGAGGGTATTTCTTGAGCATCCCGGGAAGCGATATCCTGGACTCTGTTAAAACACAAATTAGCAGCATTGGCAATCGATAAGATCCGGATACAGAATACATTCCACATTCTGTCTAAAAATGAGTTCTACGCCCCACCGTCTTAAATTACTCACCGCTATTAATCGATCGTTTGGTGCGTGTAAGTGAAGAGGGCTACTTTAGGAGATATCAACTCAGTACAACCTTGGCGATATCAGTAGGTGCACCCGATCCGATACACTAGACTTTGCCATGTTATAGCAGAATTCAAGTGCAACTAAAAAGATCCAACTTTCTACACAAGAGGCATTGTGGGCCGGTTGACTTTGTAAATCCAGGCCGGTAAGTGTATTCAATGTTGTTGAGAAACGAGGAAAGCGTTCTAATCTCAATAATAGGCTCCTAAGAAGCAAGGGAAGCTGTCATGTGGTATCCGACTTAAGTCTGGAGATCCTTCTGCTCTGGTACAATGCTCCTCAACTTGCCCTCCTCTAGTGCCATTCGCACGTTCGAGATGGTCCACTCCTCCATCTTAGTCTGCGTCTCAACGGTCCAGGTGCCCATGTGCGGAACGATAAGCACCCGCTCGTTAGCAACGAGCCCCGGATGGATCTGCGGCTCGTTTTCAAACACGTCCAGGCCTGCGGACTCGACGTGGCCTGAATCCAGCGCTGTGACTAGGGCGGCCTCGTCCATGACAGCACCACGGGCCGTGTTGACTATGACTACCCCCGGCTTCATGAGCGCGAATTGGGGCGTGGAGATCGTGTGCCGGGTTGCAGGCTGAGATAATCGTTAGGCGGAAGGTCCAAAGCCACGTATTCAGAAGGAACAAGGAAGGGGGGCGCCCTCTCACATTCAGCGGGAGGTTGAGACTCAGTACATCACTCTCCCTCAGCAGATCCTCGAAGCCTCGATATTCAGCGTCACACTCCTTCTCAATGTCCTCACCGAGCCGCGTACGGTTGTGGTAGATGATCCGCATGCCGAACACCCGCGCCTTCTTCGCCATGTTGCGGCCGATGCCCCCCATGCCGAGAATACCGAGGACCTTGCCCTGGGGGTCGTGGCCCAGGGCCGGGACGGCAGCGCGACCCCTCCACTCGCGGCGGCGCAGGCTCAGCAGCGACTGGTTCAAGTTGCGCAGCGCGCCGAGCATGAGCCAGATGCCGATGTCCGCGGTGGCGTCGTCGACGGCAGTCGGGGCGTTGGAGACCCGGATCCCCCGGGCCGTACAGGCCGCCACGTCGACGCTGTCGTAGCCGGCGCCGTTGTGGCAGATGAAGCGCAGCGACCGCGGCAGCGCTGCCACCAGCTCGTCGTCCACCTTGCCCGTGATGTCATTGCTGTCAAAGGTCCGGTAGGCGACCGTCACACCGTCCAGCGCGCCCGAGGCACACTCTTCCTGGAAGGCGGCGCGGGTTGTGGCCTTGGGTGTGACGATGTCGGCGATAGTGCTCAAGGAGGCCCAGGTTGAGTGGGCGCTGGGAGTTTCGTTATCAAGGCCGCCTTCACAGGGACACCAGGAGAATGCAATGGGGGTTCAGGTTTCGAGGGAGCACGAATTGACCGTAGAATATTATGCAATGTTTCTTGGCGGCCGATCGTATAGTTCTCCTCCAAAAACGCTCTTCTGAAGAGCGAGCTTGGCAACAGTGCCGATATCCCGGTTCATGCGGTGGTAGGATCGCACCACGGGGGAAGGGGCCATTGGACAGCAGTATTGTGAAATCGGAACTTACTGCTCAATTTTGCCGAGCAAAAGAACCTTGGGTTTGCTCATGATGACTTGATGCAGTGTCACGATGGTCGCGTGGAAAGCATGGAAGATAGCGTGGGGTTGAACCGGTCTGCTGGGTACTTGTCACTTTAAGTATGCAACAACCCGCGTGGGGTGCCCTGGACGTCTATCGAGTCGGCTTGGCTTGTTGCACCGCGACTGAGGGGGATAGGCTGGCACGAGTCGGCGCCAACCGAAGACGGTAGATGATCTTGGGTCCAGGTGTGTAGGATGTAGCATGTGGATGCTGCACAACAGATTGGTCGAGGATCCCCAGATGAACTACACATGCAAGTAGCTCAGCCCGATATCGCGGGTCCAACTTCGGAGTCACGGACCGTGACGGGCAGAACGCCGGTCCCAAGGTCCCTGTGGGCCTGATTTGCTATCACTCGTAAATGTGGGGGGTATTGCAGGCGATGGAGGCCAGAGTCATTCAGGAAGTTTGGTCGCTCGCGAATTGGGTGATCGCGGAAGGGTTGACAAGTCTGGAGCGAGCCGAGCCGAGAGTCCGGGAACTGTGGTTGGTTCACAAGAAGCTGGATGGGTGGTCTCTGTCTGTTTCGTTTCACCTAGCACACATGGGATGGATGGTCTGGCCTACATTATCATTGCGTCGCTCATGCATGGTGTATAGCAGGTGAAGAATATAGCTCCCCGATGGCAGGGCCACTCTTGGGTAGTGCTGCAGCACCGGGTGTATGCAGGACTGCTCCGCATAGGTAGGTAGCACAACCGGATGGCGAGCTACCTTGCTCTCAAGTACTTGGGAAGTTCCGGAGACCATGCTTAGATTCTGTCTGATTGGTATGGATAGCACAACGGATATAAGGTTTATGTAGCCAGCAACCGTAGTCATCCTCCATCTAGGTACCTAGCTGCAAGCACACGTTCAATGGGACCACGGGATTTTCCCGAGCCTCTGCGCCATGATCTCCTTTCCCTTCAAGGAAAAGGCAATTACCTGGTTTGGTTCCATGCCGTTATCACGGGGGCCAGAATCTATCAAAATTGCATCTCGAGGGCTCAGGGAAATCAGTGCAGCTGAATGCTCACGGCTCTCACGGCTCTCTCGCCTTCAGCCAATTTTGCCGGCGGCCAGGGATGGAACACACCAGATATCACGGAGGTAATGTCGAGCAAGATAATGATGAGTTAGACGTGTTCTATTGTCTATACTTTCGACCCGGTTGACGGGCCATGGCTTCGTGGCCATAGCAGCTCTCTAATGAGCTGGTGTCTGGTTGACCAGACTGTTGATCATTTCATCCGCTTCCAAAAACACAATAAAGAGAACGCCATGAGGGGAATCATGCATCATGTCAGTTGCCAACGCCTTTTTGTTGAAAAATGTGACCAGCTTCCCATTTTTGATTCCCCGAACAGATTTCCTATGCCGATTATGCTGCAGACATTATGCCTTGTTGAAACATGGCACATGTAATTCCGTGTGAAGGTGCCAGTGGAGTGTAGGTCACGGAGTCGTCATTCCCGTCCGCTCCCGGGGAGCAGACCGAGCGACGGTTGGTATACAAGAGGGTTGGGCGATTAGTAGCGGTAGTGGTCGCTCTTGAAGGGACCCTCGATCTCGAGACCGAGGTAGTCACCCTGCTTCTTGGACAGAGTGGTGAGCTCGACGTTGCAGTGGGCCAAGTGAAGTCTGGCGACCTCCTCGTCGAGGATCTTGGGCAGGACGTAGACACCGACGTCGAGCTTGCCAGCCTTGGCAAAGGCGACGTGCTTCTCGCCAAAGGCCTTGTCCTCGGCCTTGAACAGCATGATCTGGGCAAGGACCTGGTTGGCGAACGAGCAGGACATGACGAACGAGGAGTGGCCAGTGGCACAGCCCAAGTTGACGAGACGACCCTCAGCCAACAGGATGATGTGGCGGCCGCTGGGCATCAGGAAGCGGTCGACCTGGGGCTTGATGTTCTGGACGCTCTTGGCGTTCTTCTTCAACCAGGCGACGTCAATCTCACAGTCAAAGTGACCGATGTCTACAGCAACAGGTTAGCAAATCTTGGCTTCTCCTCTTTGATGTGCGCCATATACGGCAGGGTACAATAAGAAGCGGGACTTACTGCAGACGATGGCGTCGTTGGGCATGGCAGAGAAGTGCTCGCCGACAATGATGTCAGTGCAGCCGGTGGTGGTGACGAAGATCTGGCCGAGGCTGGCAGCCTTCTCCATGGTGGTGACCTGGTAGCCGGCCATGGCGGCCTGGAGGGCGTTGATGGGGTCAACCTCGGTGACGATGACACGGGCACCCATGCCGTGGAGGGCCATGGCGCAGCCCTTGCCGACATCACCGAAACCAGCGACAACGGCGATCTTGCCGGCAATCATGACATCGGTGGCACGCTTGATGCCGTCGACCAGGGACTCACGGCAACCGTACAGGTTGTCGAACTTGCTCTTGGTGACGCTGTCGTTGACGTTGATGGCGGGGACCAGTAGCTTCTCGTTCTTGAGCATGCGGTACAGGTGGTGGACACCGGTGGTGGTCTCCTCGGAGACACCGTAGCAGTCCTTGAGCATGTCGGGGTACTTGTCGTGGACGAGGTGGGTCAGGTCACCACCGTCGTCGAGAATGAGGTTGAGCTTCTTGCCGTCCTTGAAGGCGACCAGCTGCTGCTCCAAGCACCAGTTGTACTCCTCCTCGGTCTCGCCCTTCCAGGCGAAGACGGGGACACCGGCGGCGGCGATGGCGGCGGCGGCGTGGTCCTGGGTGGAGAAGATGTTGCAGGACGACCAGGTGACCTCGGCACCGAGGGCAGTCAGGGTCTCGATCAGGACGGCGGTCTGGATGGTCATGTGCAAGCAACCAGCAATGCGGGCGCCGGCCAGGGGTTGGTCAGCGGCGTACTTCTTGCGGATGGCCATCAGACCGGGCATCTCGTTCTCAGCCAGCTCGATCTCCTTGCGGCCGAAGGCGGCGAGGGAGAGGTCGGCGACCTTGAACTTGTTGGCGGGAGCAGACATTTTTTCCTGTTCGGCGCATGTCAACAAAGGCCCGGGATGGCAATTAGGGATAGGGATAGCCCGGGTTCCGGGTGAGGCTTAGATGTCAACTTACTGTGATAGCTTGCTGGTAGGCAAGGCGGTGAAAAAAAATAAAGACTGGAGGGGTATATGGGAGATGCGGGGTGATGATAAGAAACCCGAGTTGCTGCTTGGAAAGATGTCAGTAAGCATGCACAGACACTGCCGACAGAGAGCACCCGAGGAGGCGAGGGGGAAGACGTACGATTACTGTCCGGAGACTCTTTGTGGGAAAGGGAGGAGGATTGAGGAGGATGGGATAGAGGAGGAGAGGAGGGCAGGAGGAGGAGGGAGGAAAAGACGGGGTCGGCTTGGAGAGGACCCTGAAGGCAATCACTAATAGATGCCAAATTTTTACCCCTCGTGTCGGTCTCTGTCGGTGTTCCTGAGCAACAGGCGGGCGGCCCGGCCTGTGACTGGCTGGTTTCCAGGGAACGTGGCCGCTAAACCCCCTCGGGGCCCCCCTGCGGCGGGGTGGTTTTTTTTCCCTACTGGGCACTGGGCAACTGGCAGCTGGACCGGGCCTTATCGATAGTCTCCCCTCGGGTATTGCCCCACCCGCTGCCCGCCAAGACCGTCGGCAGTCTGCGAAGGCTTGGGGGGGAGAGAAAATGCCCCGAATCTGAGGTGCCACCCGACGGCGCTGGGAAACAGCCTCAGCCAGGAATAAGCCCACAGGCCCCGAGCAAGTGAGGGAGAGATAACAAGAGGCCCAACCCAGGCGGTGGGTTCTTGCTGACGTGAGCCTGAACAGACCTACCTACGGGCTCTGCATTCACTCTTGTGGCCTGGTATACCGTTGCGTCAGAATGTTTGTCCACATTGCTCAGTCCATCCAATTTGAGTGGGGTCACCCAATTTCTCCTAGTCGGGCCTCTTATACAATGGCCAATATTTCCTCAAAAGGGGGAAAGTCTCATATAACAGGGCCAAGAAGACCCCATAATGAGTTGCAACACGGGTGTGATGAATGGCCGGTTGGCAAGGCTCTCGAGAATGGACGGGACCGGCAGTATGCTTGGTTCCTCAGCAGCGTCCACCATAGTGACACGACCAAGCCCAAGCCCATCCAATCGATATATTGACCGACTTGGAACTGCCCTGCGACATGTTCCACGTAACCCCGCCCTGCTGTTAAACCTGGCGGTGTGAACAGGTTACGAATACTCAGAACCACATCAAGGATTCAACAGCAGCTGAGGCCAAGCCGTTTCCCCAAGCTAGCAGGTAATTGTGCCTTCTCATTCTCCGACTCGAACTAGAGCTACCTATGTCGCTCCGCAAGTCTTGGGCCATGTCTAGAGCTATACACTACCAGACCCGAATGCAAGTCGGGTCGCAGGCCTGAAAATCATTAAGCCTTTCACAACCAAGATGTACCCCCAAACGCCAGGCCAGATGCAGACAGACCACTTTTTCCTTCCAAGAACCTCGAGCCCCTCCGTGATCATCTATAGGTAGGCACTCAATCCCCCAGACCGGTCCTGGTCTTACTCGGGCATCAGGTTGCCCCGCACGGCAAACATCTTGGCGCTCACGTTGGCCGTGAAGCCGTCGATCTGTTTGCTGTACTGCTCCACCTGCTTCGCGTTCAGGAGGGCCTCCAGGCGGCTAGGCTCCTGAGGGATCTTGAACAGTCTCTGCCACTCGTCCTCCGGCAGCGGCTCCTGCTTCGCCGCCGCGCGGGCCGCGTTCTCCGCCTTGCGCTTCGTCTGCCATGCCGTGATCTTGGTCTGCTCGCGCGCCATCTGTCTCTGGTAGTACTGGTGGTTGTTGAGCTCGGTGTAGTGCGACTCTATGCTGTCTAGAAGCAGGTCGCACGACTTCTCGAGGAAGGGGTCTATCGAGAGGTCGAGCGTGTCGACCGACGGGCACAGAGGCAGCTTGACGTCGGCCTTGAGGATGTCCGAGACCGAGGCGGGCATGTCTACCTCTGCCTTGGTGGGGAAGCCGGGGAACTGGTGAATGTACGAGGTGAGGAGGTGCGAGTTGTGGACTGTGACGGGAAGCTCGACCAGGATGTCCTTGAAGGTGAGCTTGGACTTTTGGAGGCTGCGAGAAAGGTTAGATTACAGACTACCACGATGCCGTGGCGCGCATCCTTGAGAAGAGGGGAGGTCCGTACCTCTCGGTTGTGAACTTGCCCTCCTTGAACATGGTCATGAAGGCGGGCGACAGCCGGAACGCACGGAGGTTGAGGGCGCCCTGGGAGCTGCGGCTGACATCGTTGACGAGGGCGACGGTCTGGTCGTTGTCCTTCTGGTAGTGGTACTGGTTCTCGATGAAGTTGAGGTTGATAAAGTTGCCCATGGCGGCCGTGGTGTACCAGCCGACACCGTTGGCGTCGACGTTGACCTCCTTCAGGTGCCTGATCATGTCGTTCTGGTAGACCATGTTGGCCTTGGCGCGCGGGGCGGCGGCGGCCAGGGCCGATGCGTCATTCTGGTGGGCACCGTCGGTGTTGGCGACGTCGCCGGTCGGGAAGGCGAAGGTGTTGGTGATCTCGAGGACGCCGTTCTGGTCCATGCCGACGATGGCGCCGGTGGCGGGGGTCGGGAAGGTGCTGGCGCCATGCCTGATGATCTTCATGATCACCTGCGACGCGACGGTGAGTTCAGCAACAGGAACAGCAGTAGAGGAGCAATGGCGACTACATGACTTGGAAACGGGGTGGTGCCGTGGCTAGATATCTGCTCGACGGCGGGAAGGAGGGGCATGGGGGCTTTTTCCTGGTGACGGGCAAGAAAGAAGAGACGCTTACCAGAGACTCGACCAGCACCGAGCTGATGGGCGTTTCCTTGGGTGCGTCAGCCATGGTTGCGATGCTTGATGCCGGGCAAGATGTGATGCTGGCGGCGGGTTGACTCGGGGGCTGCGCGGCGGTGGGCGTCGGGGTCGATGTCGTCGTCTTGGGCGCGAGGGTCTGGTGTTGCTGAAGGTTTTGATGCGAATTTCAGTTGCGGAATTGTGGGCGGCGGGGGGGAGCACTGGCGACGGTCCAATGCCACCTGGGACATGCCCGCTGCCAGCCCGCCGCGCCCCGCTGGCTGGCCCCTCCCAGCGCTTCGGTCGGTCGGCGGTCGGCGGTTTTTTCGCTGGGGCCGCCGATGTCAGCAGTGGCCAGCCTGCCAGCCCGGCTGCCAACCTGCTGCTGTATCGTCACCCCCTGACGTGCAACTAGGCCCCCCAAAAGGTACCGGAAATGCGGTGCTGCGGTGCTAGACAAAATCATCCCACGCTGAACCACGCCTACCTAGGTAGCGCCCCTGTCCGCTCGTGATCTTTTCCACCCAAGAGGGCCCCGAAGGCCCCAAATCAACGGGGGCAAAGCGGGATATCCCACTCTGTCCCCCCACGCCCTCGTCGTCAATCCCCAAGTTAAATTCAGACGACCTGCCATCGGGAAGAGCCTCAATTCAACGTCCTCTCCTCCCTTCATTTATCCGTGTCGCCAACGACCTCGGGAGCCCTGCTTCCTGTCGGCTCGGGCTGCTCGCCGTAGCCTCCCCGGGGCGTCTCCGCTCCCGTGTGCGCCATGCTTCTCTCGGGCTGCATCCTGCCATCTCCTGCTTGGATACCACCGTGGATCCCATCCTGACTCGGATCTACCACGCGGGCCACGGCGGCCATTCCGTCACTGGCTCGGACGGTCTGCTTCCTGCACATGGCTAGGCAACACGAGAACCAACCACGATATCTGCATCGAGCAGGCACACTCAAGCAGCCTCCCCGTTCGCTGGAAAATCGATTCCCTTATCGGTGTCATGTCCAAGTATGCATTCAGCCGCGATTAGCTCTAATGTCTATCTATCTCTATCGCCTCTGCGTGCCAAGATGCTTCACGTCACACCCTGCGGAAGACATCAACACGTCCCCCCTTCCGAGTCCCTGTCTGTCCGTGAACGCCCTGCTTAATTTCAAATCAGATCCGAGAACGTCAATCGTGAAAATCCGCTCCAATTATTTGCCGTCGCAGGCGGCCCGGCGGATGTCGTCCCATTCGCCCGCCGTGGGTCCCCCTCCCTCTTGGGGGCGCGCAAAACACTGCGACTGCCGGCAGACTACTCCGTAGCAACGCCTACTAGTTCCTGAACCCTGCTCAGCTCGACCAGTCGACAATCTCCCAGCTCTGCAGGCCGTCTCGAATGATAAGGCGATGTCTGTCGATTTTCCAGTCGGTGTACAGGTGACGAGCCGCACCCGCAGCTTTGCGATGTGCCGGCCCAACTCCTCCTTTCCTTGCATCCTCTTGAGAGCGCCATACGCAAGTGGCCAGGTTCCGGCCGTCCTTATCAGGCGTTCCGAACCAATACCTGGCGCCTGTCAGTCAAGGGGTCGACTTCACATGTTCGTCTCGCAGCACATACTTGAGGAACCCGCCGCTGGCTGTCGCCTCCGCGTGGGCCGCCTTGTCCAGCGCCCCAAGCTCGGAGTACACCGTAGTCGGTGGGATCTGAGAGCGGAACGCAACAATGTAGAAGGAAGTCTCCTTCCATTGGTGATTTTGGCTGCGGGTCAGCCTCTCTAGCTCTGCCATGACCTGCGTCCAATTGAACGTGTCTATGTACGGAGCAGTCGCATAGTCTGGGCGCAGGCTCCTGAAGTGTACGAGTGCCTGGGCAAGCAGGGCGTTCTCCGTATCCAGGCTCCGCAGATCGAGAAGATGCTCCTTCTCGGTGTACGCCGACACGACGAGGTGATTCTGATCATCGTCGGACCCAACAGTGTTGGGGTCGAGCTCGGGCTCTGGAACGTACTTGGACGACACCACGACCTCGGTCTTGTTGTCCAGGAATACGTTTGGCGCAACCGTCTGGCCGGGGTATACTTGAACAGTCGCCATGGTGTTGTGGGATATCGAGCGTGACAACAACAGGTCTGCGCAATTGGTCCGATGGGTCGAGTCAAATGGGCGCAACACGAGCAGCAGAGTTTTCTTTCGCCCTCTCCTTCTCCCTTAAATAAAACGGTTGTCAAAATTTCTCGGTCACGTCAACCTGGGGCATGAAAAGGAGCACGAGTCCAGACTGGTTTCTAGTGGGTCGGACTGACTCGAAGGGACCGCGCAGCACCGACGGCCTTTTATAGCTACCTCAGAAGAAGACTGCACCAGGTCTTATTACTCACCGCCGGCAACTGTCTTACAGGCTGATGTCGCTATCAGTAGCCGGTATTGCGAGCAAATCCGGGGCTTGGGTCCAATCTGCGCCTGGCTGATCATGGATCTAGGGGTCCTGGTGAAATGCCAGGGCGCGGTACGTCCGCGGTACATGGCGGCTCGGTCACTTTTAGCTCAGGTTTTAGGTGGTAAGGCGAATCGCGCCATCCCGTCAAAAGTTGATACCATCGCACCGCGGACAGCAATTGGATGCAGAGGGCGTGTCATCCGTCAGAGTCGCGAACTGGAAGGCATTGCGAATGGAACATGTCGCATCGCGCACGCTCGACCCAATCTACTCTCGACGTGAAGCCATGTGCGCGCCCACTATTCCGGAGGAACGACGACCGTATCGCATCTGCGCTGGCCCGCTGGCCCCACATCTCCGGGGTACGTGTAGGGGTCTTAGCGGGCTGAGGGCGGGAGCCAGCTCTGCTGGTTGGCTGGGGCTGCCCAACGAATCGGACCCCCTCGGCCTGGCTGGCCATCGACGATACCCTCTGCTGTGCAGCAAGACGTGTCAATTCTCGCCTGCAGACTACTGCGCAGTACTCTATCTCTACCCAGTCGGAACTGCCTCCCATGCGCCGTTCAGGGCGCCTGCTGGGTCGTCCACCCTGAGGCTTGTCATTCCAAACATGCATATCACACCACATGCCGCCCGGATTTGCCGTTGCAGCATCGCTCACCGACACCCGACAGTATCCCTTCCCGGCGTCCCTGTCCCCTGGCATCGCTGCGCTCGTCTACCTCCCTTGCATGGCCAGAGTGTGTCCCTTGAGGGCTGAGACTAGGTTTGATAAGCCCTAGGCCATGGGCAAGTTGCGCGTCGAAGGCCGTCCCAGCCAGCCGAAGAAGCCCTCTGCCTTTGGTATTCGTCGAGTTGGTGCAGTTATGCTGTGCTTGCAAGAGAGAACCGAGAGTCAGCAGTCAACGCACACCAGTGGCCTGACGCGCCGCCCAACTCCTCCTGAGCCTCACATGTGAGATAGACTTATCGCCAACGCAGCAATCGGTATCAGCGCCTCGTAGTTTCTAGCAACCTGTGATATGCCTGGATCAGTAGCTTCCTGCGACCGTATCAGACTCAGATAAGTGTGCTGTTGAAATTATGTGTAGCAAGAGCACAGCCCAGACCATATCAGACATGATAGTCCCCATTATGGCTCCATTAATTTGAAATAAGCTTTGATATGAGTGGAGTACAAATGTGCAACTCGCGAGACTGCCAGGGAATCCGACTTTGGCCGCATGCTGTTAGGCAGCTGCTGTCCACACCCTTGTTACCGTTGGGCTTCAATCTCTGTAGGCGCAGAATTAGCTACTTGTCGATGGTTCTTCAAGAAGTTACGAAACTCCGATCACGCTGCGAGGTACTTGGATTGATGTGAAAAGCTGTACTTCACATCATTCTCGATCTAGGGCGAGTGTTTCTCATACCCTTCCTGATTGCAATTGGCTGCAAGACTAGATATCCATCAAGCATGTATCGAGCTCGTTTATAGCACTTTACAATCACATGTGAACTACTTCTCGTCGCTGGCTCCGCTATGGATATCACATCCAACACCACGCAGCATTGCTCAGGGCTCGGCAACATCAATCACCTTTTCGGACACCTTCCCGTCAGCCTGAACAATGACCTTCTCAACCATCAGAGATGCTTTCACAGGATTTGGCTGGCTGTAAACCCATTCAAGCTGCTCCAAAGTTCGGCCTTGGGCCTCAACCCTAAATACACTCCGTTAGCAAATGTTCTCGATGCATTATGATTGATGTCCTGCTTTTGAAACGTACCCAAAAAGATACCACATGATCGCCTCGACCACATCCCAACCCACAAATACATAAATGTACCGGTACCCAATGTTACCAAGGGCAATGGGACCCGCGAATTGGTTGATGAAGCCCATGGCACTGACAATAATACCCGCAGCCGCTAGTCCTTTGGCCCGTATAGTGGTCTCAAGTGCTTCCGTTTTCACCACGGCCTGAAGCGGCGTGTAGGTAAATGAGAAGACGATGTTGAACAGAAAATAGGCTGCCAAGCCACCTTGAGCGTACGAGGTAATCACATTTTTGCCCTGCGAGTCGAGAGCTGCCGAGAGTCCAGAGTTGACTGCTAGTGTAGCGGCGCAAGCTATGATACTTGGATCAGAATCGTTCGCCCTAAGACTATGTACGTCTTGTTCAATCGACAATGGAAGAGAGGCCTACCGAGAGTGCCAAAGATAAGTACCTTCCGGCGGGGCATTTTATCGGTCAGCGACACTGCACTCAAAGCTCCAATCGCGGACAGAACCGAGTTGAGGAGGTTGTAGCCCAGTTGTTGTGAGGATGATGTAATTCCAAGCTGCTCGAAAATGACCGTGTTGAAGTAGCCGAGACCATTGCCAGAGAACTGCCCAAAGATGGCAATCATCAAAACTTGGGCCATGCGCCAGCGCCCGTTGTGCGTAGCAAAAAGTGGTCGGTCTGCAGTAACAAGCAGTCAGCCGGCATCAGTCGTTCAATCCCATATCAATTGGCCTCGCAGGCGTTAATGAACTCACAATCAGCATAGGTCTTATCGACACCATCCTGCCGAATGCCTTCTCTCATCTCTTCCAGCTCTAGCAGCACCAGACGTGACTGTGAGTTCCCATTACCGTGGTATTTGACCAAAAACTCTCTGGCTTCTTCTTCTTTGTCATTAGCCATCAGCCACCGGGGGGACTCGGGAATGAAGAATACGGCGCCGAGAACCACTATGCATGCAAAGCATTGGAGAACCAAAGGTATTCTCCATGAGTAGTCGTTGTCAATGTAGTTGGTCCCAAAGGTAATTGCGGCCGCAGGGATGGAGCCACCAAACCAACCACAATTATAGAAACCTACAATTATGAGCACACCGACTATAATATCTTTTCATTTCATAACAGTATACTGACCTGTGCAACGACCTCTCCAGTGCGGCGGAGATATCTCAACGGCATACGCCGGTGCGGCAACAGTCATGACCTGAACACCCATTCCAAGCACGAATCGTCCCACCACAAATTGAGCTATCGTCGAAGAAGTCGACACGATGATTGCACCTATAATTATGATGTTGGCTCCCCCAAACATGGCCCTACGACGACCAAATCTGTCGCTGAATACTGCAGCAAAGGGAGCGGCTACCATAGAGCCGCTGTCTCGCTGGATGTAAGCCACCGCAAAACACAAGAGGCGCAGGGCGATCTACTTACACGGTGTATAACGAAAACATGACAGCTACTTTAGTCCCAGTTGGACCAGTGTGGAATGTACTCTGGAAGTGCTTCATCGCGATAATAGAAGTCAATAAAGAGCCTGGTGACGGCTTATCAGTGTGTGCATATGATCAACCGGGCACGGCTTCTATCTCTCGCGGCTCACCATCGTATCCACTTGCACATGCGCAGCAGAATGCCACAAACACAGCAACTGGAAAGCCAGTTAGCATTAGTTGATAGGAACCTGCCTGCGGAGCCGTTCGGACTCACATAGCAGCTGGAGTGATCCCTTGTTTCGCACTGAGGTTTTGGCTTCCTGGACAGCAGCGAAGAGTTCCGCCTGGACGAATAGTTCATATGGTGTAAGCAGCCAACTATATTATACAGCCATGATCACTTTCGGCAACTTACATTGTGCACTTCCTTTGTGTGGGCACCAACGTGATCCGCGGTCGTACCCGTACCCATGTCGACAGCTGGGTAGTGGTGGTCCTTCAGAGTATCCCGGCCTGTTGCTGGCTTCTTGTCAATTTCAGCCATCTCGGGTGTCCTTCAGCGACCGTCGAGTTACAGTGACCAATCAAAGACCTCGCTCCTTGTTGAAGGAATGTTCAAAGTCATAAATCACAAACGAAGCGTGATAATGTCAATTCATCATAGGGTGCGAAACTACGTGGATGATAGGCATTATATGCCCCTCTCCTGGTCCCCTTCGGTTGGTAATAACCCGGGAGTACGGCTCCAAACTCCAGCCGGGGTTCACACATCTAGCGCTAAAATGGGAGTGCATGACAGCCCAGTTATCTAACTCCTAGCCATGGGTCGCAAATACAGTTGATGACAAAAACTTCTAAAGGCAGGACTTCCAGTTTTCCAATATATTTCAGGGTATAACAATGAGATGGCTCACTTCAAATCTGAGAAAGGGCAGAAGAGATTCTCCAGCCTGGCCAAGGCGCCAGGTCAGAGACAACCTATCCCCTGGAGTGCAGCATAGCTCCTGGTATGTCCATCGCTATCAGCCATGGGCCCGTCTTAATCCGCGGGGAACCTGGTTCCTAGCACCTTCCCTGGTTCAAAGGCGATCCTTCGTCAATGCGACTGGGTTCAGCTTTGAAGGTGCGCTCTCTATCGACTGGGAGATTGCTGGTCGATGACCCACTGGCAACTGAATAATTAATGCCAGTTCCGTTTATAACGACTCTAACCAAAAAATTTAAAGATTTAAATTAAATAAGTACGTGTTAATTAAAAGTTTTAATATATTAATTATTAATAATAATCTTTTTATTTTAAAAAAATAAAAAATCTAACTTATAAACTGTTAAATACGTTAAGATATAAATCTTAACTCTTTTATTATTAACAACGTAGTTCACTTATCTCTCGTATCACCTTAATCTATTTGCGACCACGCTCTTATCGCTTCTAACGTCTTATCTCTAACCTTACTATTGGCCGCTGACGCTGCCATGCCTCTCACTTGCTTCGACGTGACTGCACCGAGCGTGTTCGCGCTGCCTCCTATATGACAAGCCGTTTAATCCTTTGGACGGAGGCACGGTCCTCGTCCCTTCCATTAGCCGCTTTCACTGCTCAAACCACGTCTTCCGAGCCAGGAAGCTCACGACCTAGACTCTTCCAGGGGCCCGGCGGCCCTAAGTTCTTTCCCTGAGTCTGATCACCTTCTCACTTCAACCTTCACGCCTCCTCTGCTACAGCAAAGGCAGAATACCAATTCGCTCCGGCACTATACCCTATTTTCCTCTAGTACTGAGTTAATCGAGCACATCGAAGGATAATGCCATGTTCTACCAACGAGCTCCACCATTTCAGACTTGCGAAACGATATTCCAAAACACTAAGAGATTGCTCTTTCTTAGTTTCGCTCAACCTGGCTCCAGCAATTCCCTAAAGTCAGCCTAGACGAGGAGCTGAGCCCTTCACTAGCCATGTATGTCACCACAAACCACAACTGTGGCGTTTGAAGAACCGTCGTCATGGAGAAGAAACCATCAACACGTCCCCGTTCCTGGGTACATTGGAATAATCAAGTAGACAATCAACGCAACTCCCACCTAAGTACACGTGTACTCAATCATAATTACGTCGAGAAGGACTTCGCTTAAACCGGTAGTCATGCAACCACAACAGCGCACTGACAGCAGTCACCCTTGAGGAGTGTATAGCCTATGTCCTGCCAAAGACACCTGTTCAGCACTTACTATTACGCCTCCAGTGGAAGACCTTTCTGCTACTCAATCTGCCGCTGGATCAGCGCAATCTCAGCTGTAAATCTTCAGATACTGTCATTGATGGAGGCCACAACAACTGATGTGCCAGTATTACTGTTGCAGCTGTGGATCATTGTGTATGTTCGAGTCCGAGATATAGACTACCTAGTCCAATCTTAAAGATTGTGGTTGTACGGAACAATAACCTGGAGGATCTTGAGGTGTCTTTCCCTGAATGTAGGTAGGCTCCACATTAGGCTATAGGGCGAACGGGCTGCACTGTCACTTAAATGTCTTTTTAAATCAGATCGAAGTTTGCCCAAATTCTTTCTTATTATTCGTTTTATAACCACTACGCAGAGAGCTGATTCTCGTAAGTAACACCCTAGCAGAGCTTGGCGCCATATTTCCATGCGAATTTCGGGCGGGAGCTTTGGGAAGACCGAGAACATGGACATGATGATTGCACTTCTAAGAGCAAGGAAAACCGCTTAAAGATCTAATGCACAAAAAAAGCAAAGTGGCCGATGTGGCTTTACTGTATGATCCAAAATAATGTTCCTGTTGGTGAACCATGTATGGATGGCTGACTGCCTGGCCCCAATCAGTATTATATAGCTTCAATCGGCCATATGATCCGCCTTTAATAGGGCATTGCTGTAGCATTGGTCAAAAGTACCTCGTTAGTCAAGCCCTAGATCAATTAGATACCGGGCCAATCATATTATAATCATATCATGGGCCTAGCTTATAATCTAGGAGGTGACATTACAGTGTTGCGCAGGATACCAGCTCCCTGCTAACGTCTGATAGGTACGGCTCTCAAGAATTTTTTATTCTTTATTTTTTCTTTGTGTGTGGGGAGGAGGGGGGGGGAAGGCTTGTTCATCCAAGGCATGGAACTGAAAGGCTGTGATCTTCATATAGCCCAAATTTATGCGCAGTATCTCCGGGATGGAAACTCTATGTTGTTCTTGAGCCTTAGGCCCGAATAGTGGCTGAAATTGACTGCTGCTGAAGTAGTTGAAGAGAATTGAATCTGTCCAGGAGCCAGAAAACAAATGGCCGAAACAGTTGGGCACTTCGTGCTGGCAAACTGCCATCAGGGCCTCCGAGGGTTTGGCTGGGAAATATTTAAACTACTAGGACTTGCACCAGGGGAAATCGACCAACTGATCATCGATGCGAAGAAATACCGCTGGTTAGATCCTGTGTAAGCTATTGGCACCGTCAATACAAAGACAGGATTACGACTGACGCATTCCAGGAATGTGGTCTATGCAGGGAAGCCTTTCGATGGAGAATTGGATGCAGCTTCATACGGCTCGCGTACACACTCTAATGCCTAGTGCTTGGACAATATTGTTGAGCATACTACGTGTACACGAATCAAATATGTCTATTATATCTCAACAACATAGAACTTATCAAGGATCTACCAAAACTCTTTGTTGAGCTAACTGTTCTCATCTTTCACTGGATGGAGAAACATGGGTGGCAAACATTCGCCTTGTAGATATGCATGCCATATCTTCTCGGCGTCATTCCCAGACCACCAGTAACTGGACGCCGGCCAAGGACCATCCACGTATCCATGCTTAGTGTATAGAAGAGAGGGGCTTTTGCCACCGGCTTTACTATGTTGAGGTCCTCGATGTATGGCTTCGTCAAGCTCCTGCGCTGTTATGTTGCTTGTAAATGAAACGGGGTGAGGTACAAAGACCGCTTTTAGGCCATGCAGCAGGGCAAAGGTTTCTAAAGTAGCTTCGCTGACAACCCACTGGCCGCGTTCTCGCTGTGCTTGGTGAACCAAACGCAGCAAGGACCGAGATGATCGGGTCATGCTCACAAACGACGCTCTTCTGGGTGTGGCTAAACCATCGGCAAAACCGTGAACACTATCTTCGTAAATCCAATCCGTACCAATGGGGTCAATCAGGGGCATGAAACTGATCAGGTCCGCCTGCTCACCAACACCCCACGTGGAGTCCTCCTTTGTCCGCACAGGTGGTCCTTTGGGAGTAAAATCAGTAGTGTGCACTGGGCCCCAGACCTCTGAACTACTTTGTTCAGAGTCGACAGATATGGCGAACTTCTGATAGGAATAGTCAAAAAGTTCTGGAAGGTAGAAACGGCCGTTTCGAGACCACAGATTGCGACGCGGCTGGTCCACTGCAAAGGCGGTAGCCGATGTCAAAGTATCGTACATATGGCCTGTAACTCGAAGGTCCATTTCTAGTTGCCAGATAAAGTCGAATTGTGCAAACTGGTGGGAGAATATCTGCAAGGCCTGATACATCTGGTCCTGTGCGCGATGTTCCTCAACTTTTGGATACCACTTCCTCAACGTACGTTCGTTGTATAAGAGAGCCATATCGCGGAATTCCATGGGGACGGATTGTTGGAGCAGTTGCTCATAAGCAACTGTGTCTTCTTCTAGTTGCACGTTCCCTTCCTTGATGTTAACTAAGAAAAACACCTGGAAATGCCCATGAGAATGGAGCGACGTCTCGGAAATAAGAGCACGCAGCCATACAAGTCGGGCTTCGGTATACTGATAGTTGTCCCAGGTCCGCAATACTATCGCCGTGCGCTCTGGTTGATTCGAATGATGATTTCTCTCGTCTTCCTCTTCGGTAGATGTAAACTTCGGTGGTTGCTGCCAGATCTCCCGTACATTGTTCAGATAGCCCTCATTTGGTCCATGTCCACCAGATACGCAACGATGCTGAAGCTGGCCCCATTTGACTTTAGTGAAGTTGTGAAGCTGCGAAGGCGTGTAGACGTCTAGTCTTGATCTAGCCGAGCTGCATTGATCTGCCTTCCCGAACACTGCTGCATCACCGAGTATTGGGCGTTTCGACCGGTCTAAATCGTAGTATGACAGCGTAGGTGCCACCCAGTCCGGGAATATTTGACATGATGCGTCTTGAGTAATCAAGTGCCCTGCGGCTTGTTTTGGTAGATATGGCACGATTCCCTCTCTCGATTTGCTCAAACGGCCCGCCGGTAGAAGTATCAGAACCGTCAAGGCGAGCACGGAGCAGCCTGCTACCCAAACGCGTCGTGTATGCGACAGCATCAGCGCTGCGACTGGGTTGCCGAACAATTGTTGAAATACTGCTCGATGAAACTCGGAGCAAGATCTTGATCTGAACTCGGAGTATAGAACTTATCACTGTGGGAAAATCTCACCATTTGTGACGTCCAAGCACCATACGGGCAGAGGCGCCCCTTCCGGAAAGCTGGGGTCGAATTCTGACGCTGGAGTGTCGCTTGCAGAAGTGAAAGATTGCGCGCGCACGCGCTGTTGGTTTGAAATGACCAAGCCACTGTACGGAGTGGATCTCTAGGCAGATGCTGCTGCCGAACTTGAGATGTTTTGAACCGGGCCGCTTGAGAATGCTGACCCGTAATGTGATGAAACGAGGCTTGATTGGTGGCCGAGCTGTATCTGGTGAGTGCTTGGCGAAGCCGGCGCTAAATGCGGAATTATGACTGGCGAGTGAGATAGCAACATGATATCATTGCTCCAGACAGCCGCCAGAAAACGGGGTTTCTCACCCTGCAAGCGCCGTACGAAGCACAGGGGGTGCAACGGAACCGAGATTACTTATCATTTTTCCTGAAACCAACAAGTCATGAGCGGTCAGGAAAAGTAACATGGTGAGTACCTGGTGTCGTTACCTACATTTCTAATAAAGGCGTCGTCGAGTGCCGATACGCCCTTAGAAAATTGTGCTCTTTTGTTGCCTGTGTATCACTATCCTAGCCTTACATGAACACCGACCAAAGAGCAGCATGAGGCCCTCTAAATATCATTATTCGCTTCTGCAATTAATGCTTTACGCAAATACACTACATGTTCTCTCTACAGCAGCCGAAGTTCACACCCAGTGTTATGCACCTAATGGTGTGGCGCACAACACTTCAAGTTACGGTGAGAGCTATGTCTTGTATGCATGTCCACCCGGTGACGATGGCTTCGCGACCTGTTGCGTAGGAGGTGATTTTTGTCATCCCGACAACCTGTGCTACAATCTTGGAGGTGGCACACCAGTGGTTTGGAGGCAATACTGCACGGATTCAAGTTGGAAGTCCCCAAATTGTAGTCCTCTATGCTGGCGTGATGGGACGGAGAACCAATCTAATGAAGATCCAGTAAGAGCCCAATTGCTATTGCAAGTATCCATTTCATCGAATGCTAACCTCAACGGTCTAGGTACAGCTTACAGCTTGCTCCGATGGAAAGTTCTGCTGTGGCCTGAACAACAACGACTGCTGCGATAACCATATGGGAAACTATGCGATTCAGGGCGTTCAGATAGGGCCGGGCATCACCTTTCCTGCGGCGACGACTACTCAAGCAACCATCACTGTTTCTGTCTCGAATTCAGCAACCGTGGCAGTCGGGGTTACCGAAGCACAATGCGGAAACTCCGATTCGAATCACTCTGCTCTCAGTGTTGGATCAGTTGCTGGAATAGCTATTGGATCTTGTGCGGCTGGCGCGATGTTTTGTCTTGCCGGCATTATATTCTGGAGAAGAGGCAGAACGTCCAGCAAATCGCTCCAACAGCAATCAACACCGGCGCCAACATATGCCTCTTTGCAACCGTCCTATACACCATCCAAGCCACATGTTATGTACGAGCCGACTTTACCGACACAGCATGTGCCAGAAATTGGTTACACTCCACGACATGAGCTTCAAGGGACATAGTGAGTCACTTAGGGATAGAAAAGGATACAAATATGGGCAATAGACATAGGGAACAGAGATGGAAAGAAGTATTCTCCCATCGTACTCGACTTATGGGGTAATACTTTACAAGTTGTGTAGACCTGCTAGATGGCGATACAAATAGCTTTCACTGTCATCTGAGATACGCAAAAACTCAAGAAGCAACCGATACATTGCAAATAGCATGCAGTATTTACATCTTTCCAACGCTTCGTTCTTTCAAAAGAGCCCTCACAATTCATCGCAGAACTGTTATCAACTATCGCCCGAGACGGGCGTGAGGCCGTTGCGCTCACAACGTGGGACCATTGAATATAGCCTTGTCAGCATACTGTAGCTGACAAGACACCGTTTTGATAGAACGGACAACATCAACATGTTGGTGGTTTTTGAGAGTACCTTGCACGGTCTCGTGCGTAGCGGATGACAGCCGAAAGGACTGAGGTATCTGAGTAGAAAGTCTGCTGTAGGATATGCGCCCACGTATTTCGACTTCCCCATGGGGACGGGTTCAGTGCCCTGCGGAATTGAAGTATTAGGAATATTGAGAATTTAAGGAAGTTGCTTTATGAATTTTCAATGCATTGGCTGAAGATCGGTATGCTTAATTTCGACATGAACTATCCAAGCGAGCGTATTTCAAACCTGCAAATGTCATTTTACCAGCTCTTAGTCTCTTCAACTTTCCCCAACATATAATATAAGGGCTGACAGAGAACCCAGATGACATAAATAGTAATGAACTGGAGGTCCATGGAGAATCAACACCATTCCGTATCAAATAGCTTTTTAGCGATTATAGCCTAGGGTCCACCTGTCACCTGTCCGCTCGTCCCGGTGCTAGAACGTGTCGGTAAGGGTCACTAACAACCCAGTACTTTATCGTCGTCAGAGTAAGGAGCTCAGTTCAAGCCGCGGGTCAAGAGTACAGGGGTATGGACTGAATCGGATAGAGGAGTTCGAGGCAAGTCCACCGGGTGATGATGGGACCCACTGCCATCGTGTTGCCCAGGTGCTTCCAGGTGGAATAGCACCGGAGCTCGGAAAGGCCAGTGCCGTTAGCGCGTATTTCTCCAGGTTTTAGGAAGCGCTAATTCGTAGCCGGTGGCTAGTAGTTGTTTTGATCCACAGCGCACGGGGCGCGGGATACCCACATCACGATCTTTGCGGGCCCAAAGCTAGAATTGGCACAACTCAATTGCCACGTAGTGGGTCTGGGGTAATGTATAGTCACGCGAGTGAGCGAGCGAGGGTTCGATGGGATAATAGTAACAGAATCTTTGTCTAGAGGTAGTAATGGCACCAATATACGTTACAGCTACAATGCTTCCACTCTATACCGCACGAGTTCCACGAACACCATGCGTCGTCGCCAGGTACCGCGAGAGGCGCGACATGCTGCGTTCTATACCATGTCTAGTATGCGTACAGGAGGAGGAAAGCCACCATCAGTGCGAAGAGGCCGGTGGCTTCGGCAAAGGCGAAGCCGAGGACGGCGTAGGAGAAGAGCTGGCCTGTAGTACAGAGGGACGTTAGTGCGTGGTCAACGCCAATGTGTCAACTCAATGCGGGGTATTCACCTCTCATGGACGGGTTACGAGCAACACCCTGGATCAAGGAGCCAAAGACCGTGCCGATACCGACTCCAGCACCAGCGAGGCCGACGGTGGCGAGGCCAGCACCTTGCATCTTGGCGGCCGCGAGGAGAGCGGCGGCTGTGGTCTCAGCAACAACACCTCGGGACTGCATGGCACTGCGGGTCATGGTAGAGCCCAGGGTGCTGCGGGCGCTGTTCATGAGCAGGCCATGTCGCAGCGACGGCTGACGGGTCTGCTGGATGATGGAGCTTTGGATGCGAGCTGGACCTGTACCAATTGGTGAGATGATGCACGCGACGACACGTTGCGTGAATTTTGTTTTGGGTTTGGATGAAGCTTACCCTGTGCAGTAGACATGGAACGGCTGGACTGTAGGGCCGCGCGGCGAGCAGCGGCGCTGCTGGTCTTGATAGCCCCGAACATGATGCTGAATTGAGGATGGAAGAAAAAAGCGATAATGTAGCTAGATTACAATGGATGGGAGGTTTGAGGGTTTTGTTGGTTTTGGGAAGAAACAGAAGGAATCAGTCCAGTTCGGTTTGACGACCTGGGGAAAACGGGGGAAAAGCTGGGGGAGGGGGGAGCTAGGCGGAAATCGGTGGGAGCTGGGCAGACTAGGAACTCTCGAGGATTCTTGGCCAGTGCTGATTGTGTCAAACATACGGAGTTACACCATCCAATCTCGGGGTTCTGCACTCTGCAGGTTGCTGCATATTGTCTTAGTCAGTCGTGGTGGCGCCACAACTGCTTGTCACGAAACGCGACGCTGGTTGGCTGCAGGTTCAGGGGTCCCTTGTGGGTGGTTGGGTAGGATTCAGGGGCGTGGTCCTTCAACGTGGGCTTCGGCTATAATTCTTAAATACTACCCGTTGCTCGTTCTCAAGGTAAAAATTGTGCCGTATGCACCATATGTGCCAGAGGGGTTGTGAATGTCTACCATGCTGTGACCAGTACACCAAGCTCAAATCTTATAGCAAGCACTCCACCACTTCTCGCCCACGACGACGGCAATATAGATATACGAGTGCTATTCAACCGATCTACCTCTAGAGTATACTTACGGAAGTCCGATTCCCACAATCATGACATTGTGCGGTCGCCGGGCTGGTGGGATGTGGTTCGATGCCGCAGCTTGTAGAAGATTATATCCGAACCGACCAAAGCGACCGTTGAAAGAGCCGACCAATCTGAAGGCGATCTGAATAAGCGTTGGTTGCTGCTTTTCCTCCTGATCATCTTCGCATTCTAGCTTCCACCTGCCACGAGGAGAGCAGACTCGAGAGCACGATCCTTGTTTGATACCAATAGCGGCAGGCCGGTTCCTCTAGCGCGATGCAGGCGATGCGGCATCTCCTCACCAGCACAACGCGTCTCCAGTGGGTTTCGGGCAGATTGCAAACCATGGGTCTGGGAAACATCGTACTAGTCAAGGACCCTTAAGACGATGAAGGCCGATTTCGAGTTTGCTCTGCGAGGTTCACCAGAGGATGGGGTCGAAGCCCCGTAAGGCACGCTTCGCACCTGCATATACGTGGGCATGGGATTGTGGGACACGGTACAAGAGTTGGACCATTCACAGACTTCCCAAAACGATATCGATGACATGACGCGCGGCACCGTAGGTTATGATAGTGTGCACCTGAGAGAGGCTTGACCCACTAGTTATACACTAACGTATAATGAAGAAAGGAACGTCAGGACAAAATTAAAACTCGTAGCACCAGTATAGAGCATCACAATTGTGCTGCTGCTTGTTGACAGGGTCTGTTGAGCCAGTCGTACGACTCTCACAAGATTCTAGCGCCACTTTTAGGAAGCCGATGTGGGATGATGCAGACGTAACAAGGCAGGGTTGAAGTGGATTTGCTCTGGAATTGAACGGGTTCAATCGCACACCCGATATGTTGCTGGTAATCCTGGTAATATTATATGTCTATGACAACGTGATAGTTACGCAAGGGGAACTGCCTATAAAGCTCATAAACGAGAGTTGAGCATTTGCTGCCATTCATCGACCCACATGGTGAAGAAACTGTATCAATTATGGTAGAAGCAATAGCTACTAACTGAGCTTTATTTTTTAAGGCATCGAAATGATAACTAAAGTCTGATGTCTTTGCGGTCTGGCTATACATTACAATCATAGCAAGATGGGAGCTGAGCGACCGACATTCGCGGTGGATTTGGCTCCAAAATTGGCATTTTACTTAACACATTGAACTTGGAGGCTACGCTGTGGGTACTTGAACATGCAATATTCGACGCTGCATCTTAAATCCAGCGTTGTGCTGCTCCACTCTCGACTTTAAGCCAACATCGGAAAGGTATACGCAATGCAGGACCAAGTGATGGGCGGGGCAGAGGCTTGGGAATGGGGCAGTGAGCACTAGTGATAGTGGCTCTGCGGGGTTGAAAGGTTGAAAAACACCTGGAGACCCACCCTTCCGGTTAATAAGTTAGTTAATCTACTAGCGTGACTTGTATAAGAGCTGGGGCAACAATCTCTCCCTCTTCTGGTGTACCGAGCTCATGGACATTCAACTAGGAATCCTTCGTTAAACTATCATCATGAGTGGTATTAATCCTATCATCCCAGGCTTCGCACCCGACCCGTCTGTGGTCAGGGTTGGAGAATGGTTCTTCCTAGTTAACTCGACTTTCCACATGTTTCCTGGACTCCCCATCTATGCATCGCAAGACCTGGTGAATTGGAAGCACATAGGTAAGCTTCAGAGCCCATTTATCAACTCAACTACGTACTGATTGACCGTAGGAAATGCATTGCACCGTCAAAGCCAGATGAGTCTCAAGAAGTCCGACACTAAGCTATACCCTCAAGAAGATACCGGCGAGGTCCTTCTGGCTACTGGTGGCTTATATGCTCCAACTATCAGGTACCATAGAGGGATATACTACGTTATCTGTACAAACATTGTTCATCCGGCCGAGGGAGCTCCTGATGTGTCGGAGAACTTTGTCCTATCTACCAAAGACATATGGGCCAACAGTTGGAGTGACCCCGTCTACTTTGAATTCCAGGGAATTGACCCTAGCTTGTTGTTCGATGACGATGGGAAGGTGTACGTTCACGGATCTGCGGCACCGGGACCTTTCACGAAGATCAATCTCTTTGAGGTGGACTTGGCAACCGGAAAGAAATTGTCGGACGAACGTACGATATGGGGAGGCACTGGCGGCATCTATCCTGAAGGTCCGCACATGTACAAACGAAATGGCTGGTACTATCTTCTCATCTCTGAGGGCGGTACCCACGACAACCACATGATTACCATGGCGAGGTCCCAGGATATTTGGGGGCCATACGAGCCTTGTCCCCAGAATCCAATTCTCACAGCTCGAGGCACTGGTGAATATATCCAGTATACCGGACATTGCGAGGCTTTTCAAGATCAAGATGGAAACTGGTGGGGGGCCTGTCTAGGCGTACGCAAGGACGCCAAGGGCAGGTTCATCATGGGAAGAGAGACGTTCCTAACCTCGGGCAACTGGAATGGAGATTGGCTATCTCTTGATCTCGTCAAGTCCAACATCGAAACTCTGAGTTCTCGAGAGAAGTTGTCCGACTTACCTCAAATCGACAAACCGGGCCTGGATATTCTGTACATTCGGGATGCGGATTTCAGGCGCTATCGATTTGATGGTCACAAGAATGGAGACGTGACGCTCATAGCTGCAAAAACAGATCTGTCTGCGCCTGAAGAGTCCCCGACGTTCATGGGCAAGAGACAGAGACGCTTATGTGGCCAAAGCCTCGTAGACATCACCCTGTCAGATATCGCAGTTTCCGCCGACGTCAATGTGGGATTAGCCTGTTATAAGGATGAACACCGATACCTCCGGATCTTCTACGATGGCTCGGATTCGACGGTGGTCTTTGAGGTGGTCAACAATGCAAAGAAGATTTCTCAAACCAAACGGACAGCAATAACGCTCTCTCAGAACACTGGACTGAGCTTCAAACTGCAATACACGGAAGACCAATACGAGGCACTCTTCCGCGTTGGTGGGAAATCTGGAAACCCGGAATGGTCACTTTTAGAGACAGTGGACACTTTGGTTCTCACGGGCCCAGACTTTGTCGGTCCAGTCATAGGTGTTTTCGCAGTTGCGGAAACTGACGCTGAAGTTCACTGCACATCGTTGGTCTTTGACGAACCATTGGCTCAGAAGCCTCATTGAAGACACGCGTTCTACATAGTCAAGACGCCGCTTCTGGCGATGGAACAGTCTTTTCTCACATGTTCATTAAACAAATAGTATTTACGTTGCTAGTCATATCAGTCTCTTACATGGGGCCCGGCCGGTGAAAGTGTTTAGTTGATTTGCTTCCCCTCTTCTGCCCCAACCCAAACGCCAGCCCAAGGGCATTTAGCCGGTAAGTTGGTAAGTCTTGAAAATCTGAGACCCGCGACTTTGGCAACTTCGACACTAGCTTCCCAGTTTCCGCCAATAACGCAGTTTACCGAATTTCAAGGTCGACTTGGCCCCCCTGGCGCCAAGTAGCAAGCGCACCTATGGGATTTGGCGCGGGCGGTGAGCGTACGAATGCATGCGGGGACCCCATGCCAACCCCAGAATCGCCAGTTTTGGAGAATCTTGGGGTCGGATAAAGATGGGGCTTGGCTAAAAGGTCAGTACGTAGCGAGTATTTATCATGATATTAAAGACTCACTTATTTCCCACCTTACACGGGCTCGAATGATTCATGCTCATCATAACCTGTCACTGGCACGATTCTTATCTATATCTTGAGCAAAGAGCAACTCCTTCTTTTCAGCAGGTTGAGTCAACCGATCGATATACTCAACCGCCATGGCGTTTGGCGCACCGAAACGGACCCAAAAGGTGGTTCCCCAGAAGCCACCCAAGGGCCACTTCTTCTTCGCCGGGCGGACCTTTGAACGGGTTCAATGGTGGAAGAGAACGAACCTTCGCACCCTTTACATTTACATCATAATCCTGATCCTCACAAATACCGCCAATGGCTTTGATGGGTCCATGATGAACGGTCTCCAGGCCTTGACCTATTGGCAGGAATTCTTCGACCACCCCAAGGGCGCGATCCTCGGCTTGTTCAACGCCTCGATGAGCCTCGGGTCCTTGATAGGACTGTTCTTCACACCCTACCTTATCGACTGGCAAGGACGGCGAATCGGTGTCGTGATCGGCTGTCTCATCATGCTTCTTGCTGTCGGCCTGCAGTCCGGCGCCCAGAACTTCGGCATGTTCGTGGCCGCTCGTATAATCATTGGCTTTGGGGATACCATCGTCCTTGGTTCGGCGCCTCTGTTGATCGCCGAGATAGCGCACCCTCAAGACCGTGCTGTCCTAGTGACCCTAAGTGGAGCCTCGTATCACAGCGGCGCGTTCATTGCTAGCTGGGTCACATACGGTACATTGCAAATCCAGGTCAGCCTTCCAGTGAAGACCGCTTCGATATACAGACTGACACCATCTAGAGCGATTGGTCATGGAGGCTTCCAAGTTTGCTCCAAGCTATCTGCACCGTGGTAATCGTTGTGATGATATGGTATGTTTCTCGCTCGAAGAGGCTGTTTTTACCTTGAACCATGGAACGTGGAGCTGAACGTAATTGGACCTGAGGCTGACTCTCACTTCCCATCAGGTTCATGCCTGAGAGTCCACGATGGCTCATAAACAAAGACCAACATGAGAAGGCGCTTCACGTATTCGCAAAATATCACGGCGAAGGGGATGAATTAGATGAATTTGTGCAGCTTGAATACGCCGAGGTCAAGGCAGCCATTGAACTTGACAAGACGACCGGACAGACAAGCTGGAAGGACTTCCTCAGCACCAAAGGCAACCGTAAGCGTATCGGCATCATTACGGCCATCGGCTTCTTCTCCCAGTGGAGCGGCAATGGCTTGATCTCGTATTACTTGTCGACCATTATGAAAAATGTCGGCATCACCAACCCGCAGACCGTTCTCGGTATCAACGGCGGAATGAAGACGGAGGCTCTGGTCATTAACTTCGTTTTCGCATTCCTTACTGATAAGCTGGGAAGGCGTCCGCTGTACATGCTTTCGACCGTCGGAACATTCGTCATATTCAACATCTGGACCATCATCTCAGCCAGGTTTGCAATCGACCCAACGAACCAGTTGGGGTACGCCTTCGTTGCCATGACATTCCTATATGGGGTTTTCTATGATTTCAAGTGAGTTGCCTCCAAGCTCCCCCCGCCCCTTGGAGCGTCTTAGCTGACTGCTTGCCAGATCGGGTCTGATGGCCAATTACACCACGGAGATATTGCCGTACGGACTCCGTGCGAAGGGCTTCACGTGGCTGAACTTTTGCGTCACCCTGGCGCTATTTTTCAACCAGTACATCAACGCCATCGCACTCGATGCCCTTGCTTGGAAGTACTATATCTTCTACTGCGTTTTTCTCGCATTCGAGGTAGCTATCATCTACTTCTACATTGTCGAGACTCGCTACACCCCCATGGAGGAGATTGCCAAGTTCTTCGACGGCGACGACGCTGTGGACGTGGGTGAGATCGCAACGGCCGATGTCAAGGAGAAGGGAATTGTGGTCACTGAGCACAAACATGTTGAGGTGGCTGCACGTGAGCCTTAGTCTTCTGATATGCTCAGCAGGGTCGACCCCCCTCAGCTCAGGACGTTGTTACAGTTAGACACTCTCAGGTGATTCAACTAAGCATGCTAATCAGAATTTCACTTTGTCTTTCCTAATCTAGAGACAATAATCCATGATGGTCATGGTCTAAGCAGCACTTTTCACAGCTGTGTGGTAGAATTCATGTGCTGGGCGTCGAGTCAACGTCTTGTTATGACAACTCAGACCCTCTGGCCACTGAGAAGAGGGTTCTCTTGAAGATTGACGCAGCTGCGTCCCAGACTCATGAATTGCAGCAAGTCTGAAGCATTCCACGGAAAGCAATAGAGACGCGCGAAACAGTCTTCACAGCACGGCACGACATCGAGGATCCATGTCAAGTACGGAAGGCAACTTGATTCCCGTCTATATGGCACAGCCTGGCACGGCACCATTATACATGCAGTCCAACCCGGATGCCTACAGCTGCTGATGCAGGCCTGACGGCAAGTCGAGCGCTCTAGTCATCCGGTCTTCTGTCTATCGATCCGTGTAGCTTGAGCTACAACCATGTGACATCTTCGAAGATCATCCATCCATATGCCATGTTTTGCCCTACCATCTCCTTCCCGACCGTCCTGCCATTGATTAATCCCAAGACATAACGAAACCCCTTCTATCTCGCCAATTTTTTTAAAGGCCGTGAAAATATCAAACAACTATTCATACAGCGTGAAGGTACATCGGCGTAATGCGATGATTCGTAATAACATATCTTGTCCACCCCGGGTGCACTACTCAGCGAAGGTTTCGAGAATAGCGACTGACGTGCACTAGAGCCCCCGTGGCGGATTGTCCAAAGGCTTATATTCTTCTTTGGTGTATAGCCGCGAGTGATCCCCATCTTTTGAGCCATCAAACGGATAGAGGCTAGCAGATTTAAAAGACAGATCAACGAAAAAGGACCGCTAAGTGGTATAATGCGGAGTCAAGTTATGAACGCGCTCGCTGCAGGCATTCTGAAAGTAAAAGAACCAGACATTACTAGTGCATTATCTTCGTCACATGGTCATTCCCTCAGAAATGGGAAGGCCTTTGCTGAGCGGTCGCCAAGGCTCAGCTAGTTCGAGTAACATTGGTACCGGGGTGAATAAATGCCATGGAGGCCAGTTCGGAAAAGCGTCGCACGATGTTGGTCGTTCCGCCCGTGACCTTGGCCTCCTCCTGTATAAACTTCCTGGCGACAGCCAACTTGCTCTTGGGGTCTGTCTCGTCCAAGTGCGGAGGCAGGCTACTCTCAAAATCAGGGGGAAACCCCGGCGACAGCGCACGCATCACAGCGATGGAGTAAAGGACATCTCGATTCTCCCGACCATCCAGCAGCGTTCTCATCCTAGAAAGAATCGCATCTCGGCGGGTTACCATGTCAGGAGTGGGAGCTTGGCCTGCAGGCGGCTGGACAAGTAGGAACTCGCCAAGGTGATACCAGAAGTCCAGCTCGCGGAGGCGGTGATAGTCTCCCTGCGGGGGAGGCCGCACCAGCGAGTTCTCCTTCGGGCTGTCGCCTGACAGAAGAGCATCGAACATGGCAACGCGGTTTCGAACCTCGGGACCGTCATTATCGGGCGGAATAACACTGGGCTGGTTGACTCTCGGCTGGATCGTCGAGTAAACTAGGCACGTGAGGTCCCACACAACCCGGAACTCCAGATTGGCAGAGTCGGCCATGGCTGAGTTATCGTTTTGGTCTGTCTTCCCAACGATGCTCAGAAAGCCGGCCAGTAGCTCCGCTACGGCCTCGGTCGAGACGACCATGTCAGAGGCAAATTCCTCGGTAAACCATCTGGATTCAAAGAAACTCTCCAGTCCAGGGCCGTATATGTCGGCGTAGAGACTACGGATCTCGTCGTAGGTGCCCTGGGATAACGGCAAGGCGGCCTTGGGGGGCGGGCTGCGGCCCCAACTCACGAGCTCACTGACGCGCATCTTCTTGACTGGTGACCCAAAGTAAGCCGAGGTGTCCTGGTGCAAGCACTGTGCGTGGTGTGAGACAGGGTGGTGCAGATGAGAAACAAGGAGAGGACCACCGCCTCTGAGACTGGGGGTGTGGTTCGACAGCCTCTGGCCAAGAGGACTACTGGGGATGGGCGCCACTGGCTTCCTGGCAGGTGGGAGGTGAGGTGTCGACGTACTCGGAGGTGCACCTACGCTGTCTAGCGCAGGATCAATGGCAGAACCGTAGTCAAAGTTCTCGCTCTTGATGTTCTGCGAGGTGGAGCGGGCGGGCTCATACGAGTGGCCAGGGGTGTTGCTGGAGGAGGAGGTGCCAGAGTGATAAGAATTTGGAAGCACTGACGGGAGTGATGCGTAAGCTGGCGCCGAGCTGTTTGCAATGGCGGACGCTGATGCGGCGGGCGGATGCGGATGCGGGTGCGGAGGCGGATGGGGAGGCGGCGGAGGCGGCGGCGCAGGCCCGTTGGACGGCACCGAGGCGGGAGCCGGGTGGTTCGGCGCGGGCTGGATGCTTGCGGGATGATGCTGCTGCTGCTGCTGCTTGAAGATGGGGTCGTAGCCCAAGCACTCACGCTTCGACTTCTGGCAGTTCTTGCAGATCGGGTGTTGCTCGTCGCACTGGGGGGTGGGTCAAGGTTAGCATGGGCCGCGACAAGCCCCAGGAGAAGTTGTGGTGTTTGCGATGATGTGTAATGAAACGAGACGTGAGGCTGCGGTGAGGGAAAACTGCAATTGACCAGAAGATGGAGGCCGTGTGGAGGCTCCAGGTGACCCGGTGCCCCGGTGCCCTGTGCCCTGGCGTCACTGGCTGCCGAGCTTGGTGGGCTGTAGCGTGGCTTTCGTGGGCGCGCTTCAAAGCTGCGCGAACCGCAGGCTGCAGTACTACGAGCAGCGAGGAACTTGACTTCGCGTGCGGCCAGGGATTGAGGCTACATGCGTGCGTATGTGCGTGCGTGTTCGTGTGTATGAGCTCAGAGCCCTGGCTGGCGAGAGCGGCGAGTTCTACATGCCAGCTTGATCTTCTAGCAGCGACACCAAGCTCTCTGGTCCGGCTGCGAGCTTTGGGGCTCTGACCTGAACGCCGGGCGGCGCGCAAAGGGCTTGTCTGAGCTTATAAGAAGCGCGATCCGACCTTTTGGCTTGAGTGCGGCCGCTGGCCGGAGGCACCACCTATCATCCCAGCTGCTCCACGGGTGGGTTTCGGTCGGTCGGGTGCGTTGCTCGCTCGCTCGCTTCGCAGTAGCTCCAGTCAGGCGACCCCCCAAGCGAGGGCACGAAGCAAAATAAGAATCCACTTTAAGACTCGGAGCGGGAAGCACGCATTTCTTTCCTTCTTTCTTCTTCTCCTTCTCCCCTCCATTTTCTCGCGTCGTGGCAGTTGGATGGGGATGGGAAATACCGCCAATTGGCCGGGAATGGGAGAAACACGGAATGCAGAACCGAACGTACCTTGATTCGGCGCTTGCGACATGTCAGGCACCCTGTTTTTGTCCGACGTTTGATCTCCTGCGAAGCACACATATGACCCGGTCAGCCTACGTCCCTTCGCTCGTTGGATGTGTTCTATCACGAGGACAAGCCAAGTAATTGAATGTGTGTGTCCCATTTACCTTCTTGTTCCGTGGGTTGCCCATCATGGCCCGAGGGTCGTTCGGCGGGAGCGCGTATCGGGGCCCCATGACGTCGGGCGGAAGACTGTAAGGATTCCCTGCCATGGGGACCGGCTGTCCGTAGTACGGCATGCCCGTCCCCATACTCGCCTGCACCTGCATCATCTGCTGCGCCATGGGGACTTGTTGCGCTTGCTGCTGCTGCACAGGGTCGAACGTGCGCATGCTCGGCAGAGACATGGGATGATTGCTCCCCCCGGGCGTGCTGGGACTTCCTCGGTACAAATCTCCCGGCTGCCCAGGCGCGTTGGCGTACCCATAATGCGCGTTCATGCCTGGAGAGCTGTACGTCGGGCTCGGGAAGCCGACGGGCGGCCGAGGGTGCCCTGGATGCTGCGGCGGGTTGGACATGGCGGCGGCAGCAGGCGCGGGCGATCGCCGTGTCGAGCCGTTGTGCTGCTGGCTGAGAGTGTCGGCCGGCGCACCGTGGCTTGAAGCTGGCGCCGGCGTCGATATCAAAGAGTGTAGATCGGTAGCGACTGTAGAGGTAGGCACCGTAGTATTAGAGTGGGCGGCACCAGGCGCCTGCGAGAAGTGTCCCGACGGCAGTGATGATGTCGGAACCAAGGTGGTCGCGTCGGCCGCTGGATTATGAGCACTTTCGTGGGCTACTGCTCCCGCTCCTCGCTCTGCCTCTGCTTCTGGTACTGCTCCCTTTCCCCCAACCACGGCCTCAGTCGCTCCTTGCGGCGCCGGCGTATGCGTCACCGGCTCTCTATCCTCCGTTCGTGGCTGGTGCTGTTGCCGTTCCTGTTGCTCTTCTTGTCCTCGCCCGCCGTAAACATGTGCTCGCGCCCGGTCCTGGTTCTGGTCCTTGCTCTGGTTCTGGTCCTGGTTCTGGCCGTGCTGTGTGTCCGTCCGTGAGGGAGGTTTGGTGTGTGTCCCGCTCGCGCCCCGGGCGTGTGACGGCTGTGACGGGGTCCTCTCCAGGATGGAAGGATCAAACTGCTGAGCGGCGGTGGCCAACTTGGGACTCACAACAGCTGATGGGGAGCCATGGCGGCCGCTGCTGATGGTGGTAGTGGTGGTACTTGTGTCCTCGCTGGCTACAGCTGCGGTGACAGGTTCAGGTTCAGATTCAAGTCCAGATTCAGGTTCAGGTCCAGGTCCAGGTCCAGGTCGACGCCCACGTTCACGTTCAGGCTGAGCTTGAGGTTGAGCCTGTGCCAGCGCCTGTGCCTGTGCCTGTGGCTGTTCCTGTGCCTCTGCCATTTTGATTTGATTTTAATTTGAGGATTTTATGGAGCCCACCCAGAGCAGGAAGCAGGAGCAGGGGGAGGGCAATCCGAACCCGCGCCGCCCAGGGTGTCCAAAGGGAACGAGAGCCGACCAGGGCAGGTCGGTAGCCAGAGGCTGGCGCCGGGAAACAAGGGACAGGACACAGGCGCGCGCAGGGCAGGCGAGGTGCCAGTGCCAGTGCCAGCCAGCGTTGCGATGCGATGCGTGCTCGCCGGGGGGGGGAGGGTGTTTCGACGCGACCCTGGGCCGAGATTCCAGCTGCTAGCTAGGTTGCGAGCCAACTAGTCGCATTGCTCCGTGTACATAACGACGTTACTAGAAGAAGAGCGTTGGGGCTAGCGCTGGCCGCTGATTGCGGACCCCGGGGGCCTGGAGAGAAAGCGACTCGCTCCGTGGCACGAGAGGCTGGCTATTGCTCCTTTGGTCCTAGCGCTATGCCGTGCCCTGCAGCTCGTCCAATTCGGTGGGATTTGGGGCGGCCTGGGGGGGAGGAGGGGGGAGGAGGAGGGGGAAGGAAAAGAAAAGAGGGAGGAAAAGGAAAAAAGGGAGGGAGGAGAAGGGGAGGAAAAAAAAGAGAAAATACGACACAAACTGCTGAAGGCAGTTGAAGCAAATG